AATTTCCGGCATTGTCTTTTAAATATACTGGTCATCACAAAAATCGGCCCACCTACGTTTTACAGGAAAACTCGTTTCCACTGACACAATCATGGTGCCCCAACAATATTGGTGTTATTTGAAAGCTAGAAAGAAATTCTTAATAAACGATTAACATAAACGCGATATGCAATAAATGTGACTCGAAAAAAGACCTCACTTTGGGCTCACCTCTGGGATCAATTAGACCAATTTTTATGGTTATAAAACCAAATAATGATCTCACGTGTCCTCTTTAACAGATGGATAACGATTAATCCCAACTTAACAGTTTTATAGCCATGAAAGTTGGCTCAAGCGTAATTACCTATTTTTTGAAGAAGTGACTCTAGATTCTTCTACAGACACTTTGGGGTAAAAACCTTTCCTTTAGTGAAATGAAGTTTAGAACTAGGTTTTTAAATGGTGCCAATATTGGTGGGAAGTGGGGATGCATACGTTTGAAAGTGCTTGTCGCGGAAGGGTCGATTTTTGTGATGACCAGTGTAGTTTATTCAGTACATAGACCCTTTGTAGGGCACTTTATACACGTCCCATAATACCCACGCCCGGTTGGTAGCGGCCTGCACCCAGCGCTTTCCCGCTACGTTTATAGAATAGAATACCTTTATTCAGCATTTATATGCATACATGTACAGAGGTTAAATTACTGTGCCATGCTGAAAAAGCGCCCGCTCAGCGAAAATCGTGACATGACACAAGTCTTCAAGTTACGAAGCTTATAAGGTCGTCGGTCCACCTTGTAGGTGGACGTCCTACGCTGCGCTTTCCGGTACGCGGCCTCCACTCCAGAGCCTTGCTGCCCCATCGGCCGTCAGTCTGCGTACTGTGTGCCCTGCCCATTGCCACTTCAGCTTGCTAATCCGTCGGGCTATGCAAGCGACCTTAGTTCTTTTACGGATCTTTGTGCATTGCAGCATTGTGGAAATCATTGGGGGAGGCCTATGTTCAGCAGTGAACGTCCTATGGCTGAAATGATGATGATGACTCACTTGGTGTTATGATGTATTCGGTGTAATATAGTGGGGTGGAGACTGAAACCGCGACTCTGTCTCTTGACTCTTTGTCGCTCGTCTATTGTCTCTGTCACGGCAGACTTGTGACGTCATCGTGTACCCACTTGGTGTTATGGTGTCTCCGCTGTAATATGGTAGAATGCGCCGGCCGTAACAACTCGGGCGCCGGTCACGACAGGGACAATGAGACTTGCGACTCTCTGTCTCTTGACTCTTTGTCGCTCGTCTATTGTCTCTGTCACGGCAGACTTGTGACGTCATCGTGTACCCACTTGGTGTTATGGTGTCTCCGCTGTAATATGGTAGAATGCGCCGGCCGTAACAACTCGGGCGCGGGCGCGGAAGAGACAAAAGACTAAGACCGCGACTCTCTCTATCTCCTTCTAGTCTAAAGTCCGGTCGCCGAGCAAATAGAATTTCGTCCAATGACCCCAAGCTACCCATCCTTATCGCTCGCGCGTAATTATATTGCTGTCGCGACTGTGCGACGCGCGCCCGCAGTGAGTGTGCGAGCGCGACCGGACTTTAGGATGGTACCTCTCGCCATCCTAAAGTCATGGTGATGGATGATGGTATCTTTCGCTCTCGACTTGAAGGGGCCTAGATTATGGTTGGTAACTCACTTGGTGTTATGGTGTCTCCGCTGTAAGATAGTGGAGTGCTGGTAGGGCCCAAAAGATAAGGAGACATGTAAAGTGCCCCATAAGGGCTACCTTTTCTTTTTTTATTATTTTCTATTGACGTTCATAAGTGCCACTTGTGGTCTAAACTGAATAAATATTTTTGATTTTTTGATTTTGAGTGCGCGGGTCGTAGTAACTCGAGCGCGGAACTCCCCTGTCTCTGTCATGGTCGCCAACTGATTGATCGCTTGTCTGTCACGGCAGACTTGTGACGTCATCATGTAACTTACTTGGTGTTATGGTGTCTCCGCTGTAAGATGGTAGAATGTGCCGGCCGTAATAGCTCGGACGCCTGTCGCGGCAGAGACAAGAGTCTAATGCCCGTTTTCACCATCAATCCCTAATATTTAAGTGACCCCTATGAAAATAAAAGTCCTGTTATGTGCTTCACTTCACATGTGTCACTTAAAAATTAGGGATTGATGATGAAAACGGGCATGAGACCGCGACTCCCTCTGTCTCTGTCATGGTCGCAAACTGACTAGTCTCTTGTCTCTGTCACGGCATACTTGTGACGTCACCGGGTACTCACTTGGTGTTATGGTGTCTCCGCTGTAAGATGGTAGAATGCGCCGGCCGTAACAACTCGGGCGCGGGCGCAGGTCGCGACAGAGACAAGAGACTGAGACCGCGGCTCTCCCTGTCTCCTTCTCGCTCGAGAATTGATGCTTATACTTAAGTCAAGTAACGGTCGTGGTCTCCCGCCTCAATCTCATGTACGAGTATTTGCGTGAATCGACAAACGGACAGCTGGCTAGTGCAGTGTACTAAATCAGTAGTAGATCGTCAACTATAGTTCGTTTCATCCACTCGGCCGCGCCCCAGCAATGTGTGGTCCCGGTCGCGCGGGGTGCGGGGAGTGTGGTCCGAGCAATCCGTAAGGCATTACTGTAGTGTGCGTGTGCACTCATTTGCAGCATTTGGTGTGTACCGATAACACTCAAACAATAGCGGGAGAATGGTGGGGAATGAAACGATCTATAGGTAGTGACGTCAGCGTGTACTCACTTGGTGTTATGGTGTCTCCGCTGTAAGATGGTGGAATGCGCCGGTCGTAATAATTCAGGCGCGGGCGCGGGCCGCGGCGGCAGCGGCGGCGGCGCGGGACTTGACGATGCCTGCGGACATTCAAACTCATTTATTTATCAAGTAGGCTTTTAAAAAGCACTTTTACACGTCCCAGTATTAACCCTACCACTGTTTCAGGACAATAAATGGGCCAGTGCTGAAAAGAAGCAGCGGACTCAGTCTTCAATTGCATCTATAGCATCTCATGGACCCTCTATGGCATCTCAATGACCCCATAACATTTCATAGAACCACTATTGCATCTAAATGACCTCATTACATCTCAAGCACCCCTTTTGGATCTCAACTCTTAAGAACTCCTGTTGCATCGTCAGGGCCGCAATGGTGCAACGTTGTGCTCTCTCATTGCATCTCACGGACCCCATTGAATTCCTAGGATTTCCATTGCATCTCACAGACCCCTTCAGACGCATGTTATGGACATCTCAGTCGTGTGCACAGATCATAGAAACTAAAGAGAGATGTGCCAAGTGGGCGGGGCCGGTGTCGCATCAATATGCCCAAAAACACAACAGATTGCTGCAGACGTCATGATGTAAACTAAAGATTATTATTTTTATTATACAAACGTTGAGTACTGATACCGCAGTGGTTAATGAGCACATATTTTGATTACTTTGTGTGTGAGAATTTGTGATGCGACACTGAGTTTCGAACTCAGCGCATTAGTTGGCATCACTGTATATCTCTATGGGTTACACTTACCGCGGGTTGCGCCGAGTCCCGGCGACACGGTGCCGCACGACACTGCTATGAGCGGTCCATCCCCTCCCCCCCTTTGCATCTCATGGACCTCTCGTAGAATCTCACAGACCCCCCAATGCATCTCATGGTACCATATTACATCTCAAGAACTCTCATTGCATCTCACAGACACCCCAATGCATCTTACACACTCGCTAATGTATCTCACAGACCCCCCAACGCATCTCATGGTCCCATATTACATCTTAAGGACTCAAATTGCATTTCATGGACCCTCCAATGCATCTTACACACTCCTAATGCATCTCAACGACCCCCATGGCATTTCACGGACCCCAATTGCATCTCAAGGACCTCTCATTGCATCTCACAGACCCCCCAATGCATCTCACGGTTCCATATTACATCTCAAGGACTCCCATTGCATCTCATGGATCTCCCAATGCATCTTACACACTCCTAATGCATCTCACAGACCCCCCAATGCATCTCACGGTCCCATATTACATCTCAAGGACTCTCAACTGCATCTCATGGACCCCCTTAGTGCATCTTACACACTCCTAATGCATCTCACAGACCCCCCAATGCATCTCACGGTCCCATATTACATCTCAAGGACTCCCATTGCATCTCATGGATCTCCCAATGCATCTTACACACTCCTAATGCATCTCACAGACCCCCCAATGCATCTCACGGTTCCATATTACATCTCAAGGACTCTCATTGCATCTCATGGATCTCCCAATGCATCTTACACACTCCTAATACATCTCAACGACCCCCATGGCATTTCACGGACCCCAATTGCATCTGAAGGACCTCTCATTGCATCTCACAGACCCCCCAATGCATCTCACGGTCCCATATTACATCTTAAGGACTCTCACTGCATCTCATGGATCCCCCTAATGCATCTCACAGACCCCCAACGCATCTTACGGTCCCATATTACATCTCAAGGACTCTCATTGCATCTCATGGACCCCCCCAATGCATCTTACACACTCCCAATGCATCTCACAGACCCCTCAGACATCGCAATCGTATGTAACACTCACCGCGGGTTGCATCGGCGGCGGCGTGGGCGGCGCTGCTATGAGCGGTCCAACATAATTGCATCTCATGGACCTCTCATTGCATCTCAAGAACTCTATAGCATCTCCAATGCATCTCAAGCACCTCCAATGCATCTCGCAGACCCTCAATTCAAAGTGACCCCATCATCCCATTTAAGGACCCCCCATTCTATCTCACGGACTCCCATAGCATCACACAGACCCCTTAGACATCTCAATCGTATCTTAAGGATCTCTCACTGCATCTCACAGACCCCCCTATGCATTTCACGGTCCCATATTACATCTCAAGATCTCTCACTGCATCTCACGAACCCCAATGCATCTCATAGACCCCTCAGACGAATTTTATGGACATGGACGTCGTGTGTTATGGACGTCGTAAGTTATGGATATGGACGTAGTGTTGTATTCACGTAGGTAACACTTACCGCGGGTTGCGGCGGCGGCGGCAGCGGCGTGGGCGGCGCCGCCGAGTCCCGGCGGCGGCGCGGCGGCAGCGGCGGCGGCGTGCCGCACGATACTGCTGTGAACGGTCAGGTGTTAATATGTGTAAAGGACAGACAGATATGACGAAACTATAAGGGAGAAGCCACACGGTGCGGTGCGGTCGCGGCACGGCGCCGGACGTCCTGCATATAAAAATCTAAATATATAAAAGGAGAAATTGACTGACTGACATATCAACGCACAGCCTAAATGGCTAAACGTAGGCATTTGAAATTTGGAAGAGACGTAGGTGCACTAAGAAAGGAATTCCCGAAATTTCCACGGGAACGGGAATTAACGGGAAAATCCTTTTGTATGAAAAATCTAAACCGCTTAAGTTAGACGCTTGAAATTTCGCATGCAGATACCTTAGTAAACCTAAAGCTTAGTTACAACAGGATATTGCAAAATTCCCACGGGAACGGGAGTTAGCGGGAAAAAACATTTGTATGAAAAAATCTAAACCGCGTAAGATAGATGTAGGGGGTAAAACGGGATCCACGCGTACGAAGTCGCGGGCGGCCGCTAGTATTGTATATAATAAAAATAATCTCATGTTGCAATACCCTAGCAGGGTTTATGTTATAGGCCTATGTCTATTATGTAAGAACCTTTTTTGAATTTATCCAATCACAACTTTTTGAGGCTAAAGAGAGGGTTTTTTTTTGAGAATTTGAATATTGGTCTTGATTAAAAGTTGTGAATAAAAAAAAAAGTTGTTGCACTTGATCAGTAGAATCAGTTCTTTGTTTGATCACCGGGTACCTGGGATGACCCAGGTACCCGGCTGTTATACAGTTATATAACTGTTATACAGGATGACCTGTATAACAGTTATTACATAAAGAAATAGAATAATAAGCCGTGTGGTTACGGCAGAGTAGGATACATTTGGCACCAACCCCTACTCGTCCCGAGGGTCGTAAGAGGCGACTTAGGGACTACACATCAAACAAAGAACGGGCAGCAGCGCTCTCTGAAAAACATCTATCTTTGAAACTGCGATCTCCAACCCGCCTGCCAAGCGTGGGGATTATGGCAAAACCCTCCACTATAGTAGAGGAGGCTCATAGTCCAGCAGTGGACTGTAAAGGGCTGTTGATGATGATGACATGTATAACTTACGGTGATGTGGCGTTAACGGCGGCGCAGGCGGCGACGGCGTGGGAGCGCCTCTCGCCGGAAAACTGAACGCGCTGCCTCTGTAAAAAGAGTTTGATTTTAATATAAAGTAAGAAGTATTTAGACATAAATGTGTGTCGAAATGGTTCCCGTTTAGTCCCAATAGTTCTTTTAAAGCAACTACTGGGACTTTACTTCAGTCGGTGATCTATTCTTTTAGACCATAAAATCTCTTCTTTAAGGCCCAGAACAGACGGTGAAACGCGACTGCAACGTAACTGCAACTGCTAGTTACTTTTGAGTTGCATCGAAGTTTCTGCCATAGCGTCCGTTGAGAGACCACACATGACGCGACCAGTATGAAACTTTCAGTTTTATTCATCAGAATTATCAGAAAGTTGCAGTTTCATTGCAGTTGAGTTTCACCGTCTGTTCTGGGACTAACTCTCAAGTCTGTCAAACTCCGTACTAAAAACACCGGTTCTGGTTATAGTCGCATTTAAAATAAGGTGGTGCAACTCAATCTAAGGAATTATTCGTGAATAGTGTCGGATTCTCTGACAAATCCAACTTTCTTAACGCTACTTATTCTCAGCACTGACCCATTTATTGTCCCTAAGCAGTGATAGGGTTCAAGTAATACTCAGACGTGTAAAAGTGCTTTTCAAACGCCTAATTGCAAGCATATTCTTTCCTTTACTGACCTGTCGTTCTGAACGAGCGGACTGACGGGCGGCTGCGGCGCGGGAGACCTTTTAGGAGACATCGCAGGCATCCTGGGAACAAGCATTCAAATGTTACAATTACACTACTGTGCGGTGCTGAGAATCTTCAAACAGTAGTTTGAAGATTACGATACAACCGATACGTTGTCCTGAAATGGCGCTTTCTATGTCGCGAATATAGCTGAGCGGACGCTACTTCAGCATAGTTTATAGTTTAATGTTATGTACTGTATTTTTATTTCATTTTTTTTCTATCTATACTAATATTATAAATGCGAAAGTAACTCTGTCTGTCCGTCTGTCTGTCACGCTTTCACGCCCAAACCACTGAACCGATTTTGATGAAATTTGGCATAGAGATAGTTCGAGTCCCGGGAAAGGACATAGGATAGTTTTTATCCCGGTTTTTGAACAGGAACGCACGCGATAGTGTTTTTTTGTGACAGACTAAATTCCGCGCGGGCGAAGCCGCGGGCAGAAAGCTAGTCCGAATTAAGTGTTCTTATTCTTATTCTTAAGTGGTGGGTCAAGCTATATTGGGACGTGTAAAGTGCAAAAGGCAACTAGTGGTTCCAGCGTTTCTTCACAGGACTTGCCATGTGTTTGTCGCGAAGCGCTGGTAGGGCTCAAAAGATAAGGAGACATGTAACATGCCCCATAAGGGCTACCTTTTTTATCTACTGTATTTAGACGTACATAAGTGCCACTAGTGGTCTAAATTGAATAAAAATATTCAAAGAACTGTTAAATAAATAAATAAATCACGAAATCTCAGAAACTACAAGTACTAGGAGTCTCAAATTTTACATGGGGGTTCCTTTTAGAACGTAGGTGCTCACTAAGAACGGATTTTATGAAACTCCACCCCTTAGGGGTAAAACGGGATTACGGGTTCCACGCGTACGAAGTCGCGGGCGGCCGCTAGTTAACAAATAAATAAAATAATTAATTTTAATAAAAACTGAGTTACCTTCCGCCACAATTATAATGTAGTGTGTGAATACATTTTATTGTTGATTCAACCCGATACTCCACCAGTCGCTTCAATTTACGAGCACAAAAAGACATTGTTGTGAGAGACATCTGTTCACGGTCATATTACACCCGATATGATGGGCCAGTGGTACTCAAACTGAGGTGGAATTGTGTAAAGTGTGCCATGTTGGGAGACCGTATGAATGATACAAGAGTGGTTGTTAGTGTCTGCTTTAAGTCTGTTTATTAATGTGAACTGCGTGACTATTTATACGATATAGATCAAAGGTGAATGACGTCACAGCATCAGCACTATACGTGATAAATGTGCTGACACTGTGAACGTGATCAAGATAAGATATGAAGAGATTTAGTATTGTGCATACCGGCACATAAAGCAATCGTTATCATTTGACAGTTCATAACGTACGATTATTCTGTCAAACGCTTTGTTTAACTTTATCGTACGTTATGAACTGTCAAATGATTACGATTGCTTTACACAATTTTCTTGTCGGTATCGGACTCACGGAGCGATTTTTAAAGGGAAAAATTGAATGGGGGGTCTGTGAGATGCAACAGGGGTCCATATGTTCAATGGGGGTCCTTGAGATGCTACGTGGGACCACGTGAGCTATCTCATTCATAAAATAAATATTCTTGCATCCAAGGGGTCACAGCCAATAAATTATGAATTTTGAGATCTTTTGTTAAAGTCCTGTCGCCGAGCACGTATAATTATGTCCAATGACCCCAAGCTATCAATCCTTATCGCTCGCGCGTAATAATGTTGCTGTCGCGCTCGCACACTCACTGCGGGCGCACGTTGCACAGTCGCGACAGCAATATAATTACGCGCGAGCGATAAGGATGGGTAGCTTGGGGTCATTGGACGAAATTCTAAGTGCTCGGCGACCGGACTTTAGAAAATCATGTACCGTGTTAGGTAAATTTGACCAATCTTTTCAGCACTGTTTCATATCATTATCCCGAACCAGTGGCAGGGTTAATACAAAAATATATTGGGACGTGTAAAAGTGTTCTTTAACAGGCTACTCACAGAAAATAAATATTTTTTATGAATTTTTATTTACCTTTACGGTTTTTAAATTACTTTGGGTATCACCATGTTAGTGTGGTGATAAGGAAAGACCACACACTCGCAGATAAACTATATTCTGTTACATAACAACATTGTTATCTGACACCTTTGATATTTAGCTTTATTTGGGACTAGGGATGCCACACAGAAATCAAAATTAACTTTCATAATTTAAAACTCAAAGGTGACTGACTGACATAGTGATTTATCAACGCACAGCCCAAACCGCTGGACGAATCGGGCTGAAATTTGGCATGCAGGTAGATGTTATGACGTAGGCATCCGCTAAGAAGGATTTTACGAAACTCCACCCCTAAGGGGTTAAAACAGGATCCACACGTACGAAGTCGCGGGCGGTCGCTAGTAATTCATAAGAACCGAGTAAGCGCAAGAAAAGTGAGGCACTTCAAACTAGACCACTGGCTTACTTTTTCCCATACATACTTTTTGACAGTTGACAAATCAAATATTAGTGAAGAAAACCTAATGCTAGGTGACATTATTTCTAAAAACAGTAACTGAGTTTCTTGCGCTGCTTCTTCTCAGCACTGGCCCATTTGTTGTCCCGAAGCAGTGGTAGGGTTAATACTGGGACGTGTAAAAGTGCTTTTTAAACCCTACTTGCAAACATGAAATGAGTTGTCATTGGATGACATATTTTGGTTTACTTTTGGTCTCAATGAGGGTTTTCGCGAATGAAAGATCCGCTAGATGGCGGGACGTCGATGTGGGGTCTGACTGCTGCGTGATTGGTGGATTTTGACATATCTGTCAATGTCACGTCAAACATAACCAATCATGCAGCATTTGGACCTCGCGTCTACGTATTGCCATCTGGCGGATTTTTCGAGTTATGGCGAGTTACTTGTTTGATAACTATTCTAAGATTTGAACTAAGTATATTGTTACCTGGCCAGCTCTTGTAGTTTCGGACTCGGTAGCGGGTCGCCTGGTGGTGACCACGTCGCATTGGCTGAAACAAAATTGTAAAAATGTTAACAATTAATCTCCCATTTACTTCTAGTTTAAAACATGTCACAGTCGCGCTGCAATCGCGTTGTCATCACGCCGCTTACCACTGTCACGCTGGCTTTAATCGAGCTTCAGTCGCGTCGCTATCACAACATAGTTGTGTTGCAATCGCTTCATCGTTTTGTCGTATATGTGACTCAGATGAACAGCGTTTGCAACGACAAACACGTCAGTCACCCTACAATCACGTCACTTAACCGGATGGTGAAGTGAGCCAGGTCGCGGTGGTAATAACGTAACTCTCCGTTGTCTTTGCTCGCACTGCAGTCGCGTCATCGTCACGCAACAATCGGGTCACTATTACGCTACAAACGCGTCACTATTGCGTAGCAAACACGTCACTATTGCGTCAGGGTTGTGTTAGTTTTTTTCTCGCTTTTTTCACTTACCCGGATGGTGCGGTGAGCCGGGCCGTGGCGGTAATAAAGGTGGTTTGTCTCCGTTGTCTTTGCTCGCGCTGCAGTCACGTCATCGTCACGTTAAAGTCGCGCAACAATCGCGTCACTATTGCGCTGCAGTTGCGTCATAGTCACGTTGCAAATGCGTCACTATCGCGTCACAGTTGCGCCACGTATTAGTTTTTTTCTCGCTTTCTTCACTTACCCGGATGGTGCGGTGAGCCGGGCCGTGGCGGTAATAACGGTGGTTTGTCTCCGTTGTCGCAGTCGCATCATCGTCTCGCAACAATCGCGTCACTATTGCGCTGCAGTTGCGTCATAGTCACGCTGCAAATGCGTCACTATCGCGTCACAGTTGCGCCACGTATTAGTTTTTTTCTCGCTTTCTTCACTTACCCGGATGGTGCGGTGAGCCGGGCCGTGGCGGTAATAACGGTGGTTTGTCTCCGTTGTCGCAGTCGCATCATCGTCTCGCAACAATCGCGTCACTATTGCGCTGCAGTTGCGTTATAGTCACGCTGCAAACGCGTCGCAGTCACGCTACAATTGAGTCACGATCGCGTCACAGTTGCGCCCCGTATTAGTTTTTTTCTCGCTTTCTTCACTTACCCGGATGGTGAGGTGAGCCGGGCCGTGGCGGTAATAACGGTGGCTTGTCTCCGTTGTCTCTGGTCGCGTTTCTGCCGCATCATCGTCACGTTACAGTCACGCAACAATCACGCCACTATTGCTCTGATATCCCATCACAGTCACGCTGCAGTCACGTCACCATCGCGTCACAGTCACGCTGCAGTTGCGTTACCATCCCATCACAGTCACGCTGCAGTCGTCTTACCGTCGCGTGACAGTTGCGCCACATATTAGTTTTTTTTCTTTCTTCACTTACCCGGATGGTGCGGTGAGCCGGGCCGTGGTGGTAATAAAGGCGATTTGTTTCCGTTGTCTCTGGTCATCGTCACGTTACAATCACGTCACTTACCCGGGTGGTGAGGTGAGCCAGGCCACAGCGACAGTAACGGTGTTACGTCACGCAACAATGGAGTCACTATTACGTTGCAATCACGTCACAGTCAAGCTACAATAACATACCTGGGTGGTGTGGTGAACTAGGTCGCGGCGGTAATAACGGTGGTTTGTCCCCGTTGTCTCTGGTCATCGTCACGTTACAATCACGTCACTTACCCGGGTGGTGAGGTGAGCCAGGCCACAGCGACAGTAACGGTGTTACGTCACGCAACAATGGAGTCACTATTACGTTGCAATCACGTCACAGTCAAGCTACAATAACATACCTGGGTGGTGTGGTGAACTAGGTCGCGGCGGTAATAACGGTGGTTTGTCCCCGTTGTCTCTGGTCGCGCTGCTGCCACTCGACCGGGGAAGCAGAGGTGGGACCCGCTCCTGTATTGAACATAAGTTAATTATCACACAGTTGTTTATGTTATTAACTAATATTTAAATAAATATGAGGTAGATTTTTGAGTGTAGATGCATATTTATTTAGTTTTTTGGTTCTGCTGTTTTCACCAATAAATAATAATTCAGGAAAAAGGTTGAGGTTATATTATAATTTGTCAATGAGTTTTCTTCTTAGAATATTTTTTATCCCGGATAGTCGTTCTGTGACAGATTGTATTTAAGCGGGTGCAGTCCCGGGCTAAAGGTAGTTAATCCCTACTAATAATTTGATTGAGAAAGTAACTATGTCTGTTTGTTACTCTTTCACGCAAAATTTACTGAACGGATTTTGATAAACCTCTACAGTGTTATTATTTATAACCCAGAATAACATAATATGATATAATTTATGACGATCTGTGACATATTAAATTTGACGTAGGCAAAAGCTAGTAAATAAATAAACAGGCAAACACGGTAACAGTGATGCATAGTTTTTATGTCAGCTAGCACCATTTAGAATTGCTCCAACTGTCACCTTCAGAGAGCTGGGCAAGGTTGAAGAACAGCGCAGCCCGGGACTTGCTCTCGAGGCAGCTTGAGTTGAACCTCATGGCCTTTTAATATTACGACGACTAGTGACTTATAGTTTTGACTACTTTGACATTGTAATATTACGACGACTAGTGACTTATAGTTTTGACTACTTTGACATTGTAATATTACGACGACTAGTGACTTATAGTTTTGACTACTTAATAAGCAATCAAGTGTTTTGTGTCATTAATGCATGTGAATTATTAATTTATTAATTGATTTATTAATCACTAATATTATTGTATGCCAACCAGGCGAAACATAGTGAGACTATCACAATGTATTATTTTTATCTGTAAACACCTATGTTTCACAATAAATAAATTTGAATTTGAAATTTGTTTCCTGTATTTAATTTACTCTAGTTTTAATTTTAATTGTAACATTTAAATTTTGGCTGTGGGAAACAATAAATGATTTTTATTTATTAATTTATTTATTATCTATATATATAAAAGAAAGTCGTGTTAGTTACTCCACTTATAACTCAAGAACGGCTGAACCGATTTAGCTGAAAATTGTCAGGGAGGTAGTTTAGAGCCAGGAGAAGGAGATAGGATACTTTTTATCCCGTTCGAAATAAAAAGTCTGCTTATTTATTGCCATTAAGGCGGAACAAAGTTCGCCGGGTCAGCTAGTTATTTATAAACAAGGTTACCGTGTCGGTTGGGCGGCTGCTGCGGCTGTAGAAACAGTCGGCGTCGACGATGGCGCCGCGCGGAGACAGCGCCGGCTTGCGCTCGCCGCACAGCGACGCCCTGCATACACGGGTATTGTTAAAACTTGTATTGTTAAATTATGATAAGCTCTAAAGCCTGGTCCGTGAGCACGTAGAATCCCGTCTAAAGACCCCAAGCTGCCCATCCTTGTCGCTCGCGCGTAATTATGTTGCTGTCGCGCTCGCACACTCACTGCGGGCGCCCGTCGCACAGTCGCGACAGCAATATAATTACGCGCGAGCGATAAGGATGGATAGCTTGGGGTCATTGGACGGGATTCTACGTGCTCACGGACCAGGCTTTACATTGTAATAAATACGTTCGAGTACTAAGTTAAGCAGTCTTAAATATGCCAATATATTCGTAATCTTTTATATTAAATTGCTATACAGGATGGAATTTTGTTATGCCACCTGAAGGGAATGTACTCTTAATATTGTAGATAGAAAATTTTTCTCAAAGAAAACATTCCTTTATTTTTGAAAAGAAATAGAACTGCATTCAAAGATTTCGAAAAAATTGCTTACCACACCCGGGAATCGAACCAACTAAAATCTTTTAAAAATTACACCCTGTATTTTTATTACATTGATCGTTAAGGTTAAGTATAGGGATGAAATCTCTCAAACAAACTTGCTAAATCAAATGAAAGGAAAACCATTAAATCTTAAATTATTGTAATTATTTACAGAAAATTGTATGTATGGTGGTAAATTTTCGAAAAAAATCGAAAATCTTTGAATGTAGTTCTCTTTCTTTTCAAAAATAAAGGAATGTTTTCTTTGAGTAAAATTTTCTATCTACAGTATTAAGGGTACTTTCCCTCCAGGTGGCATTACAAAATTCCACCCTGTATAATTACAGGGATAGATAGTATCCAAACATTATACAGGGTGCGTAATAAGTGTCGGGGCGTCCCTTCAGGCTTCAGGCGCACTCGGCACTTGATTGATAAGCACTAATGTGTCTGTAAGACACCCTATATCTAATACAGGGTGGCTATGTTATTTAGGTAAAAACGTTTAATCTTTCGTTCCGCTATCGAAAAATTATAGTCATAAAAACGAGAATTGTTATGTAGAAAAGTTATGTAGCCATGGTAGACTCCCCGATTCTAATTTGTATGCAGATTTCATACTGATTAACAGCCTAAAGGGTTCGTTTCCACGACAATCCAGTTTTGTTGGATTACTGGATCCTGGAAAACTTGTGTATTCACTCAAATGGCAGAATCTCGTTTTCATGACGTACGGGTGTTTGCAAAAATTAATGCAGGAAGCTGCTAGTAGACTTCTATTAAACAATATTTGTAATGAAACTGGATTCTGCTTTTTTTACAGGTCCAGTTTAATGACAATTAGCAATTCCTAAAAGTCCCTAAAAATGGGATGTTCGTGTGATTAAAACACATCATTATACAATCGAACGATATAAAACGAAATGTCTTAGTGGAAAAAGTTCTTATATTATGTTTAATCACAAGATATTTCACGGCAATTTTTCACTAACCTGTCGTGTCTCGGAGAATGCCTGTCCCTCGGTGATGGTGGTTCGTCCCTTGAAGACAGCCTGCAATAATAATAAAAATACATTTATTAGAAATTCATCATCTTGTCAACGATTTTTCCCCAAATACATGTTTGTATAAAGATACGATAGGTATGGTAATGACTTGCTGGTGAGGCTAGTTTGTCGAGGAACAAAAGTTGAACCAATCAGCTAAGACGCTGCTGCTTGAGGAGACACTGACAATAATATGTTTGTGCTATTTCAATAATTCATAATCATTTTATGACATTTGCATGACATTCAATTAATAATGATACTACTTTTTAATATTAAAAACATAACCATATTTTTTGTAATATTTGCACATCGTATGTACGATAGAATATGTTGGAAACTTCTCTTTTTATAACCATTTGTAACCGTATTCTGGCAAATAAATGATTTATTATTATTATTATTTCTTAGGCTTTTTTTTTACTCGAAGTCCATAAGTTCTTCGGTATAACGTTAACTCACGGGCTCATGCCAAGTGAGTTACGTGTTATTATTATTATTATAAGGCAAAGGCTAAAAAATCCAGGAACAATACTAACTTGGTGGTGGACACGCTGCTGGCTTTGTCCAGCTTGTCCAGGTACGACATGTGAGCCAGCAAGCGACCAAAAAGCTTCCAGGAGAGAGCAAGAAACAGTATTTAAGTCGAGGCTAGCGTTCTATTTATCAGGACCCTGGCGTTCAAACAGCTTCCTGAGAAGATAATATTAATATAGGGTAGGGATAGGCTATAAATGATCCGGGAACAATACTGACTTGGTGGTGGACACGCTGCTAGCTTTGTCCAGCTTGTCCAAGAAGGACAGGTGAGCCAGCGAGCCTGACAGCCGCGGGCTGATCAAGCCACTGCCCTCCGACCGGTGTATACCTGCAAATTATGACATCGTTACAGGGTGACTTTGAAATCAGTATCTTAAGGAGTGACTTAGAATCAGTAACTTAACTTATAAAAAAATACTCGACACGTATTTTTCAAAAGCGTAGCACTTTGACGTCACGTGGAACTTCAACGCACCATCATAACCTCGTAATTACTTGTTTGATTGACAAATACAAATGTACGTGTCCAATAGGCTAGATGGCAAAATTTCAATTATTTGTCCGTCAGATAGATAATTAGAAAATATTAGACTCATATTTCTTTCATAATTAAATAATAACGGTGCTACATCGGACCGTTCATTGTGGAAAACCTTGGGGGAGGCCTTTGTCCAGCAGTGGACGTCATTTGGCTGAAACGAAGGTGCTACATCGAGTTGAAATGGCGCGTTACGTCACGCTTGAGTAGATTTTTTACTCAAAAGTGACGTCACGCGACATTTCAATTAAACAAAAAAAAAATATGTGTCTAAATTTTTTTTATTATTGTTGATATTTCGAGGAAAACCATTGAAACACGGAAATATTAACAAACGTATTATATTCGAGACTTCACACGTTTACAGGAAGAAAGATGGCGAGAGAGAGAAAAAAGTGCTGCCAACATGAAACGTTTAAACTAAACAATAAAGCCAAACTTAAGAAACTAATCGATTGCGTTCTCATTTACCAACAATTATCTATCTGACGGATTAAATAGAATTTCGATTTCACATTCTTATTTTTTAGGAATCTAGCCTATTCTGGCAACAGACACCCTATATTATTCATCATCATCATCATTATTTCAGCCATAGGACGTCCACTGCTGAACATAGGCCTCCCCCAATGCTTTCCATGTTTGATCGATTGGTAGCGGCCTGCGTCCAGCGCTTCCCTGCTGCCTTTACGATGTCGTCGGTCCACCTTGTAGGTGGACTTGAATCCCTATATTGTTACTATGAGTATACTTACTCCTGGAGTCTGAGAAGGCCAGCGAGGACACGGACGCGCCGTCCCAGCCGCTCATACTCGTCGGGGACAGCTGGGACACGCCTGCAAGGGAACCTCCACTTTAATACATAGGCATTAGCGCACAGAATTGAATGGCTTTTGAGTTGTAAGTGATTGAATAAGTGAGATGGACATAGGATAGGAGAAAAGTTGTTTTATTTTGTGAATGACGAAGAACGACGAATATGGTGTATAAATATCTAATCTAAGCCTTTCAAGTCCTACATCACCCACTTTTCAATAGAAAAGGAATTTTTATATGCTGTACGATTTTCCAATGTCCATGTCGTGTCATTTGTAGTATCGTGACCTGTTGTATTGTAGTGTAGTATTGTATTATGGCATGGCATATCAAAATAATAGCACCGTTGCGTAATAGCAAAATTGCAATTATTTGTCCGTCAGAGAGATACTTAGAAAATAATAGACTCGTATTTTTTATTTTCTTTCATAAATAATAACAGTGCTACATCGAGTTGAAATGGCGCGTTGCGACACGCTTATGTAGATTTGTATATTTTTTACTCAAAAGTGACGTCATGCGACATTTCAACTCTATACAGGGTGTTAGGTAAATGGGTATATGAGCCGACACTAGCCCATGTTAACATAGGCATATAAATGGTATGGTGAAGTCAGAAATTTGATATCATGATTTTATTTTTTTTAATTTTCATACAAAATAATTTTTACAAAATCCGATTTGTATGAAAATTAAAATAGTTAAAATGAAGATATCAATTCTCTGACTTCACCATACCATTTATATGACCATGTTAACATGGGCTAGTGTCGGCTCATATACCCATTTACCTAACACCCTGTATAATACTGTGATTATTCGATTATGAAAAATAAAAATACGCGTCCAATTTTTTTTTATCTGTCTGACAGATTAAATAGAAATTCAATTTCACACGGCGCGACACCTTTACTTGCTTCGTCGTAGCATCGTATAGTGTTATCCTGCGTCGCATCATGTCGTGTAGCGGCGTGTCATTCGTGTAATGTAGTAGTGTTATATCGTGTAGCAATGTGTCGCGCAGTGGCGTGTCATAAGTCATATGGAGGCCTGTCATGTCGTGTAGTGTAGTGTAGCGTTCATACTGTGTCATGTCGTGTAGTGTAGTGTAGCGTCGTGGCTACTCACTGAGCGTGTCTGAGTTGTTGGCGGCGGGCGCAGCGGCGGCGGTGTCGTGCGCTCGCCGCGACACCTTGACTTGCTTCAACGATAACTCCGGGTACTTGCGAGGCTGGAAACAAACAATCATCATTGTAGTGTACCTAAATTTCTTATAGGTTTTAAACCTTTGTTTGTCACCTGTCATCCGCTTTGCAATGGAGGGAAGTCGAACCTTAATTTCGAACTCCTCCTATGTTCATCTGATTAATTTCGTTGCGGGTCCAATGACAGTTTAACTTTCCCCCGGGACAAACTTGACCTTCATTGGTTGGGTTTTTGTGGCGGTCAAGCTGTAGATCCTGGCTACACGGGAGTTGCAGTCGTGGGAACGAGAGGTGGGAATAGTCCCGTAGTGTACCTAAATGTGCACACTGGCGCACCGTCACACCAAGCGTCTCACTGCGGCACGTCCGTACTCGCCGGCGTCTGCCGTACGACTGACTCGTCCTACTCGTAACGACGTCACGTGACTGCCCATCACTTGTGTACGTGAGACAGCGTATTGTATCTATCTAGTACGTAGATACAAACACTACAATCATGCCATTTATAGATCTAGTCAAGGCTCGGATACCGGTTAATTTTTCAAATCGTTATAGCTCTAAGTACAGTCACAGAATGAAAAGGTTCGTCAGTTTTCAAATTGATTCCTTCAACGAATCGCGAGCACATATTACCTTTTGAAACTATGTTACAGAATAATCTCGAGTTAGAGAAAATAATCTTTAACTGTTCGTCAGTAAAGTTCAAAATTATTCAGATCAAAGTTGTTTGACGATTTATCTTATCAAGAAGATTATTCATCATCAACAGCTCTTTACAGTCCACTACAGGACTATGAGCCTCCTCCACTATAGTGGAGGGTTTTGCCATAATCCCCACGCTTGGCAGGCGGGTTGGAGATCGCAGTTTAGCAAGAAGATTATTATGATTGATAAACTAAAACCTTCTTGTTGGTTCAACCTGCCATTATTATTTCTATTAAATAAAAAAAACTATTGTCAATTGGTCAATGTCATCATTGCATTGCACTGATGGGATAGAAAAATAAACAAGCAAAACCTTATTTGTTAGCAAACGTCATATTTATTTAAATGTTAGCAGCACTGTTTCTTGCACGTTATGTTGGCAGGTTTGGTACCTAGTGCAAGCGAAAACCGACACTAATGTGACGAACCTTTTCATTCTGCGACTGTACATGAGAACGAAATAATTTCGTTTGCGTTGCTCGAAACCGGTATCAATAACGTTATTTTTCAGAACCAAGTTTTCGGTTACGTTTTCGTTGTTTATTTTTTTTTTATGTGACAGGAGGCAAACGAGCAGACGGATTTATCACAATAGTTTATCACAATTAATATCGGGGCACAGGCGATGTTGCTGCTTCATTGTGTGCGTGTGTCTCGCGCTCCCTTTTTATGGAAAAACCGTTAAAGAACCTAATAACGGTATTTATTAAACCGGTTTCGAGCCTTGCCGCGAATTTAAAGTTGTTAGCTTTTTTTATACAATTACCAGACAAATAAAACTGTTGTAAATTCACTGTTGTTGTTCAAATACTCTGTGCGCAAGCATTTCCTTGAACGTATCTCGTCGTCTTGATCTCTCTTGAACCTTCTCGTTATCCACCTTATATTATGTAGGTATATGCATGTATTTATGTATATGTTACGGCTAAAGATAGTTGTGAACATAAACTTAAGATTAGCCGGCTAAACTTAAGTTTATCTTCGGCGAGGTGTTAATGTTAGTTTCTTCTATCTTTAGCCGGCTAAACTTAAGTGTAACCGCAGGACCTTGGCTAAAAATGTAGAAGGAAATGGAAAAGGAAACACTAAAATAATGTTTACTATTTTGACACGAAACCTTCATTAAAAAATAATCACTTTCATTACACATACTTTTATGTACCTATGTAGGTATTCAAAATTACAATTATTACAATAACAAAATATTAATTAGGTACTAAAACAATATCTACCTAATCATTACAATAAAGTAATAAGGAACCATTTGTTCATTACAGAATCTTCTGTAGGTAGGTATTTAAAATTACAAAATAAAACTGCGCGCGCGTTGTCTCCCCCCGCCCGTCCCCTCAAGCCCTCCGCCGGCCTGGCGCGCCCATCGAATACATTTTTAGCCATTTCGTTTTGGCTAATGTGCACATTAGCCGGCTAAAGATGGAATATCACGACGCAAACTAACATGTTATCGAACTTTAGCTGCTTCTCGAAGATAAACTTAAGTTTAGCCGGCTAATCTTAAGTTTATGTTCACAACTATCTTTAGCCGTAACATATACAGGGTGTTAGGTAAATGGGTATATGAGCCGAGACCAGCCCATGTTAACATACTCATATAAATACTATAGTGGTGTCAGAAAGTCTGGGAAAGGTACCATTATTGAGTAATCAGCTGATTCAGTTTTTGTCGCCAGATTGCGTCGTGATACCCCTGAAAATTAATAGTACGACAAACTTGCGTAGATAAAACAAATAACAGAATTCATTATTATTTTCTGCCTAAAAATTTTTCTCTGAGAGGCAAAAACCTTAAGCAGTTCCCCAGGAAAATCAGTCCATCTAAAAAGATTTAGCATAAGTCAAATACTCCCTTACCTTATTTGATTCGATTTGGATAAGTAAAAGTAAACAAAGTACCTAGTCAAGAATTAATTTTACTTCATTGCCTGTAACTTACTTATTAAAATTAATTGAATAATCATTAAACTTGATAATTGATTAAGGAAAATGAGACATTGTAGGTAATCATCTAAATTTTATCATCGTAAATCACGATATTGTGTACGATGTTGATAACTAAAAAACTAAAAATACCTTAACTTAAAATAAGACACCATTGAAAAAAAACCTTAGGCATTAAAGAAACGTGTCCAACGCACTGTTTAATCTTTGAAGGACAACGAAAGGTCCTTTGTTCTCGAACAATGGGACGGCACGTGTAGCGAGAGTGAGACGCAAGACGTATCGCACGGCGGCTTTCACTTGCAAGAAAGAGTCGGAAGATCATCGCGGCGCAGGAGTAGGGAAGTGACATTGAAGGCAAAAAATCGATTAAGATTTTTCTCCTGTTCAATAATAATTCGATGAAGGATTTATTTTTTCTACAAATAATAAATTCATGTGCCATTAATTAATTTCCAATCATTAATGGAGACGACATGTGGTTGGGGTTAAGTTTTCATTTCATGATTGACTAATGAAGGTCGAGTCGTCTCGAATTAAATTTAGCTAAAACATTTCCAAAAGCATGGCAGATTACGGTTTTCTTAATTTACCAAATAAAACTGTGTTGTTAGTTTTTTTTTTCAATATCTGATTTAGACCCATCGATAGTATAAGCGATTTCAGGAAGGTAGGATCTATCAATTATTCGATAATTGATTTTAAGACATTCCTATTGATTAGTCAGAGATGGGTTTCAAACAACTTGATATTTTAATCGATTTTTTGTAATATCAATATCGATTACCGAATTTATGGAAAAAATAATGACCTCGCACTAGTTGCACCGCGCATGCGCCATGCGGCCATGTTTATTTGTTTACATTAATATTTGATCAGTTTGTTGCGATGTTTTGTTGTTCGACGTTCTGGATAATTAGATATTCAAATAGCTAAGTAATACAATGACATTATGGTGTTGAGTGGTGTTGGTGCAATAGGACTTTGTGTTTTCTTTAGTGTGATGAACGATTTATGTCCGGGAGACCTTCCGTTCCACGATACCTTGTGGCATAATGTTTTCGCGGGTGGGTGAATCGACACCACCATAACACCGAAGGGAGACCCGGAGATCCCGTTCTTGAAAATAGGATTTCACTACAAGTACCTACCCGGTCACTTGAAAGCGTGGGAAGGTAAATAAGTGAGTGGATGGATGTGATAATGTGTTGCGATTCGTTTTGTGAATTAGAGTGAAGTGTTACCCCCTGAATATCTTGGATTGCTTGCAGAGTCAATAAAAAGAGGTAAGTGAAGAATTGGTTCAAAAGTAATAATAAAAGTGGGCGGTGCCGACTCGCGTCAAAATTTGTGAATGAAATACCGTTTGACCACGTTTGACCTAGGAGGGAGTTGCGCGATCGTAGGGCTGTCCAAAAATTAAAATAATAATTATTTATTTAGTTTTGTATGGGAAAATATTATTTACTAGCGGCCGCCCGCGACTTCGTACGCGTGAATCCCGTTTTTCGCGCTAATTCCCGTTCCCGTGGGAATTTTGGGAATTCCTTTCTTAGTGCACCTCTACGGTACCTAAGCTACGTCCCTTCCAAATTTCAAGTGCCTACGTTTAGCCGTTTAGGCTGTGCGTTGATCTGTCAGTCAGTCAGTCAGTTTCTCCTTTTATATATTTAGAAGATTAAATATTACGATATCCACTTTCTGACACCACTATAGTATTTATATGAGTATGTTAACATGGGCTAGTCTCGGCTCATATACCCATTTACCTAACACCCTGTATATTTTGTATTAATATACAGGGTGTCCCGTAATGTAACGTCAAGCCGGAACTGGGTGTTGAGGCAAGTTATGCTGGTTATCAGAAAAATGTAAAAAAAAATCTATGTGGCATATTTTCAAAATAATGGGCATTTAAAAAAATTCAAAAATTTCTACTCCAGGTGACGGTCTTTTTACTCGTGTTGCCACAAATCTTCACTTTTTCCAAATTTTTTTTTTGTTATGTAACCCTGAATAATGCTTCTCTAAATTGTTATAAAAATTACAAAACCAGCTGCTCCAGCTTGGATAAAAAAAAATACATTATTCCCAAAAAAAATTTCAAAATAAAAATTTTGTCTAGTTTAAACTGACTGTACTGAAAAAAAAAATTACTACGCAAGTGTGGCATGTGACGTCATAATTTGGCGCATTTAGTAAGGATTCCAAAATGGTATAACACTTGGTAAATTCTTGCTGTAATTGTCGACAATTTTTGGTTTTTTGGAAATAATCCCGTTTTTAACTTTATCTACCTTGGTTAAAAATTATTATTCTAATGTGCCCAAAATTCAAGTTTCTGGCTTAAATGAGGTGGAGAAGCCATTTTAAAAGGTATGAGCGGGACGGAGAGGGCCATCTTACCAAGCAGGGATGTTATGGATATCCGTAACCGTAACCGAAACTATCGGATATCCGAAATAAAAAAATATCCATAACCGTAACCGAAACTGATTCAAAAGTTACGGATAGTTTCGGATAAAGGCGGAGTCTAAGGGTACAATTATTCCAAACTGCAAAACTCTATGAAATCTGCAGTATACACGCCGCAGCAGCAATGCCGCGCTGCCGATTTCATAGAGTTTTGCAGTTTGCGGTCTGCGGCCCGTCTTGGAATTGTACCTTAAATCTTAATATTTGTTACCAACTTGTCTGGCATTCCCTGGCACCATCTAATATGCCAGCCTGTTTAACCTTTATCATACATAGGTGTCGTCTTAGTTGGTACATAAAGTAGCTATGTGGGTCACGCAGCATCTTGCTATTTGAATTATACCTACATTTTTGAAATTCTAATAATTCCGTAACCGAAATTATCCGAAACTTTCGGATAATCTGAAATGATTTCATATCCGTGACCGTAACCGAAACCGGTATAATATTATTCTAATATCCGTAACCGTATCCATAACCGAAACTTCATATCCTTATTATCCCTGTTACCAAGTACAAGTGCAGGCAGAGCAGGTAGTAAAGGCGCGCGCGCACGGGTGACTTTTGTCACAGTATGTCAACTACTAATTACTGTCATGGTGACAAAAGTTTCTGTGACTGACTGTACGGTAGTCAGTCACAGAAACTTGAATTTTGGGCATATTAGAATAATAATTTTTAACCAAGGTAGATAAAGTTAAAAACGGGATTATTTCCAAAAAACCAAAAATTGTCGACAATTACAGCAAGAATTTACCAAGTGTTATACCATTTTGGAATCCTTACTAAATGCGCCAAATTATGACGTCACATGCCACACTTACGTAGTAATTTTTTTTTTCAGTACAGTCAGTTTAAACTAGACAAAAATTTTATTTTGAAATTTTTTTTGGGAATAATGTATTTTTTTTATCCAAGCTGGAGCAGCTGGTTTTGTAATTTTGATAACAATTTAGAGAAGCATTATTCAGGGTTACATAACAAAAAAAAAATTTGGAAAAAGTGAAGATTTGTGGCAACCCGAGCAAAAGGACCGTCCCCTGGAGTAGAATTTTTTGATTTTTTTTAAATGCCTATTATTTTTAAAATATGCCACATAGATTTTTTTTTATATTTTTCTGGTAACCAGCACAACTTGCCTCAACACCCAGTTCCGGCTTGACGTTACATTACGGGACACCCTGTATATGAATGTATTTATGTATATATTTTGTATTAATATATATTATAATATTTTATGTATTATATTAGACTTTTTTTTTTGTATTTGTACTATTTTGCACCGCCTACTTAAATTCTCTGTTTTGTCTAATTTTCTGGTTAGCTGGAAGAGAATGCCACGTGGCATTAAGCTCGCCTGTTGTACCACTGTTTTTTATGTGTGCAATAAAGATTGTAAATAAATAAATTATATTAGCTAGCACCCATAACACAAGCATATTAATTGCTTACTTTGGGGCTAGATGGCGCTGTGTGAGATTGTCTAAAGATATAAAAAAAAAATTATTATAAAATAACATTTCTCTGTAAACTGTTAAATAGCCAATCGTTAACCACTCACAAACTTGGGCATCTGCTTGACGGGCGGCCCGGGAATGGATTCAGCGACTCCGGGAACAACTGGTGGGAATATTAATGAACATGGCACTCACAAACTTGGGCATCTGCTTGACGGGCGGGCGCGGCTCTATTTCCAGGCTCCTGGCGTACAGGTAGTTTGTGATCTCATTGTCGTCCATACCCGGGAACGGATCCAGCGACTCCAGGAATTGCTGAAAATAGAAATAGAATTAATTATCGTTGGTTTTTATTGCAGCGGTAGGGGAAACCGAGGTGTTGTAACTAGAGATGTAAATTGACCGAATTAGACTGGTCGCGATGGTCAAAACCATAAATGATAAGTCATTTACTGGCAAATTCAGTCAATGAGGGCTATCGTTTTAGCGCTCACTAATTAGCGCCACTGTAGAGTGAGGTCCTGTCACTTGCTAGTAGCGAAGACAGTGGCGCCGGCTGGTGAGCGCTAAAGTGGTAGGAGGACTATCGCATTTGCACTCATCAAGATGGCGCCTCTCTCTCTCCCATAGATTTTGTATGGCACTACAAGCAAGTGACGTCACTATTTTGTCAACTCAATTAAACTACTTTTTTCAATTACAATGCGAACAAAAATCGTAATTTACAGGTAATTTCAAATTAATTAAGTTTTTAAGACCAGAATGAAGGGTCTTTTTAAAACAGTTGTGGTTTTGAATTATTGGGGTATGGTGTCAAACTGTCTATTGTGTAACTAGAAATGTTAATTGACCGAATCTGACCGGTCGCGATGGTCAAAAGTCAAAACCATAAATGATGAGTCATTTACTGGCAAATTCAGTCAATTTGACTCAAATATTACCGGACTACCTTTTAGGTACCCAATTTATATGCAATTTTCAATGAAGGAACTTCATTTTTTATTATATTAAGAGAGAATAAGATGTCATCAAAGTTAACGTGCGCGGCGATGCGACATTAACTATAATAAATCATTACAAAACACTTTTTTATTTCAAATAAGATGTTGTAGACTTTTATCAATCACAAAATCTAAGAAAAAACTTCAAAATGTAAACAGAAAAACGATTACTGAAAACAAATTGACCGTTTATGACCAGTTTTTGACCAATTTGACCGTGAATGACGGTCAGTAAAGTTCAGCCGTTTTAGTAATTTTCAACACTATCCAGGATACCCTACAAGTTTGTCGGCGTGATTAATATACATATCAACACAAAATTACAGCTCTCTAGTGCCAATAGTTTATTTTTTTAGTCCGTTATGTTTAATATCAAAAAATATTGGACACATATATTTTTATATGTCAATCTAACAAATAATTACATAGTTATGGTGCGTTGAAGTTTCGCACGACGTCACAACGTGCGGCACTTTTATGCACGCATTGACGTCACGGGCCTCTTCTTATAAACTTTGGCGCGCTTTATCTCTTTTAATTTTCATTAGTTCGAAAAAGTGAAAAATACGTGTAGAGTATTTTTTGATAAGTTAACTGACGGACTAATTAAAACTCTTGCTTTTTGACCCAGGAAACATCCCTATAGTTTCCAAGCAAAACCTTAAGAATGTAACACAAAGACTTAAGAATGTAACACGACTCACCCTTGTCTTCGGCTCGATGGTGAGGCAGTAGGGCTGGTTCTGGTACTGCTGGATCTCTCCGGTAATCTCCGCTACTTTTCTCCGCTTCGAGAAGTTTATTAACTCCGAGTTGGGCAGGTAGTCTGAGGGCAAAGTTAGCGTTGTTACAATGATTTTTTGTCTTATCTGCAACGGGGCGTCTTAGCTAGCTCAGTCTGACACCCCGCTGTTCAGTACTAAGTCCCAGTTCGCCTTCTGCGATGAGGGATGTGTACCTATCCAGGATGCCTACAGGGATATTCGACCAAGGAAACGCACAATCAATAACACAATGGCACTTATAATTCAAGTTCCACAATAGTTTACTTATTCTAGTTTCACTGACTCTAAATTACTATTATTTAATAATGAGCAAGTTTACAAGTACTTTACAAGTTATATCACAATTTACTAATTACAACGAGAGGAATGACGACGCGCCCGGTTCGCGTCCCGAAACTAGTTTACGTATCCGCGAGAGGGGCGGCGCCCTGTGCGAGGTTTAGCGAGTGTTAGTTTGGATACTTATAACTAGGGGGGTAGGACGTGGTCCAATTAGCTCGAGCCAGGGACCGAAGCCTCAATAGTGAGCGCGACCACAGGGGAAAGGCGTTGGACCTACGGGGCGAGGGGGTGTGAAGTTCAGGAAGGGTGGCAGCAGGATTGCTACCGCGGGTTCGGGATGAGTATCACATGCACTACTCGGTAAGGACGAGAATAGGCAGCTATCAACGATAGAACGTTTCAACAGCAACACGAAGCTTTATGGCTCCGCGGAGGTAAACGAGGTATCGAGTCAAGCCAAGTTAGTGGGAACAGTGTGGGTAGCAATTCGCTAGGGACTCTGTGCAATGCAACCGAGGGAACAATAGACGCGCGCGCGATCGTCTGGCTGTTACGATGGCTCCCGAGCGAATGCTAGGCGCCCGCGGTCGCCGCCGTCTCTTATATTAGCTCGGTCCGTGCGGCGTGCGGCCGCGCAGCCGTAGGGTTGTCAAAATCTCTGCGCTCGGTGCTGTCGCTGCTGTCGATGCGTCGCGGGGCGCATGTGTGAGAACGGTATACAGGGTGTTAGGTAAATAGGTATATGAGCTGACACTAGCCCATGTTAACATGGGCATATAAATGGTATGGTGAAGTCAGAAAATTGATATCATCATTTTAATTTTTTAAATTTTCATACAAAGTAAATTTTATAAAATCCGATTTGTATGAAAAATAAAATAATTAAAATGAAGATATCAATTTTCTGACTTCACCATACCATTTCATATAAATGTCATTTCATAAAAACCATGTTAACATGGGCTAGTGTCGTCTCATATACCCATTTACCTAACACCCTGTAGATCTATAGACGAAATGTGTGAGAACGGTGTACAGAAGTCACTCGGGTTTGCATACAACTGGGAAAGAAAGAGAGAAAGGGAAAAAGAGATAGGGAGATAAAAGAGAGAGAGAGAGGGAAAGAGGGAAGTGAGAAAGTGAAAAAGAGATAGGTAGAGGAAGGAGAGAGAGAGGGAAAGAGTGGAAAGAGAGGGGAAAAGAGAAGAGAGAAAGAGATAGGGTGAGGAAAGAGAGAGGGAGGAGAAAGAGAGAAGAGAGAGTAGAGAGAGGGAGGGAAAGAGATAGAGGTAGATATGGAGGAAAAGAGAGGGAAAGGGAGACGAGGGAAAGAAAAAGGGAAAGATGGGGGATGGGAAGAGAGAGGGAAAGAGAGGGGGAAAGAGAGAAAAGAGAGCAAGATATCCCATTTCAAGAGGTCCCATTTCCTTACCCAGGTTGCCTTCTTCTATGTGCAGGATATTGGTCAGGTACATTCCGAGAAAAGGCACGCACGGCGGGTTGATGCTGCGTAGCCTCTCCTGGTAGCGCCGGAAATGGTCCGAATTCAGCTCCCGGAAGCCTTCGAGCTCGCGGATTAGACGTGGCGGGACCAGCTGTTAATGAGAATCAATTTTAATACTTATTACAGCTTTATAAAGCACAAGTTTCAAGTTCAGTTCCTGAGGGCCTTTAGCTTGCGGATGAAACGGGACGGGAACAGCTGCGAATAATTCAATTCAATGAGGGCTATCGTTTTAGCGCTCACCAGTTAGCGCCACTGTAGAGTAAGGTCCTGTCACTTGCTAGTAGCGAAGACAGTGGCACCAACTGGTGAGCGCTAAAGTGGTAGGAGGACTATCGCATTTGCACTCATCAAGATGGCGCCACTGTAGAGTAAGGTCCTGTCAATCGCCAGGGGTGCCAACTGTTAAGTATAAAAACGATAGCCCTCATTGGCCGCTGGACTATTGTAGTGGACCCATTCTAAACACATGCATTTTCAGCCTAATTCGAACGGGTAATTAAAAAAAAAACTATAACGCCAAAAATAAAAAATACGTTTAGTAGTGAACTTAAAGCGGATTTAAATTTATCTAGCATGTTGTATCGTGATGTATGAGGCAGAAATCTGTCTAAGAACCTGTACACCTTGAGTTTTGGCAACAGCAGAATTCTTTCAGGTTTCGTGGAACCACTTACCTGGAAAGTAGCCTAGTGCCAGTTTTCACCATCAATCCCTAATTTTTAAGTGACCCTTTTGAAAACAGAACTCCTGTTATGTGTTACCACAGGGGTCACTTAAAAATTAGGCATTGATGGTGAAAACGGGCATAGTACTCTTTTAAGTTGTAGAGGTCTCGTAGAGCGACGCACACTTCTAGGAACTGAAAGACTAGCTACGCCCACATGAGAGAGAGATAGAGAGAGGAGAGGGGAGAGAGAGAGGGAGAGAAAGGGAGAGTGATAGAGGGAAAGAGAGGAAGAGATAGGGAGAGAGGGAGGATGAAGGAGAGGCAGTGAGAGGCAGATGGAGCGAGAGGGAGGAAGAGGGAGAGGGGGGAAAGAGGGGAGAGAGGGACAGGGAGGGAGAGAGAGGGAGAGAGAGGGAGTGAGAGGGGAGGGTGAGGGAGAGGCAATGAGAGGCAGAGAGGTAGCGAGAGGGAGGAAAAGGGAGAGGGGGGAGAGGGGGGAGAGGGGAGAGAGGGACAGGGAGGGAGAGAGAGGGAGAGAGAGGGAGAGAGAGGGAGTGAGAGGGGAGGGTGAGGGAGAGGCAGTGAGAGGGGAGGGTGAGGGAGAGGCAGTGAGAGGCAGAGAGGGAGCGAGAGGGAGGAAGAGGGAGAGGGGGAAAGAGGGGAGAGAGGGACAGGGAGGGAGAAAGAGGGAGAGAGGTGGCTTTTAGAAGAGGAAGAAAGAGGGAAAGAGGGAGGGAGAGAAAGGGAGAGGCAGAGCGAGATTGTGAGAGAGGGAGGAGAGGGAGGGAGAGAGAAAGAGAGAGGCGAGAGAAAGAGAGGGAGGAGAGAAAGAGTTGCTTTCAGCTGAGAAAGGTGGATTTTGAGGTCCCGCAGAACAATGCATACTCGCACCTTCACGCTTCATTTGGGACGTGTACAAGAGCCCTGGAAAGGGCCTAAGTTGGTACTGAATAAAAGCTATCTCCTATAAGTTACTTGGCTATTTCTATTCTGTTCTCACCTGGAAAGTGGCTTTCAGTCTATGTACAGAGGCGCTCCCGCAAGCCGCTACCACTGCTAGCACTCCGTTGAAGTTGTTGAGGTCTCGTAGAGCGACGCACACTTCTAGGAACCGACAGACCACGCCCACCCGTTCTTGAGAGAGGGAGGGAGAGGGAAAAAGAGAGAGGAGAGAGGGGAGAGAGAGAGGGAGCGAGGTGGAGTGAGAGAGAGGTAGGGAGAGAGGGAGAGAGAAGGAGGAAGAGGTAGAGAGAAAGGAGAGTGAGGGAGAGAGGAGAAAGAGAAGGAGAGAGGGAGGGAGAGAGGGAGAGAAAGGAGAGAGAGGATGAAGATAGAAGAGAGGGGGAGATAGGAGAAAGTTGTTTCAGGTTATCTTGGCCACACATAGCCCACTCGCTCGTTCAACTCACCTATTTCTATCTTAAGCACATAAGTATGGAGCGTCTTACCTGGAAAGTTGCCTTCAGTCTATGTACAGAAGCGCTCCCACAAGCCGCTACCACTGCTAGCACTCCGTTGAAGTTGTTGAGGTCTCGCAGAGCAATGCACACTCGCTCCTATAAGTTACTTGGCTATTTCTATTCTGTTCTCACCTGGAAAGTGGCTTTCAGTCTATGTACAGAGGCGCTCCCACAAGCCGCTACCACTGCTAGCACTCCGTTGAAGTTGTTGAGGTCTCGCAGAGCCACGCACACTTCTAGGAACCGGCAGACCACGCCCACCCGTTCTTCTAGGCAACTACTTTGTTGAGAGAGAGAAAGGGAGAGAGAGAGAGGGAATAGCATGACGCTCACCTCTAGGAACCGGCAGAGCACTCCCACCCGTAGAGGGTGAGAGAGCAGAGAGAGAGGAGAGAGCGAGGGGGTGAGTGAGAGGAGAGAGAGAGGGAGGGAGAGGGGGAGAGAGAGAGCGAGATGAGAGAGAGAGGGAGAGAGATGTAGGGAGCGAGAGAGAGAAGAGAGGGAGAAAGAGATGAGAGAAAAGGACAGAAAGAGGAGAGGGAGAGGAGATAGAGGGAAAGAGAGTTGGTTTTCGGTGTGAAAGGTGTCTTTTCAACCGACTTCAAAAAGGAGGAGGTTCTCAATTCGACCCGTATGTTTTTTTTTTTTTTTTTTTTTATGTTTGTTACGCGATAACTCCGCCAATTATGAACCGATTTGAACAAATCTTTTTTCGGCGTATAGGTAATACCTCAAGGGTGGTCCCATTTAAATTTAATAATAAAAAAAACAACCCCCAAGGGTGGAAAATCGGGGATGAACTTTTTTATACGCAATATCTCCGCCGATTATAAACCAATTTGAACGATAATTTTTTTGTTGAATAGGTATTATCAAAAGGGTGGTTTCATGCGAATTTGAAGAAAATATTTCACCCCCAAGGGTGGAAAATTGGGGATGAACTTTTTTATACGCAATATCTCCGCCGATTATGAACCAATTTATTTTGTAGGGAATATTATTTTACACTAGACATGAAGAATATGGTCTCAATGTACTGCCTACCTTCAGTGGTAACATCAAGGTAATAATTAGTTAACTAAAAAGCAAGAAATAAGTAAAATTTTATAAAAAAAAATAAAACCGACTCCAAAAAACCTACACTAAAAAGTAGAAAAATAATTACTAATTACCTACTTATTTATTAGGACGAATTATTAATATTTATGTAGGTATACCATGATTGATACTTTTGGAGTCGGTGCAGGCAAACTTTACATTTTCATAATCTTGGCACCGACTCCAGAAGTATCAATCATGGTATACCTACATAAATATTAATAATTCGTCCTAATAAATAAGTAGGTAATTAGTAATTATTTTTCTACTTTTTAGTGTAGGTTTTTTGGAGTCGGTTTTATTTTTTTTTATAAAATTTTACTTATTGGGGTCTCGCCTCTCCAAGCACGCTCGCTCCTGTAAGGCTACACCTAGCCCATTCGTTCCTATAAGTAACTGTCCTATTTCTATGCTGTTCTCACCTGGAAGGCAGCTTATAATGGGTATAGTCCAGGATCTTTGGTCCTAAGCACGAGGCTCTAGAGGTCTATATTGTTACAAAGTGTCTAATCTCAGTATGATTGCGCCAGCATCTCTCACCACTCCTTGCTGTAGGTTATACACCTCGCTCGCTCGCTTGCTCTTCTAAGTTACTCTCCCGTCTATGCTACGCTGTTTTATGTTATTCTCACCTGGAAAGTGGCTTTCAGTCTATGTACAGAGGCGCTCCCACAAGCCGCTACCACTGCTAGGACTCCGTTGAAGTTGTTGAGGTCTCGCAGAGCCACGCACACTTCTAGGAACCGGCAGACCACGCCCACCCGTTCCTCTAAGTTTTCGCTCTCCACTATCCATTTTTCCATCCATCTCGTGAACTGGGAATAAATACACTCATATTATTTATGGGGATTCTAATCACAGATTTATTATACTGGCGTTAGATTGACAATAGATTTAGTAGTGGGCCCAAAAAAGTACCCTAGTGTACCCATTGTGTACTCTTTGACACATGAAGATAGACATAATACACTGAACTGTCCCACCCGTGACATTGACAGGGGGCGCCACCGTCAATACCGGGTCGCTGGTTCCGTTTTTTGCCATGTTGGAAACTATATAGTTGAACGATGGTGGCGTCCCCCTGTCAATAAGTTTGGTGGGACAGTTCAGTTTAGGTTCTATGTACTCACATTGGTGGTATGTTTGATGATTTTCAACAGGTTTGGACTGGACTTCTCCTTGTCTTTCTTCGTCCACACCGCGCCCACCAGCTCTGATGGTCGCACCTGGTTTGTAAGAAAACACAATTTAAATATCTTTTTAAAATCTAAAATCTAACCAATAGGGTAGGCAGTTGACACTGTATGGGCGAGGAGCTGTAATCAATCCGATGCTGTCAGATTTATTCTATGATGATGGATACTATAGGAACTTTTTAGGTTTTTGGTCCTTCGAGCCGGATTACCTGTCGGTACAGTGTGAACTCGAGCAGCGTGAGTTGCCTGGTCAACTCAAGCGGGTGCAGCGTGAGCGGGTGCCAGCTGTGCCGGGTCGGCTCTCTGTATTACTTTTGGTCCTTCGAGCCAGACACGCACCTGTCTGTACAGCGTGAGTTGCCTGGCCAGCTCAAGCGGATGCAGCATAAGCGGTGATGGATACTATAGGAACTTTTTTTAAAGTTTTTGGTTACCTGTCGGTATAGTGTAAACTCGAGCAGCGTCAATTGTCTCGCCAACTCAAGAGGGTGTAGCGTGAGCGGGTGCCAGTTGTCGGCTCGGCGGGGTGTCGCAGCGTGCGGGCACCTGTATTGTTGGTCCTTCGAGCCGGATTACCTGTCTGTATAGAGTGAACTCGAGCAGCGTGAGTTGTCTCGCTAACTCAAGAGGGTGTAGCGTGAGCGGGTGCCAGTTGTGTTTGGTCGGCTCGGCGGGGTGTCTCTATTAGTTTCTGGTCCTTCTAGCCGGATTACCTGGCAATTTAGAGTGCAGTTTTGGTCCTTCGAGCCGGATTACCTGTCAACTTGCGAGTGCAGTTTTGGTCTTCCGAGCCGGATACGCACCTGTCTGTATAGAGTGAACTCGAGCAGCGTCAATTGTCTCGCCAATTCCAACGGATGTAGCGTGAGCGGGTGCCAGCTGTGCCAGGTCGGCTCTCTGTATTAGTTTCTGGTCCTTCGAGCCGGATTACCTGTCTGTACAGCGTGAACTCGAGCAGCGTCAATTGTCTCGCCAACTCCAACGGATGTAGCGTGAGCGGGTGCCAGTTGTGTTTGGTCGGCTCGGCGGGGTGTCTGTATTAGTTTCTGGTCCTTCGAGCCGGATTACCTGTAGGTATAGAGTGAACTCGAGCGGGTGCAGTGTGAGTCGTGATGGATACTATAGGAACTATTTTTAGGTTTTTGGTCCTTCAAGCCGGATACCTGTCTTCTTCCTACACAGCGTCGGTCCAAAACTCCGCCACAAGAATGGCGTTGTCAGTAGCTTACCTGTCGGTATAGAGTGAACTCGAGCAGCGTCAATTGTCTCGCCAATTCCAACGGATGTAGCGTGAGCGGGTGCCAGTTGTGTTTGGTCGGCTCGGCGGGGTGGCTGTATTAGTTTCTGGTCCTTCGAGCCGGATTACCTGGCAATTTAGAGTGCAGTTTTGGTCCTTCGAGCCGGATTACCTGGCAATTTAGAGTGCAGTTTTGGTCCTTCGAGCCGGATTACCTGTCAACTTGCGAGTGCAGTTTTGGTCCTTCGAGCCGGATTACCTGGCAATTTGGAGTGCAGTTTTGGTCCTTCGAGCCGGATTACCTGTCTATAGAGCGTAAACTCGAGCAGCGTCAATTGTCTCGCCAACTCCAACGGATGTAGCGTGAGCGGGTGCCAGTTGTGTTTGGTCGGCTCGGCGGGGTGTCGCAGCGTGCGGGCACCTGTGTCGTTGGTCCTTCGAGCCGGATTACCTGTCTGTAGAGCGTGAACTCGAGCAGCGTCAATTGTCTCGCTAACTAGAACGGGTGCAGCGTGAGCGGTGTGATGGATACTATAGGAACTTTTTTGGGTTGTTGGTCCTTCGAGCCGGATATCTGTCTTCTTCCTACACAGCGTCGGCCCAAAACTCCGCCACAAGAATGGCGTTGTCAGTAGCTTACCTGTCGGTATAGAGTGAACTCGAGCAGCGTCAATTGTCTCGCCAATTCCAACGGATGTAGCGTGAGCGGGTGCCAGTTGTGCCTGTATTATTGTTGGTCCTTCGAGCCGGATTACCTGTCTGTAGAGCGTGAACTCGAGCAGCGTTAATTGTCTCGCCAATTCAAGAGGGTGTAGCGTGAGCGGGTGCCAGTTGTGTTTGGTCGGCTCGGCGGGGTGGCGCAGGGTCCGCGGGGGAGCGCGGTCAAACACCCAGGATACGCGCTAGCTAGACCTATATCTCACCATCCTTTAGCGAATCCTTGATTTGTGGTGGTTAACAGCTACATACATTTTTGGTCCTCCGAGCCGGATCAGGTCGGGACAGAAACTAACTACCTACCGAGCGCAAAGTCCCAGACCCATTCCCGTCTTCTAGTAATTCATCCGCTGCTATCAGATTTGTTGTTCTAATGATGGATGCTAAGGGAAATCCACATGGTCCTTCGAGCCGGATTACCTGTCTGTACAGCGTGAACTCGAGCAGCGTCAATTGTCTCGCCAATTCCAACGGATCGTGAGCGGGTGCCAGTTGTGTTTGGTCGGCTTGGCGGGGTGGCTGTATTACTTTCTGGTCCTTCGAGCCGGATACCTGTCTTCTTCCTACACAGCGTCGGCCCAAAACTCCGCCACAAGAATGGCGTTGTCAGTAGCTTACCTGTCGGTATAGAGTGAACTCGAGCAGCGTCAATTGTCTCGCCAATTCCAACGGATGTAGCGTGAGCGGGTGCCAGTTGTGTTTGGTCGGCTTGGCGGGGTGGCTGTATTACTTTCTGGTCCTTCGAGCCGGATACCTGTCTTTTTCCTACACAGCGTCGGCCCAAAACTCCGCCACAAGAATGGCGTTGTCAGTAGCTTACCTGTCGGTATAGTGAACTCGAGCAGCGTCAATTGTCTCGCCAATTCCAACGGATGTAGCGTGAGCGGGTGCCAGTTGTGTCTGGTTGGCTCGGCGGGGTGCCTGTATTAGTTTCTGGTCCTTCTAGCCGGATTACCTGGCAATTTGGAGTGCAGTTTTGGTCCTTCGAGCCGGATTACCTGTCAACTTGCGAGTGCAGTTTTGGTCTTCCGAGCCGGATACGCACTTGCCTATACAGCGTGAACTCGAGCAGCGTCAATTGTCTCGCTAACTCCAACGGATGTAGCGTGAGCGGGTGCCAGTTGTGTCTGGTCGGCTCGGCGGGGTGTCGCAGGGTGCGGGCACCTGTATCGTTGGTCCTTCGAGCCGGATTACCTGTCTATAGAGCGTGAACTCGAGCAGCGTCAATTGTCTCGCCAATTCTAACGGATGTAGCGTGAGCGGGTGCCAGTTGTGTTTGGTCGGCTCGGCGGGGTGGCGTAGGGTGCACGGCACCTGTATCGTTGGTCCTTCGAGCCGGATTACCTGTCTATACAGCGTTAATTCGAGCAGCGTCAATTGTCTCGCTAACTCGAGCGGGTGTAGCGTGAGCGGGTGTCAGTTGTGTTTGGTCGGCTCGGCGGGGTGTCTCTATTAGTTTCTGGTCCTTCGAGCCAGATTTCCTGGCGGTATAGAGTGAACTCGAGCGGGTGCAGTGTGAGTCGTGATGGATACTATAGGAACTTTTTTAGGTTTTTGGTCCTTCGAGCCGGATTACCTGTCTGTAGAGCGTAAACTCGAGCAGCGTCAATTGTCTCGCCAATTCCAACGGATGTAGCGTGAGCGGGTGCCAGTTGTGTTTGGTCGGCTCGGCGGGGTGTCGCAGCGTGCGGGCACCTGTGTCGTTGGTCCTTCGAGCCGGATACCTGTCTTCTTGTCGTGTCGACAGCAAACCTACACAGCGTCAGCCCAAAACTCCGCCACAAGAATGGCGTTGTCAGTAGCTTACCTGTCGGTATAGAGTGAACTCGAGCAGCGTCAATTGTCTCGCTAACTCGAGCGGGTGTAGCGTGAGCGGGTGCCAGTTGTGTTTGGTCGGCTCGGCGGTGTGGGGAGTGCGGGCACCTGTATTGTTGGTCCTTCGAGCTGGATTACCTGTCTGTACAGCGCTAGATCAATTTTAAGCATCCTTTAGCGAATCCTTGATTTGTGGTGGTTAACAGCTACATACATTTTTGGTCCTCCGAGCCGGATCAGGTCGGGACAGAAACTAACTCCCTACCGAGCGCAAAGTCCCAGACCCATTCCCGTCTTCTAGTAATTGATTCGCTGCTATCAGATTTGTTGTTCTAATGATGGATGCTAAGGGAAATCCACATGGTCCTTCGAGCCGGATTACCTGTCTATACAGGGTAAACTCGAGCAGCGTGAGTTGCCTGGCCAACTCCAACGGATGTAGCGTGAGCGGGTGCCAGTTGTGTTTGGTCGGCTCAGCGGGGTGGCGCAGGGTCCGCGGCGGCGCGCGGTCAAACACCCACGAAACGCTGGAGACTGAGACGATGGAACCCGTCTCCCATTCCATGTTCTGGCCGCTCTGGAAAAACAGTTGTTGATTAACCCACAAATGTTGATAGATATTAAAACTATTTTAGGGTAAGATCGTTTAGGCGCGATTAGTCCAATTCGCAAATAGTCCAATAGTGAAAAAATTACAAATTCGCGATTAGTCGAATTATCTTTGAATAACCTCTTTATTTTTTTCATTTTGGATAACCTTTTATGTTGGACTAATTACGAATTGAACCAATCGCGAATTGGACTAATCGCGAATTTGTAGTTTTAAAATTTCTTTATTGACACAAATACATGATAGCAAGTGAATAACAAAGATAAAGTACATTCCTACAACTTTAACATTCGCTAAAAGCTAATCTTACCAGGCTACAAGCGCCTCCAAATTTCCGCGAATTGTAAATTTTTCACGATTGGACCAGTTATGGTGCGCTTCCTAGCCCAGCAGAATAAAAATCAATGGATGTAAATGGAAATATTGCTTTTAACTTGAACACTGTTAGACGTCTATTATCAAAAAGAAAGCCAGTCGATACACGCTTTGGCAAAAGCCAACGGGGAGGATATGTCAGAATCCACAGTATGTTGTTGTTGTCTGGGAATATATCTCGGGTCAGGACCATATTTTGACCAAAAAGGCCTAAAAAGACACTGCCTCGACAATTCCTCAAATAACAGGTTCCTGAACTGCTTTATAAACTTATGGCTTCCACCGCAACTTTAGGGTATTTCCGACTGGTCGCGTTCAGATGAATGAACTTGTTAAATGCAATGGTGAACTTAAATGAATTTTCTACCAGTTTCTTATGAAGAATTTACAGATTTTTGTGATGGCTGGAAATATCTCATTCTCATTACTTTCTGAACACCCCTCGTAAAGACTTACCTTCCTCTGCAGCGTCTTCAGCACGCTCTGCACCCACTTCCTCATGGGCTTGCCGTCCACGCACTCCAGGAAGCCTGCAGTCGCCCCGGGAGCCCCTCCCTTCCCTTGCAGTCGCCCTGGGAGCTCCCTGAGGTCCTAACGTCTTCTGTAGTCGCCTTAGGAGCCCCCTGAGGTCCTCCCTTCCCCTCCATTCACCCTGGGAGTCCCCTAAAGTCCTGACATCCCCTCCCTTCCCTTCTTACCTTCCTCTGCAACGTCTTCAGCACGCTCTGCACCCACTTCCGCATGGGTTTGCCGTCGACGCACTCCAGGAAGCCTCGTAAACGCTCCAGGAGCGCCGGCTCGCGCTCGAAGTCGTAGAAGTGCTGGTCCACCCAGTGGCGGAGCACGTTGATTACCCTGGAATGTGGGAGATCAATGTTAGGGTAGGGAGGACTTTTATTACCCTAAGGGCTGTTTTTTTCTTATTTTACCATCGTCGGATAACTTTTAACTGAAAAATAAACTTATCATTTTCTTATTATCTTAAAAATGGGTGAATATCGATGTTTATTATCCTAAAAGGGGGAATGTTAGGGTAGGGGAGAAAAGCACCGCCTAAGCAGGGGTTTTGACGTAGAATGTGCACTTCGCAAAATGCGCACTTTTCTACAAACGGGACTATTCCCACCGCTTCACCTGTGTAGCCAGGTTCTACAGCTTGACCACCATAAAAACCCAACCAATGAAGGTCAAGTTTGTCCCGGGGGAAAGTTAAACTGTCAAATTAATCAGAAGAACATAGGAGGAGTTCGAAATTGAGGATCGACTTCTCTCCGTTGCAAAGCGGATGACAGGTGACAAAGGTTTAGTAACCTTTATGAAAAGATATGCACCACGGACAATAAACATCAATTGTATCAAAACGTAACAATTAACCTAGAAATTAGCACGGCACTAAAGAAATATATTCAAAACTGCCACGCGGTCTCGTGCTAGATGGGCGTCTTAAAGGCCACCTTCTATCAACGGGAGCGCGTGGTAAGTAACTTGCTTCTGAATGTATGTAACTTCCTACTTTTTTACTTTTAAACCGGCAGACAGTGGTGACTGAGTTTGTTGCGGCGCTTCTTCTCAGCACTTGCCAAATGTTTGTCTCGAAGCGCTGGTAGGGCAAAAAAAGAATGAGACATGTATAGGCTCCTTAAGAGCATTTGACGTTTTGCAAGAACTAATTTAATTAGTCTAAACAAATAAAGATAATTTTGATTTTGATTTTGAAATTAAGGGGGCCTATCTTATGAGCTATTAGCTACCTGCCAATAATACTTTTAAAAACAAGAACAGAAAGAGAAACAACAATTCTACCTAATACCGGTTCTATGACTCACCTAAACTTGACCGGTTGCTGGAATTCTTTCCGGTACCTCTTCCAGTCTTCCCTCGCGGTGTTTTTGCTCAGTTTCTCCGCATCGCTGCTCGCCGCCGACTCTATGCTCTCCGCTGGGAATAGACAAGGGTCATAGTTAGCATTTATGTTTATTTGTATTGAGAAAACTAGGTTTACAATTATTAATACAAAAATCTAGTCTACTACTTACAAAATACATTATATCTAATGGATATTGGATATGCATGTCGGATTATGTAAAATAAAATGGTGGTATTCGATAACGATACTCGTTATTTTATTTAACAGCAACGGTATTATTTGTTTCAATAATCCTTGGAGTTGTCTGTTGTATCTGTCAGTGGTGGTCAACATGGCCACGGTAATAATATCATACAGTATTGTAACTTCATATAAACAGACGAAACGAGAACTTTCTTTCGAAATTCAAATCTCAGTATGCGCTCGGTATGCAAAAGTCGGGGGTGTCGCGAATGTGCCGAATGGACGTCGGTGGCAGTGTTAAAAATGACAAAACTGATTGAATTTGACTGACCTTCATTTACGGTCAAATTGGTCAAAAACTAGTCAAATTGTCATTTTCAGTCAGTTTGATTTGAAATGAAAATTATATTGTATTAAACCACCTTTTGCCCACGACTTTGCCCGCCCGAAATTAAAGTAACAGATCATTATGATTATTAAAGTTTCAAAATTATTTAAGTAGTTTTTATTAAATTAAATCTACTAATCACAAAACAACACACATTTTTAACCTATTCTATTCACAAAGTTTTTTGTTTGTCTAACTAAATAAAAAAATACAATCACAAAACTAGATAGAAATTCTAAGTAGGCAGATGTAATTAATGGGTAATGTAGGTGGGCAGCCCTATCGCATGTTGTCATACTGTGACGTACCTACCGCGCGACTGTTGACATTTATTTCAAAAATATGGCCGAGTTGGAATACTGTATAGATAGTATTACCGTGACATGGCGGACATTAACGACGAAAATGTGGATTGAAATCCCTTTGAATCTGCGACATGCATATTTCTATTACTGGTTTTCGACTTATTACAATATGGAATTTTGTGCTTGGGTTTGAATCAAGTTCTGGGCGTCCTTTCAATTACATAACTAAGAAAACTCGATTTAATATCACACATCCAGATTGTGGTTTTTGATCTACGACTTAAAATGAATCGAATTTTAATGAATATCAAATTAACGTTGCTAAAGTCCGGTCGCCGAGCAGATAGAATTTCGTCCAATGACCCCAAGCTACCCATCCTTATCGCTCGCGCGTAATTATATTGCTGTCGCGACTGTGCGACGGGCGCCCGCATTGAGTGTGCGAGAGTGAATCCAAGGAGTGAATGAAGTATTATTTGCTGAGAATTTTTTCTTATCCACAACGAGGAAGCTGTGCTGTGAGCCTGTACGTCATCTGATGGTAAGTGATGATCAGGCCGAAGGTGGAAGCGAGCTTCACCCGGAATCCTCAACCACGGAGGAACTGGCTATCTTAATTCTAACTGCCGGAACACAACAATGCTGTTAACATTGTTGTTATGGCGACAGAATTAGATAAGATTTTGGTAGCTAGCTAGGCGGACTCTAAACAAGCCCTACCACCAACCTAACCGAACAGAAAAATCTGCCCCCACTGGGAATCGAACCCGGGACCTCTGCGTCTGAAGCAGGTGGTCTTACCACTAGACCACAGAAGCGGGTAATCAAATGTCAATTCTTAACTATGTCTATAGAATATCTTCATCATCGCCTACATAATACACAACACACATTAACCTATTATACTTTACCTAATTGCAAGTCTAGATCAATGTCCAGGATGGACGAGTTCGGACTGATGTCCTTTTTCGGCGTCTTGGTCCGGGGGGCTTGCGTGCACAAACATTGTTATGGTTACCACTATGTTAGTTAGGTGAAAATTATTGTTATTTAGCGTTAAAAACAATTTATACATAGATGAGAAGTTGACCAATAAATGTAGACAGATATGTATCAAAATTCATCATATTACATTTGCAATATTCATTCATTTTTAAAAAAATCAACTAAGTAATTGCTTGAGTAGATCGGGGGCAAGCAGAACATTCTGACGAGGTTCAGAATCACGTGAAGCGGAGCGGAAAGTTAAAGAGAGGAAGTTCGCAACCTATTTTCCGCGTATGGATAAACACACTCCGTTACATCTCTCCGCTCCGCTACCTTTTTCCACTCTGCTCCGCTAAACAAGTAGCTATAGCTTCTACCCCCCTTATTTCTGCAGCCATCAAACCGCTACATCTCTCCGCTCCACTATTTATCTCCTCTTCACTCCGCTACTTGTCTCCTCTCCATTCCACTACATGTCTCCGCTCCGCTCCGCTACTCACCGGGCCGGGGCGCGTCGTACACGTCGCTCGGCTCCGCTACAGTCTCCGCTCCGCTCCAGTCTCCGCTCCGCTACAGTCTCCGCTCCGCTCCGCTACTCACCGGGCCGGGGCGCGTCGTACACGTCGCTCGGCTCCGCTACAGTCTCCGCTCCGCTCCAGTCTCCGCTCCGCTCCGCTACAGTCTCCGCTCCGCTCCGCTACTCACCGGGCCGGGGCGCGTCGTACACGTCGCTCGGCTCCGCTCCAGTCTCCGCTCCGCTAGTCTCCGCTTCATCTCCGCTCCGCTCAGCTACTCACCGGGCCGGGGCGCGTCGTACACGTCGCTGGGCTCGGGATGTGTCTCCACTCGGCTCCGCTACAGTCTCCGCTCCGCTCCAGTCTCCGCTCCGCTCCGCTACAGTCTCCGCTCCGCTCCGCTACTCACCGGGCCGGGGCGCGTCGTACACGTCGCTCGGCTCCGCTCCAGTCTCCGCTCCGCTAGTCTCCGCTTCCTCTCCGCTCCGCTCAGCTACTCACCGGGCCGGGGCGCGTCGTACACGTCGCTGGGCTCGGGATGTGTCTCCACTCCGCTCCGCTACAGTCTCCGCTCCGCTCCGCTACTCACCGGGCCGGGGCGCGTCGTACACGTCGCTCGGCTCCGCTCCAGTCTCCGCTCCGCTAGTCTCCACTCCGCTCCGCTTCGTCTCCGCTACAGTCTCCGCTCCGCTCCGCTACTCACCGGGCCGCGGCGCGTCGTAGACCTCGCTGGGCTCGGGTATGTGGAAGCGCTCGATGAGCAGCTCGAGCAGCTCGGCCGGCTCCGCTCCGCTACAGTCTCCGCTCCGCTCCGCTACTCACCGGGCCGCGGCGCGTCGTAGACCTCGCTGGGCTCCGGTATGTGGAAGCGCTCGATGAGCAGCTCGAGCAGCTCGGCCGGCGAGCAGAAGGAGCGGTAGGTGGTGAGGAACGTCCTTATCAGGTTCAGGTCTTATCATGTAGAACGGAGCAACATATTATACCTGTATTATTATAGCCTAGTTGTACCTTGTGTGTTCCTTTTCTTTCTGTTCTTATCTTTGGTGTGCAATAAAGTGTATTTATTATTATTATATTATGACTGACAGACTATGGAAAACACTGTCTGCCACTCTGCTCCTCACACTTTCTCGCTCCGCTCCGCTAACCCACTTCACTACCTTTCGTCGCTCCGCTACAACACTCCGTTAACTCACTCTGCCTCACTACTCCGCTTCACTCCCTCGCTCCGCTATCCCACTCCGCTAAACAAGCAGCTAAGGGCGTCTACACCCTCATTTCTGCAGGCATCATACCGCTACGTCTCCGCTCCGCTACGTCTCCTCTCCACTCCGCTACAGTCTCCGCTCCGCTCCGCTACAGTCTCCGCTCCGCTCCGCTACTTATCTCCGCTCCGCTACCCCACTCGCTTTGCTAGACAAGTAGCCTTGTTGTCCACCCTCCTATTGCTGCAACCATCATACCGTCACATCTCTCCGCTCCGCTCTCCGCTACTCACCGGGCCGCGGCGCGTCGTACACGTCGCTGGGCTCGGGTATGTGGAAGCGCTCGATGAGCAGCTCGAGCAGCTCGGCCGGCGAGCAGAACGAGCGGTAGGTGGTGAGGAAGGTTCGGACCAGGTTGAGATCCGCGTAGATGTGGTAGGTTAGACGCTCAACCAACTTCAGGAGTGTTGCTCCCTGAGGAACACCCAATAAAGTTATAGCAGTTAAATCCACAAAGTGAACCGACCACTTCATAAGTTGTGGATGCTTATAATAGTAGCTAGTATAAACTAAAACGTTTATTTTATTTGTATAGAGAAAAAACAACAGTGTCTAGACTAGGGATGTTATGGATATGTAGTTTCGGTTATGGATACGGTTCGTTCGTCGTTTTCAGCCAAATGACGTCGACTGCTGGACAAAGGCCTCCCTCAAGGTTTTCCACAATGAACGGTCCTGCGCTGCCCGCATCCAGGCTCTTCCCGCGACCTTCACCAGATCGTCGGTCCACCTAGTAGGAGGCCTGCCCACGCTACGTCTTCCAGCCCGTGGTCATCACTCGAGAACTTTTCTGCCCCAACGGCCATCGTCTCTACGAGCTATGTGCCCCGCCCACTGCCACTTGATTTTAGCAATTCTGCGAGCTATGTCGGTTACTTTGGTTCTCCTACGGATCTCCTCATTTCTGATTCGATCACGCAGGGAAACTCCGAGCATAGCCCGCTCCATCGCCCTTTGGGTGACCTTGAGCCTTCTTATGAGGCCCATAGTAAGGGATACGGTTACGGATATTTTTTTATTTCGGATATTCGAAAGTTTCGATTATGGTTACGGATATCCATAACATCACTGGTCTGGACAAGAGGATTTCAGACACTATTTAATCAAAGATGTAACGGTTAAATATAATTATGTAAAAAATAAAGGTGGCAGGAAGGCGCTTTTATTAAATTCTAAACAAAATCTCACCTTAATAAGCGGCGGCGCGTTGTTCCTCTGCGGTTCTTCCAACATTATATTGTCTGGCGAGTCCGGTACCGCAAACCGGTACAACGACACCGGCGGCAGTTGCAGCGGATGCCGCTTCTCTAGGTCTAGGAGGATGCTGGAAGAGAAGGTAGTAAATTGTGACGTAGTAGTAAGACAATATATAAAGCAATGTATCTAATATTTGAGAGATCAGTAATAAATCATATTCAATACGAGTAACATCTTTAATTAGCCTCGTCCCGTCCTTACAAAATAAGTGTTTATTTATTAAAGTACACAAACAGTGAACAATAAACTATACTTCGTTTCAGCCAAATGACGTCCACTGCTGGACAAAGGCCTCCCCCAAGGCTTTTCATAACAACCGGTCCTGCACTGCCCGCATCTAGGCTCTTCACCAGATCGTCGGTCCACCTAGTAGGAGGCCTGCCCACTATTAGCTCTACTAATTTATAGCCTGACCATCAACAACAAAAATCGTGGAACCTAAGTGGTCGCATAATTAGCTCTACTTGCGAATATGTATTGCGAAAAACTAATCGAAATATGGGTAACAGAAATAGAAAACGTCAATGTGTAAACATGACATAATTTTCGGGTTTGTAAGAAACGTGTTGGTCCTTCGAGCCGGATATTACACTAGTACCTTTCAAGGCTTTGGTCGAGCATAACCTATAAGTTTTTCAGCTAATGGATCATGGTCCTTCGAGCCGGATACTGCGAGTTACTTGTCGAGGCTTCCAGCGAGCATAGACTTGCGGAACCTTGTTAGTTGGATATCGCACTAGTCCTACCTGTCAAGACTTCGATCCAGCATGGGCTTGGTATTCAGCATGACGAGGTCGCACATCCAGTGTCACTTTTTGCAACTTTCACTAAATCGTCAGTCCACTGAGTGGGAGGCCTGCCTATACTTACTTATTCTTACATTAGTTTCTAGGTCTATTGTGTGCAACATGGTCCTTCGAGCCGGATATCGTACCTGTCAAGACTTCGGTCTAGCATGGGCTTAGCAGCATGACGAGGTCACACATCCAGTGTCGCTTCTCTGTGCAGAAGTCACACGATAGTAACACGGCGCCTATCATTCTTATAATTATCTAGTGTTGTATAACTTACACTTAAGTCATTTAGCATGACTCCCTTCAGATACTTCCCTAAAACATCGGTCCATCGAGTGGGAGGCTTGTCTAAACTTACTTTTCCTACATCAGTTTCTACAGTGTGCAACATGGTCCTTCGAGCCGGATACCACGAACCGTTTATTGTTGAAATCCTTGTGGGAGGACTGTCTAGGCTACGTTTTCCGGTCTGTACTCTGTAGCTACTCATTTTTGCCATTGTGGCAATTAGATTCTCTGTTGGTCCTTCGAGCCGGATATCGTACCTGTCAAAACTTCGATCCAGCATGGGCTTGATATTCAGCATGACGAGGTCGCACATCCAGTGTCGCTTCTTAGCGACTTAATCGTCGGTCGATCGGGTGGAAGGCCTGCTTACACTACGTTTTCCGGTCACTTTTGCCGTTGAGGCGGCATTCGTTTCTAAAGTGTGTTCGAAGGACCATGTTGGTCCTGCGAGCCGGATATCCTACCTGTCAAGACTCCGATCCAGCATGACGAGGTCGCACATCCAGTGTTGCTTCTTAGCGACCTTCACCAAATCGTCGGTCCATCGGGTGGGAAGCCTGCCTATACCGACTTATTCCTACATTAGTTTCTAGTTCTATTGTGTGCAACATGGTCCTTTGAGCCGGATATCGTACCTGTCAAGACTCCGGTCCAGCATGGGTTTAGTATTCAGCATAACCAGGTCACACATCCAGTGTCGCTTCTCTGCACAGGAGCCGCACGATAGTAACACGGCGGCGCCGGCGCGAGGACATAGCTCGATGAGGTGGCGGTTGTCTGTGGATGTTTGCAAAGGTAAGTACAAAGGATCAAATAAATTATTTCAAACATAAAAAAATGTTGAGATGGGAATTTAACACATAATATTATACTTTCTATAGTCTGGTCCGTGAGCACGTAGAATTTTGTCCAATGACCTCAAGCTACCCATCCTTATCGCTCGCGCGTAATTATGTTGCTGTCGCGCTCGCACACTCACTGCGGGCGCCCGTCGCACAGTCGCGACAGCAATATAATTACGCGCGAGCGATAAGAATGGGTAGCTTGGGGTCATTGGACAAAATTCTATGTGCTCACGGACCGGGCTTTACATTCCATCATCAGGTTCATTTTTAGTCTTACATTGCAAAAAATTGAGGGCTCTAATTTACTAAAGAAATCATCACCATTTCACTGTGAGTCCAATGATTTCCATAATGGCCGGTTAGTAGCGGCCTGTATCCAGCGCCTTTATGCTACCTTTATGAGGTCGTCGGTCTACCTTGTGGGCCGACGCTGTGCTTTCCGGTACGCGGCCTCCACTCCAGAACCTTGCTGCCACATCGGCCGTCAGTTCTGCGTACTATGTGCCACTTTAGCTTGGTAATCCGTCGGGCTATGCAGCGACTTTAGTTCGTTTACGGATCTTCTCATTTCTGATTCGATCTCGTAAAGAAACTTTCATAGTTAATTTCAGTTATTCAAATAATAATATACTCAACATCAAATAAATCGCACCTTCCGCGACGCGAACTTTAAAGATTTTCTTTTGACACAATCATGATGCCTCAACAATATTGGTGTTATTTGAAAGCCCCATAAATATCCTTAAAGAGAAACACATTTAATTTCTTAATAAATGACTGACATATACCATAAATGTGACTTGAAAAGAGACCTCACTTTGGGCTCACCTCTGGGATCAATTAGACCAATTTTTATGGTTATAAAACCAAATAATGGTCTCACGTATAGGGATATTCCGATACTAGTAAATACGAGTAGGTACTCGATACTTTTGATTCGATACCAAGTATTTATTGTATCGAATCAATTTTGCGATACATAATCGGTATCGAAACAAAAATACTTGGTATCGAATCGAATCAGCAAAACAACCGAAAACAATAAAAAAAACCGAGAACGCATCATACAGAACTGAGAGAGTAAAAACAGTCAGATAATTAGCTTTAATCGGTTACCGAGTTACCGGTATTCGTCGCGTGGCGGCGAGAGTGACGCGTTGTCTCGCGCTGGGCCAGCCGAATTCGTCCGACTTCAGCCGAGCCTGAGCCGAAAGCGAGAGAAGGAGACACCCGCACCCGCCCGCAAATCATCTCGCCATTCCGCCATTGTGAAAGTGTTAAGTGATTGATTATTTACAAGTAATTTTATTAATTGTAATCATCAAATTCATCGGTTTATTCCAATGTTATCATGGCATAAACCGATAAATAAATAGTTGTTTGCTTCTCAATTTTGTTTAAATTATTGTCCTTCAGCGTTCATTGATAGCACCCTCAAAATAATAAAACAAAAATAAAAGTTCTAAAAAGTATCGATATCAGTAAGTATCGATACTTTAGGAGTACTTATTTAAGTAGTATCGAAAAAAGATTTGAGTATTATCGAAATGAGTAGGTATCGATACTTAGGTGGTATCGGAACATCCCTACTCACGTATCCTCTTTAACAGATGGATAGCGATTAATTCCAACTTAACAATTTTATAGCCATAAAAGTTGGCTTAAACGTAACTACCTATTTTTTGAAGAAGTGACTCTGGATCCTTCTAAAGACACATTTTTGGTGTAAAAACCTTTCCTTTAACCCTTCATTTGGCAAGACACAAATTGTTTTATTTTTTCAATAAAATCTATTTAGACCTAATTGTTACTATCAAATTAAGTTAAGAAAAATAGTAAAAAAAATATTTGGTTGGTATTTTCGCGAAAAACGATTGTTGCTTATTTACCACATTGCCAAATAGGGGTACTTAAATAAAACATTGAGATATATTATAGAATTAATTTTTTTACATGAAAATCTTAAAAAAACCAATCGTATTTCACATTTTATGCATTAAACTTTTTTTTGGCCATTTTCGCAAAGTCGATTAATGACCTTTTTCTCCAACATTTGATAGATGACGTATGTCATCATACTTCACGATCAATATGCCGAGCCAAGGTTGGCTTTTTATTTTCTCTTTAGCTTCTGAAACTGGTATGTTACCGTTATCTGCTATAGTTGTTGACTTCAACGCAAGAAAAATGTGTTTATCATTTAAATCAGTTCAGCGGTATAAGTGTGAAGACAAACAACACAGAGACAGACAGCAAATTCTTCCTCTCTCCTAAAATGCTGTGCCCGACAGGATCCGTAATTGCATCAAAAGTAATTACTATACCATCTCTATAACATTATTCATGTAATACATGATTGATTTATTGTGTATTGACACTCTTTTGTATTAACAAAAAGCTAAACCTATTTTGTTAGATGTTTGGCACTGTTGCTTCTAGGCAACATCGAGGTTCGGAAGCATGTCATGTATTAGAAAACACAATTTCTACGCCAAATATTGCTTTATATGATTAGTTTGATTTATTATGAATTAAATTTAGACAAAACAAAAATAATTAGAGATGATAAAATAGTACAAAATCATAAAACTTCCGTCTTTGTTATTCTCATTGCGCGTCATCTTGGCGTCTGACAGAAATATGGATATGAAATCTCTCAAAACTCATTCGACGACCGACTTACTATTGTTTTGCTGAACTAAGCTTTGTAACAAAATCGAATGATTTGCACAAAACTTATTATTTGGTGCTGTAGAAATATTCAAAGTGGTTGTTGCTTAAAAGCATCACTGCCAAATGAAGGGTTAATGAAATGAAGTTTAGAACTAGGCTTTTAAATGGTGCCAATATTGGTGGGAAGTGGGGATGCATACGTTTGAAAGTGCTTGTCGCGGGAGGTGCGATTAATTTGACGTCGAGTGTAGTTTCACTGGGCTGGAAGACGTAGCGTGGGCAGGCCTCCTACTAGGTGGACCGACGATCTGGTAAAGGTCGCGGGAAGAGCCTGGATGCGGGCAGCGCAGGACCGTTCATTGTGGAAAACCTTGGGGGAGGCCTTTGTACAGCAGTTGACGTCATTTGGCTGAAACGAACGAATAGTTTCAGTATCTCGGTGTTAAAAAGTCCACCTACCTTCAGTGTCCGGCCTGTCGTGTAGCTCCAGTTTCCGTATGTGCAGTTTCTCCTTCAATTTTAACTGCTGCGAGCCTCCCGCGCCCGTCGAAATGCCTCCGCTGTTGACGCTCACCTGTAAGAATAGACCTTATTGTATGGAAGATAAGATAGTACAGTAGAATCCGATTATAACGATGCTCAAGGGACCGATGATATTACTTCACACTAAAGTATTTTTTTACGTTATTTCTCAAAAAATCAACCAACTAAATCAAAAATATGCGTCGCTACAAGCGGTCGGTCGTTATAAGCGACGTCGTACTAAACGGATTCTACGGTATAAACGTGTACTGTGACTGTGAGATAAGTAAGACAGGCCAGAGGTGCAATTGTGTAAAGCAATCGTATTTATTTGACAGTTCAAAACGTACGGTATATTCTGTCAAACGCTTTGTTATACGTGTTTGTACGTTTTGAACTGTCAAATGAATACGATCGCTTTACTCAATTGCACCTCAGGTTTAGATGATTAACGCGCGTTAGCATGTGTATTCCGTGGATTACTAATGTTTGGCCAAAAAACGTTTCCCAAATTATCACATCGCAAACAACGTTTCGCAAATTTTCATTTGGCAAATTCTCATTTGGCAAAACCAACTTATTGCAAACTTTTAATTCGCAAATGTCGTTTTTGGCATATTATTGTTTAGCAAATTATTGTTTGGCAAAGTTTGTTTTGCCAAATGTGTCATTTGGCAAAAATATTTCACGATAAACTATTTACAAAATAATATGATTGTCGCATAGAATGGACTACAAATTAGCTTGTGGTTATTATTTTGTTTAGTGGGTAGATAATATAAAATTTGTTCTAAATTAATTTTCATATTTCATTCTTTTTATCGAAATTCCCAAATGATTCATTAAACAATAGAGGTGATTCTAGCGCTCGGCGGCCGCTGCCGCGGCACGCTTCGCTCGCCTTCGCGCGTTAAGGGTCACTGTTCTAACCTAACCTAACCTACTATTTTCTGCGATACCTACTTTCTGCAAGCATACTATTTTCTGCAATCTCTTTGTTTTACATAAAATTCTTGTAATAACCTTGATCATCTGCCTTATGCTTTGATTTGTGGGTAACGGTGGGTAAGTATGTGAAGTGTCAATTTGACCAAACAAATTATTTGGGATATAATATTTGGCAAAATAAAACATTTGCTATATAAACATTTGCCAAGTAAAATTTTGCCAAATGATAATTTGACCAAATGAATTAGTTGCGAAAAGTACAGTTGCTAAAAGTTCATTTGGGAAATGAAACTTTGGCGATAAGTTGTTTGCGAAGTGAAATTTGGCGAAAAGTAATTTGGCCAAACGGAAGGATACCGTATTCCGTGAATAAAATACATGTACATAGTTGTAAACGCGCGTTTGATCTCATTATCTGGCCTTATGATGAAAATCGCGGTGGATTGTCATTTTTACATAATTATCGTACAAATGACAGCACATCAAAGTATAGATGACCTACACTATTTCTCGTTCAGCTATACATATAGTTTCCAACATGGTGAAAATCGGAACCAGAGATCCGGTATTGAAGACGCCCCCTGTCAATGTCTCACGGGTGGGACAGTACAGTGTATTGGGTCTATAACCAATGTGGCATCTTACTTAAAATGTATAGTCTATTCACTTACCAAACTCGTGACGGGTTTGCACAGTAGTAGTAGTCCGTCGAAGAGGTACGCTCTCCGCTCCGCTATCCGCTTGCCCGGACCGATTTTTGATAACGTGTCCTCTGTGGAAAAATAATAATACATTTTGCTATTTTTTATTTACAATTACTTATAATTTGAATTTTGATTTGGTTAAAAGTGAAGCATCGCTCGCTGTATTACATCAAGGTCGTCCGTCCATCAAGCACGTACCTCTAATAAACTCGTTGCAGCACTGTCCGATGTCTCTCGCGTCCCAGTTGTCCACAATTCGCGCGAGTTCGTTGCACTTCTCTATGGCAGCGGTCGTCCGTCCATCAAGCACGTACCTCTGATAAACTCGTTGCAGCACTGTCCAATGTCTCTCGCGTCCCAGTTGTCCCATCCGAAGCGACCCTCGCTATATTACATCGATTTCGTCCGTCCATCAAGCACGTACCTCTGATAAACTCGTTGCAGCACTGTCCGATGTCTCTCGCGTCCCAGTTGTCCCATCCGAAGCGACCCTCGCTATATTACATCGAGGTCGTCCGTCCATCAAGCACGTACCTCTAATAAACTCGTTGCAGCACTGTCCGATGTCTCTCGCGTCCCAGTTGTCCCATCCGAAGCGACCCTCGCTATATTACATCAAGGTCGTCCGTCCATCAAGCACGTACCTCTAATAAACTCGTTGCAGCACTGTCCAATGTCCCGCGCGTCCCAGTTATCCACAATTCGCGCGAGTTCGTTGCATTTCTCTATGGCTAGTTGTCGTCGCGCCCGCGTTGCCATACGAAGCGTTGTGTCTCTGCGAAAGTATGCGACTTTAGACTTTATACTAAAGACTTAAAAACGAAAATAGACTACTGAATAAATATCGTGTCTCTGCCAACATTTGTACACAACTTTGAACCTAATTTCGAGCGCAATATGGTTCAAAATCGTGTGTATACTGAAAAACCGTCCCTAGAACAGAAATTTGTTAGCACACGAATTTAGACTTTACACTTGAGACATAAAAACGAAAATAGACTACTGGACAAATGTCGTGTCTCTGTAAAATAAGATAGTGCGCATGAGTTCGTGCACACGACTTTGAATCTTATACTGATCTTATAAGAACTATAGATGAACTACACTGAACTGTCCCACCAAACTCATTGACAGGGAGGCGCCACCATCTTTCAACTATCTTGTTTCCAACATGGCAAAAATCGGAACCAGCATTCCGGTATTGACGGTGGCGCCCCAATGTCAATGTCACGGGTGGGACAGTTCGTTGTAGTTCATTATACTTGACAGTCTATTTACAAAATTGACAGACAAACGACTAACTTTACGCACAGGACTTGAGTTCAAAATCTATAGTAGCATTTTTAAATCCTTATTATACAGTTATCAATGGGTTTTAGTTTCAATTTACTTACAATTTTGGTCCATTTTCTAATGCTTTTAGTAGTAATTTCTTTATTGGATGTAAGTTGCATTCCACCTGAAAAAGATAAAAACAATTATTTAATAATATTTTAACATTATTAACCCAGATCACAAATAGCATAATTATCACGTGACGTAGGTGACAGTACGTCGCAGGAGCTAGTAAATATCAAGTGACAGTATCACGTAACGTACCTGTTTGAAGCTCTCTCTGTAATCCGTGTGTGGCGTCACCGGAGCTAGTAAATATCACGTGACCGAAGCTAGTATAAATATCACATGACGTACCTGCTTGAAGCTTTCTCTGTCGTCCGTATGCGGCGCCACTTGTAACAACGCCAGCACGTACTTATGGTATAATAATACGTGGGCCACCGGCGCTAGCACCAGTTTTGGAAGGTATCATATGACTGACCATTACTTACTACAAGTACACGAAGTAATGTTATAACAGCACGTGGGCCACTGGAGCTAGTAAATAATAAATATCACGTGACAGTATCACGTGACGTACCTGCTTAAAGCTTTCTCTATCGTCCGTATGCGGCGCCACTGGAGCTAGTAAATATCACATGACCGGAGCTAGTATAAATATCACGTGACAGTATCAAATGACGTACCTGCTTGAAGCACTCTCTGTCGTCTAAATCACATGGTAAATATCGTGACCGGAGCTAGTAAATACCACATTGTTGTAACTAGTAAATATCACGTGACGTACCTGCTTGAAGCTTTCTCTATCGTCCGTATGCGGCGCCACTTGTAGCAACGCCAACACGTATTTATGGTATAATAACACGTGGGCCACCGGCGCTAGCACCAATTTTGGGAGGTAGTATTTCACTGCTAATCTGAAGCCTTGGCCGGCGGTGTCTAGGCGCTCCGATAACTGCGGAAGAAGTAAATGTTTATAAATGGTTTTGTATGGTGCCTGCCCCTAAGGGCCAAATAGAAACTAAGGGGCGCTTTGTGAAAAAAGAAATATTTTTCTAAGTAATAGGTCGTCTGGGTCGTCTGACGGCAGTTGTTTGATGCGCTTAGGCCCAGCTATCTCCAGTGTCAGTGTGACGTGCTAATATGACATTGGGACATCCTGTATTTTTGATTTTCAAGCTAAACAGTTATGTCGATCAAAACTGATATGTTATAACTAGTCATAACACAGTTTTACAGTTCACAACAGTTTCCACCCTGGCCCTGCCCTAGGGCGAGAGATAGAAGCGAAAGGTCATGGGTTCGATTCCCGCCTTAGGCAGTTCGATTTTTTCAAGTTGTTTATTTAAAATAGGGTGGAAACTATTCTAAAATAGTGACAAATATACTGCACTCACCGCGGGGTCGTCTACAATATTCTGCAGAGCGTCCCTGGACTCCTTGCGCGTGACTATGTTAGCGTACCGGACGTACGCTCGGAATTCTTCCACTTCTGCCAATTCTGGAACGAGACGAATAAACATGTTATATTTTAACAACCTTCATTATTTCTATACATAGTGGTTTCACGGACGGATTCGTATGTCGAAAAGTTAATATTGGATGATGGAAATGAGCTAGTGCGTAAACTATGATAATATGTAGTTTTACGACTACTAAGGTCGAATGTAGGTAGTGCAAAACCGCTCTTTGTCGAGATATCAGTTACTAAATAATTTATTACTACGCAATTTTCTCGGAGAACTCCTTAGAATAAATACAGATCCTTGGAAGTTATTTTCATTGATTAGCAGATGATTTCTAATGAACTTGCCGTAGGTAACCTAGCATAAGTGTGTTGAACCTAAACATCGAATGAACAGAGCTTAAATGATGATTCATTCGACCATTTCAGACATAGCGACCACTTCGACTTCTGTCTTGGCGGCACTCGCCTCCCAGTAGGATAGTAGTACCCTTTTCATTGGTCATTTTCAATGAAAAGGGTCCTACTGGGAACTTAAATGAAAGAGTGGACTGTATTTCGATAGGGCTGATTTAATAGCCGTTTACAATTAGGTTTAAGTATTAAACTACGACGTAGTGATATAAAATGGCGATCGCGAGTTGAAGGTCCGAACGAGTAGTACGTGCTATGTATGGCTGGGGGCCCAAGCGAGTACATTTAAGTCACCATCACCATCATTTCAGCCATAGGACGTCCACTGCTGAACATAGGCCTCGGCCAATAATTTTCACAATGGCCGGTTGGTAGCGGCCTGCATCCAGCGCCTTCCTGCTACCTTTATGAGGTCGTCGGTCCACCTTGTGGGTGGACGTCCCACGCTGCGTTTTTCGGTCTCCACTCCAGAACCTTGCTGCCCCATCGGCCGTCAGTTCTACGTACTATGTGAACTACGTGCGTACTAAATATGAATGTTACCTTCAAAACAGGACCCGATGTACGGCGTGGGCGAGTCCTGCGACATTTCTATGGCGTCTTCAAGGTTGCCCAGCAGCGTCACCGTCAGCTCGTATATGTCTACTATGTTGCCGAATATCAGGGAGATTGACTGCAACAAAGGAAGAAGTAGTTACGCAGACAGAAGAACATTATGTGTAAAATTATAAGGCTGAGTTGCACCACCAAACTTTGACCGTAACTATACCTTACGAGCAAAAGTATGGAATCAACCCTTTGTGTTCCGAGCGGTCTTAAGAACTGAATGACTATGTTTTGTATGTATCTATGGTATCAATTTAAAGTTTATAATATCACCTTTAAAATGGTACCATTTTTATTGATCTTCTATTAGTCATTTAGTTCTTATGATCGCTCGGAATATATAGGGTGATTCCATATTTTTGCTCGCGAGTGTATAACGATAACCGATAATTTTTGTATGGAGTTTGACAGATTTTTGAAGTTTGTTACAGTCAATTAAAAGATAAAATTTAATCTAAACACTAATTATTTAGTCTATGTTTTTTTTAGGAGGAGCCTGACTTTCGTTACACAGGTTAGTATTTTCATTTTCAAAGTAAGATAATGCAACCCTGCCTAAGTCTAGTGTTTAACTTAGTCAGTGCCTGAGTTGTGGGAACGGCACGGGAAGGTGTTTTTGAGACATGAAACGTCAGTGAGACTTCAGAATATGCTTCAGATTTGCATGCTCTGTCACGTCATAATATGTCAATATCACGCTTCCCATACCTCAGGTACTGACTGAATTAAGCGCTTGAACTATAATTTAGCTTAACTCGCATAGCTAACAGTTTTTATAGTTTGCAGCCTTCACAAAACTATGGAAAACTGCGTCAGATGTGTGAATTTTTGGTTTGCAACACGCATTTAACATCCTTATAAGGTGCGTCTCTCAAAAAGTTTTTCTCGTCCGTCAGCAAGTCTCTGACCAGTTCCCCCATACATCAGCGAGCCGCGTGGCGCTATTAAGAGTTATGAGCATCTTTTTGGACGTATTTAGAGACAAAAAATCACTTACCCTAGCGTCCCGATCCAGTATTTTCTCCAATTCGTCTTTAAACACCCTTATAATCAAATGGAGGTCTCTCAAAAAGTTTTTCTCGTCCGTCAGCAAGTCTCTGACTAGTTCCCCATAGGTCAGCGACCCACGTCGCTCTATTAATAAGCGTCTTTTTGCACGTATTAGAGACAGAAATCACTTACCCTAGCGTCTCGATCCAAAATCTTCTCCAATTCATCCTTAAACACCCGTATTATCAAATGGAGGTCTCTCAAAAAGTTTTTCTCGTCCGTCAGCAAGTCCCTGACCAGCTCCCTGTAGGTCAGCGACCCACATCGCTCTATTATAAGCGTCTTTTTGCACGTATTAGAGACAAAAAATAACTTACCCTAACGTCTCTATCCAAAATCTTCTCCAATTAATCTTTAAACACCCTTATTATCAAATGGAGGTCTCTCAAAAAGTTTTTCTCGTTGGTCAGCAAGTCCCTGACCAACTCTCCATAGGTCAGCGAGCCACGCCTCATTATCTACATAAGTATTTTAGAGAAAAATCACTTACCCTAGCGTCTCGGTCCAAAATCTTCTCCAATTCATCTTTAAACACCCGTATAATCAAATGGAGGTCTCTCAAAAAGTTTTTCTCGTCGGTCAGCAAGTCCCTGACCAACTCTCCATAGGTCAGCGAGCCACGCCTCATTATCTACATAAGTATTTTAGAGAAAAATCACTTACCCTAGCGTCTCGGTCCAAAATCTTCTCCAATTCGTCCTTAAACACCCGTATAATCAAATGGAGATCTCTCAAAAAGTTTTTCTCGTCGGTCAACAAGTCCCTGACCAACTCCTCATAGATCAGCGACCCGCGTAGCATCATCTACGTTAAGTATTTTAGAGAAAATCACTTACCCTAGCATCTCGATCCAAAATCTTCTCCAATTCATCCTTAAACACCCTTATAATCAAATGGAGGTCTCTCAAAAAGTTTTTCTCGTCCGTCAGCAAGTCTCTGACCAGTTCCCCATAGGTCAGCTACCCACGCCGCATCATCTACATTAAGTATTTTAGAAAAAAATCACTTACCCTAGCGTCTCGATCCAGAATCTTCTCCAATTCATCTTTGAACACCCGTATAATCAAATGGAGATCTCTCAAAAAGTTTTTCTCGTCCGTCAGCAAGTCCCTGACCAGTTCCCCGTATGTCAGCGAGCCGCGTCTGGTGGAGCCGGTGGGCGCGGCGGCGGCGACACTGCAACCAGGCGCGCCGCACGCCGCGAGCGCGGACGATTCTTGGTAGAACATGTCCATTAGCACCTGCAGATACAGAAAAAGTAATTTAATTATTGCCACAGACTGAAGGCTGCTCTATGGGTGTGAAACGTGGAAGGTCACCAAGGTCATCTCGCACCAGCTGCAGGTCTTCGTCAACCGCTGCCTTCGCCGAATTCTCGGCATATACTGGCCTGAGAAAATCTCCAACGTCGAGCTATTGGAACGCTGCCACGAAATTCCGATCGACCAGCAGATCAAGCGCCGCAAGTGGAACTGGATTGGCCACACACTCCGAAGGGACCCCGATCACATCCCCAAGCAGGCTCTGGATTGGAACCCCCAAGGAAAACGCAAACGTGGTCGCCCCAAGCAAACTTGGCGGCGCACTGTGGCAGACGAGGCGAAGAAGATCGGCAAGACTTGGAGCGAGATCAAACACATAGCTCAAGAACGAAAGCGATGTTGTGGACGCCCTCTGCCCCATCTAGGGGACATAGGACCATAAGTCAAGTAAGTCACAGACTGAAGGAGATAGCCGATAGTGGGGATTGTCCACTGATCGGCCACATGCTCAGCAGGCGAGGTCTGTTTTAGAAATAAGATACAACATTAGCCTAAGTTTTAACTAACATTTATGGATCTCAGTTATCTGAAATATATATATTTTTTTATAATTTTTAAAACGCATGTTTACACATTCCATTATTACTTTAACCCTACCACTGCTTTGACAATAAATGGGCATCTTGGACAGATTTTCATCAATCATAGCTAAGAACACTCCCGACTAATAAACCTTTCAAAAAAAAAAAAAGTAAATCATAATCGGTTCACCCGTTCGGGAGCTACGAAGCCACAGACAGACACACACACAGACATACAGATACACAGACACGTCAAATGGCAATGCCAGATTTTGTATGGAAGGCGGCGTCTTTTTTTTTTCGCACGGCCATCGACCAAACTTTGTTTTATGATTACAAAATAGTGTAATAAACCAAACTTACTATGACATGTATACCTCTAAACTCAGTCTGAACTGAGTTACGAGCGTTAGAAGTTTGATGATTTACATACTAGATTTGCTTTTTGCGCGCAAGTTTTGTAAGAAATTGCAACAAAAAGAATTTTTTTTGCAATTTCACACATGGTTTATTACACTATTTTGTAATCAAAAATCAAGGTTTGGTCGATGGCCGCGCGAAAAAAAAAAAGACGCCAATTTCCGGCATTGTCTATAACACCCCGTCGATTTTTCGTCGGGGGTTAAAAATACAGAACCCTAACAAGCAGTGAGATGGAAAACAAAGTATTCGTATAAGTGGTCGATTTCATTCTTTTTTTGAGGCCCAGAATCTGTAAAAACTTGAAATTCCTTACCAAAACCAAAGACTAACCTTATCAGCGCACATAGCAGTCTTAACGTCTCCGCACGTGATGGTCTGGTAGCCGGACTTCTGCGATATCTTCTTGACGAAGTTGCCGGCCAGCTTGAGAATGTCCGCGCTCACGTATTCAAGCACGGCTGTCATAAACACCGATACTGAGTAGTCGATTTTGTACATGAGCACCTCCTAGGGACAAGCGGACTGCTTTAGACAATATTACAAGTCTTTAAAATTTTCAATAATTCAATTGTTATACATTTTTATTTTAAAATTTCGTCCGACGACCCCAAGCTACCCATCCTTATCGCTCACGCGTAATAACATTGCTGTCGCGACTGTGCGACGGGCGCCCGCAGTGAGTGTGCGAGCGCGACAGCAACATAATTACGCGCGAGCGATAAGGATGGGTAGCTTAGGGTCATTGAACGAAATTCTACGTGCTCGGCGACCAGGCTTTAGTCTTTTGTAATTTTTGAGTGACCCCAATGAAAATAAAATCATTTCAAAATTAGGGATTGATGGTGAAAATGGGTATTAATTGAGAATGTCGGCGCTCACGTATTCAAGCACGGCTGTCATAAACACCGATACTGAGTAGTCGATTTTGTACATGAGCACCTCCTAGGGACAAGCGGACTGCTTTAGACAATATTCGTTTCAGCCAAATGCCAAATGACGTCCACTGCTGGACAAAGGCCTCCCCCAAGGTTTTCCACAATGAACGGTCCTGCGCTGCCCGCATCCAGGCTCTTCCCGCGACCTTTACCAGATCGTCGGTCCACCTAGTAGGAGGCCTGCCCACGCTACGTTTTCCAGCCCGTGGTCGCCACTCGAGAACTTTCCTGCCCCAACGGCCATCGTCTCTACGAGCTATGTGCCCCGCCCACTGCCACTTGATTTTAGCAATTCTGCGAGCTATGTCGGTTACTTTGGTTCTCCTACGGATCTCCTCATTTCTGATTCGATCACGCAGGGAAACTCCGAGCATAGCCCGCTCCATCGCCCTTTGGGTGACCTTGAGCCTTCTTATGAGGCCCATAGTAAGCGACCACGTTTCGGATCCATATGTCAACACTGGCAACACACACTGCTCGAAGACTTTCGTCTTGAGACACTGCGGTATTTCGGACATGAGTATATGGCGAAGCTTCCCGAACGCTGCCCATCCGAGTTGGATTCGACGATTGACCTCTTTCTCGAAGTTGGACCTACCTAACTGGACTGTTTGTCCCAGGTATACATAATTGTCGACAACTTCGAGTGTAGAGTCTCCAACCTTCAGAGGAGTGGGTGCAACACGGACATTAGACATGATTTTTGTCTTGTCCATGTTCATTCTGAGGCCCACTTGTTGAGAGGCTCTACTGAGGCCATCGAGCATTGTGCCTAGATCCTCCAAGGTCTCAGCCATGACTACGATATCGTCCGCGAATCGAAGGTGGGTGATGTACTCGCCGTTGATATTTATGCCAAATCCGTTCCAGTCCAGAAGCTTGAAGACATCTTCCAGGGCGGTGGTAAACAGTTTTGGAGATATGACGTCTCCCTGTCTTACCCCTCGCTGCAACTGGATAGGTTTCGAATCCCGATCCTGGAGGCGGACCGACATTGTGGCGTTTTTGTACAAATCCCTTAACACTTCGATATATCGATAGTCAATTTGGCACCTTTGGAGAGACTGTAGCACTGCCCAGGTCTCGACCGAATCGAAGGCTTTCTCATAATCCACAAACGCCAGGCAAAGTGGTTGATTATACTCCTCGGTCTTCTGTATAATCTGCCTTAGCGTATGTATGTGGTCTATGGTACTAAAGCCTTTTCGGAAACCGGCTTGTTCGGGAGGCTGGAAGTCGTCGAGCCTGCGAGCGAGACGATTCGTAATGACTCTTGAAAACAGCTTGTAGACATGGCTCAGAAGTGAGATGGAAGGAGACAATATTACAAGTCTTTAAAATTTTCAATAATTCAATTGTTATACATTTTTATTTTAAAATTTCGTCCGATGACCCCAAGCTACCCATCCTTATCGCTCACGCGTAATAATATTGCTGTCGCAACTGTGCGACGGGTGGCCGCAGTGAGTGAGAGCGCGACAGCAATATAATTACGCGCGAGCGATAAGGATGCGTAGCTTGGGGTCATTGAACGAAATTCTACGTGCTCGGCGACCAGGCTTTAGTCTTTCGTAATTTTTGAGTGACCCCTATGAAAATAAAATCATTTAAAAATTGGGATTGATGGTGAAAATGGGCATTAGTGACTCAATTTGTCAAATGTTGAGGGTACGATGTCAAACGGCACCGCATCCAGATCACAATATGTCCGGCGCTGTCCGAATAAAACCGGGTGTGAGTATCTTCTGTAATATTTGATGCAACTGGTTGACAGGCAGGCTAGTGCGGCACTGTGTCCGGCGATGTCCTGGTGTCCGGGAGTCCGAAAATTTACCTGTTTCATTTGGTGAACTTATAGGCGGGCAAGCTGGCTCTGCGCCGCGTCCGAGTCACGTGTCCGGATATGCCTGGTGTCCGGACTTATCCGGTTGTCCGGCGGTGTCTGGGTGTCAGGCAACTTATCTTCAGCAGCATTTGTGCAGCGTCCGGGCCACATTTGCGGCGCTGTTTGTATTTGTCCGGATGAGCAACTTAATATTTCCGGCTTACTTTCTGCAGAATCTGGTGTAGCTTATCCGCGGGTAAGCCGCCGCGTCCGAGTCACGTGTCCGGATATGCCCAAGTGTCCAGGTATCAGGCGACTTATCTTCAGCAGCATTTGCGCCGCGTCCGGGCCACATGTCCGGATTTGTCCGGGTGTCCGGCGGTGAGCAACTTATTTGTTTCACATGCTTACTTTCTGCAGCATCTGGTGCAGCTTATCCGCGGGTAGGCTGGCGCGCGTCCGAGTCAATTGTCCGGATATGCCCAGGTGTCCTGATTAATCCTGGTGGACGGAGTTGTCCGGTGGTGTCCGGGTATCAAGCAACTTATCTTCAGCAGCAATTGCGCAGCGTCCGGATACATGTCCGGCGCTGTCCGGGTGTCCGGGCTTACCTTCTGCAGCATCTGGTGCAGCTTGTCCGCGGGCAGGCTGGCGCGGCGCCGCTTCTGCGCCGCGTCCCTCGCGTCGGCAAGCGCCCACTTGTCTAAGGGAGTCGGGAACGAGCGGGCTACGCGTTCCTCAACGTCCTGTAATAAGGTGTGAATGTTAGTTAAACGTTCTTGTCCGGATGGACAGACTAGCTTTCCGCCCGCGTGGAATTTTGTTCGTCACAGAAATACTTTAACACGCGCGTTCGTTTCAAAAACCGGGATAAAAACTATCCTATGTCCTTTCCCGGGACTCAAACTATCTCTATGCCAAGTTTCATCAAAATCGGTTCAGTGGTTTAGACGTGAAAAAGAGACAGACAGACAGAGTTACTTTTACATTTATAATATTAGTGTAAGTATAGTATAGATGGTTGCGGGAATAGGCAATGATATTTCATCAATAGATAATTATTATTACTGCGCTCCTCGCGCGATGGATAACAAGCTTTATTAAAAACTTGTATCACAATTTTCCAGTCACGTTTTAGAATATTATCACGCTACGAATTCGTATCGTTTAATCGTAAAAGCAAGTATGCAGTCTTTCGTTCACTAGACCAGAAGTCCTTCGAGCCGGATGTATTTGTCGCTAAATTCTTGATCTGTCAATCACAATACATGTAGTTTTCATATACAACATCTTGTCGCGCGACGAAAACACACACTTACAAAAGCAAGTAAATATTCTTTCAATAAACATTCTGGTCCTTCGAGCCGGACGTGTTTGAGCAATGCGTGCATTGATTGGACATTTCAAAAAGATCTGCATACGAAATCACTGATTTAAAAAAAACCTTCGTTCACTAAAATTTTAGTCCTTCGAGCCGGATATATTCGTCGTAGTTTCGCCAGCGTCAGCAACTGACCGGGACCAGCTGGCACGCATAGCATCGCCAGTAGCCGCAGGCAGAGAACTCCACATACTGCAGAGCTATGCGCCGCGCTGTGCGTCGGAGGAGGCACGCACCTGCACAGTCAGCGGCGTGGGCACACTGCACAGCATCGCCAGTAGCCGCAGGCAGAGAGACTCCACATACTCCAGCGCGCTGTGCTCGGCGCTTAGTGTCGGGTGCACCTGCTCCAGGACCTGGAAGGTGGAAGAGAAGACATTGATCATCATCATCATGAAGGCGACTGGATAAAATGACCTAAGACCTCAAATTTCGCAGACCAGCCCCGTTGCCGCACCGCTGTCCACGAAATTTCTTTATTCACTTAGGGCTCCAGCACATTAGGCGGCCAGGTCGCACACAATAATTTTTAAGCGCGCCGTGCTGCAGTCAACAAGCGTTTGTAGCGATTCACACGAAGTCGCATCCAGTTCACAGACGAAAAAAACGCGTTGTGCATGGGCTCTTTTAACTGCCTAAATATGGACAGTGTCATATCAATTGTACTGCCACTGGCATTTAGATAAACCGAGTAGAGTAAGACAGTGATTTTCAGCAGGCAACATAATGTCTTTTTAGTTTTTACCTACAGCTAGTATTAGTAAAGATGACAAATTACAACATAATAACAAAATGACAGGTTTATTCTTCAGTTACCGTGTAAAATAAAGTCTTCAGTCTAGGTATAAAAGATATCTGACGATTGAAAAATCAGCCCTAAATCTGTTTAATGTGAGTACTTCCATACATATTCATGTACTGGTTAACAACTGAACCAACTATCAGCTGACAAAAAGTATGTTTGAAGAGAGACTAATGTCCATTTTCTCCGTCAATCCTTAATTTTTAAGTGACCCCTATTCATACAAAATGCCTGCTAAGAGTTACCTACCATAGGGGTCACTTAAAAATTAGGGATTGACGGTGAAAATGGGCATAAGTTACCTAAATAAAGTTTATAATTCTATGTTATTAGATCATATTACTAATCACCTACTTATAAAATTGTTTATAGAGCAATTCATCAATGGAGCAGTATGCTCTCTCAGCTAAAAAAGTAACTAATGAATTGAAGAAGTTTGCCCAATTCAGATTTATGTATTGCAGTAATGAGTCACTTACAATTTACTAAGTTAGGTGGTGCTACTCAGCCTAAGACTCAACATTCTTTAAAATTAATCCAAAATACTTAGTAGGCAACTAAAAAACCAATACACATGTTGTTTTGTTGACCATCACAACAGGTCAGTACCTAAATTATATTTATTCTAATTAAGTCTTTCCGCAAATTCAAAATAGTCCACCCCTATCATTTATGTGAGCACTGATCAGTTCGAGACACTGATTTGCATTGTATGGAATCTCGGCATACAACCAATCGTGCCACAGCCCTAAAATTCTGTAGTTCTAGAACTAGAAGCAATAAATGACTAACGCATTGATTAATGTGGTCATCAAAATGAAAAGGGTGACAAGCTTTGAATTATCACAGAAACAAGATAGCTATTATTGACTGACCCTTCCTAAATTGGCTGTCTTTTATTAATTTGAATCAGATCAACATTAAGAGATAGTGACAGCATTTATTAAGTAGTAATAAAACACTGTTCTACAGTTTTATGAAGTAAGGTCAAGCAATTGTTAACAGGGGTTTTGTAAACAAAGCTTCATAAACCTTTTTAAAATCATGTTTTACCTACCTAGGTTGAGTAATAGTGAAAAAAGTTGTACTAGAGTTAAAACAACCTTCAATTTCAGTGACTGGCATCTGGGTTTTATTTTTTTAATGAAAACCACTCAATTTACTAACTAAATCGAATTGAGAATGATTCTGAACACTTTTAGGACAGGTTTGGTTCAAAAGTTCCAAGATTTCGGATACCAATAAGACAAAATTGAGAGAAAAAGTTTTGTATACAAACCTTTCGAAGTGCGTTGACGAAGAGACCTTTCCATTTTTCGGCATTCTCCGGGTCCTGGAAATCGTACCCGCGGCTCTCCTCCACTGTCGGCAACATCCTAAACGATACCCCCACAAGGAAATCATGTAAACTCTCAACGAGTCCCGATATCAAACCAATACAACATTACAGGCCATATCGCCAGTTCAGCGACTTTGGCAACTTTCTACGACACTACACTAAACAAAATCACAAAATAATTAGATAAAAAGATAATTATTGAAATAGAAACACGATAGTTTGGAAATGTAAGAATAAATTAATTGAAATGTAAAATCTTTGATTCTTTTGATCGGCAAAACGACGCCATTCTTCTTCTTCTTTTTTGTTCTTGGCAATACTCGTCGAGGCCGACTTGATTTGTGCCATTTTCATGTGAGTGTGGGACGAGTTAAGAAGAGGGACCAAGTGGGATGGGACTTGGGCTTGGGCTTGGGATATTAGGTGCGGTTGAGGTCGTATAAATAACCGCTCGAANCTTCTTTCATACCAATTACTTTCATTCTTCAACATAAAACGATTCATCGTCTTGTTCGTGATTATTTTAAATGAACGTAACTTTATTACACGGAATAACTATCAAAATGTATTGATATTCTTATTGTTTTATTAATAACGATTGCGCATCTACAATTCATTTAAATTTGAGTATTTTGGAAGCTTGAATAAAGCATTATTATTATTAAGTATGCTAGGACGGATCTTTAGTTAACAAAGATTAATCAAAGTATTTTTGCCGCCGCTTTTACAATCTCATTCGTTGATAGACTTGCCTGTACTAAAGTGATGAAATTACATTTTTGTTAAGTTAAAAATTACGTAAATTTGTAGCCGCTAGCACACCTGACGCATAAACAAAAAAACGTCCTTGAATACCGACCCCATGACGTCACCCGCCGCGCGTGGGACCCTAGTCGTAAAAACTAATGTTTATGACCGCTTCTTAGAAAGGTTATGAATGGAGTGCCGTTTTTATGATAGCAGATGAATGTAGCTTTCGAACAGTGTTGTTATTGCTTTTTATGTACATTACAACTGTCTACAGCATTTTTGCGCACGGGTTATGCATAGCTTATTTTTATTGCTTTATGACCTAGAATTAAGAATAACAACAAAAAATTGTTCTGAATTTACTTTTATGTGTAAAAAATAGAAAAATTCATATCAATGAATGTATGAAACATGAACATAGTGATGATTCAATTTGTTGCCAAATATATTTTTTTCTTTCTTTCTTTCATTCTTTCTAATTATTAAAACATACCAAACATCCATTTAAGATTCATTCTCACAAGAGAAAATTTAAAATAGAGTCCAAATATTTATTAAAAATGAAAAGTTCTAATTTCCTGTCACGTTCCATACCGGTGGTGACAAAAGTTCCCAGAAATTTTTGGTAGTAGATGACCGCTGGGGAGTTTTGTCACCAAGATTTCACCAAGATTTTTTGTCTGTGTTTCTTTGTCAATTTGGGCGTGTTCCTTTACATGTATGGAGATTTGCTATTTTTGACATCAACGGTGGTAAATTTAGCGTTATCTGTGATATTTCTTTAATCTGTGAGCGTTTTGTGAGCGATGTAAAAAAATGTTGAAATGGAACACTCTCAGTTTGACTTGAGCCGTCAAATGTCAGATTTTTGAAGTTTTTATTTTTTATACAGGGTGTTTCTTGTAAGGTGTCAAGCCGAAGGCAGGTGATAGGTGAGGACTAGACCTATCGATTTCACCCCCATGTATGTTCTACGATTTTTCATAGTTTAGAAGTTATCGTCAATTTTGTGATTTTTCCAAATTGTATGACCCAGTAGGCTTTAAAAATTTTTATCTTTTTTTTGGGTCGACTTTTCTCAGATTTCTTTTTTTTTACAGATTCCCTATTAATTGCAGATTTTTGAAAAAAATAATCAACTTCCTATCTTTGATGCATTTAAAGCACCTGGGTTTGCTTCTGCATTGAACCCTGGTATGTCCAAAACGACAACAGTTAAAACACTGAATTGTTGGGAATATGTACTGGTCAACAGGCAGTGAGGAAAAAAAGGAATAAATTCGGGGAGGAAGAGCTTGACCATCGAATGTAAGGACTACCGTCTGAGTAGGCAACCATTTAGGGCCTTCAAGTGATGTAACTTTGCGGCTAAGCCGGCGAGACCGAATGATTGGACCAAAGCCTTCAGGAACTCTTAAATTTCCTACAATCTCTTCATGCGACCATTCGCAGGGAATGCCTTTGACAATGCCCATTTTGGTGATATTGTATGTTGGGATAGATAAAACATAATCATGTAATATAATTGGATTACACAAAAATGAGTTTGCTGCACCAGGTGTTTTGAATGTCACTGCCAATCGATTTCGCCCTATTCGTTTAATGCCATCATCCAAAATATTTTTTAAATTATTTCTGAATAGAAAATTCCCAAATTTAACGACGCCATTTTCAATCTATTTATTATTACGGGTGCGTTCCTGGTTAACCTGTCCCGCGAACTGTCTTTCATCGCGTTCATTGAATTTTTTTATTGTGTAATTTTTTATTTAATGTTATTTCACGTTAGAAAATTTTCTATCCCACGAGATAAGTTATTTTATGCGTGCAGACTATGAAAATAACTCAAAAATAGTGTTATAGATTATGCAGAAACATTAAAAACGAAATCGTTTTACTTCATTCTCAAAAGTTCGTTTAAAAATTATTAAGTTTTCATAAAGTTGATATTGTACGAATGTTAATTAAAAATCTAAAAGTAATTAAAACTAAATTCACTCAATATTTTGAGAAATAAATTAAAAACAATTAATAATAATATGTTGATCTAATTACGATTATGGTTTTAAATAACAGATGGCGCTCATTTGAAGTTTTTTTAACATTTCCTATTTGACAATGACAGCATTGACAGCAAATGTCATTTAAAAATGCAGCTTTGCTTGCAATTTTGTGCATTTTAAAATTTAAATAAAATTAAATTTATCTTAGGAAATAATGTACTGTGTCTTAATTTTCTTGGCGGCGCTATCAAGTCTAGCGCAATGCTCAGACACGGGCATTGTATCTGCTAATAATGAGACGAAGAGGATATTTGTTTATAATACGTAAGTTGTTGTTTTTATCGCTTGTTATCTTCTCAATATCATGTTCTTACGTCCTAAAGGTAGCTTAATTAATTTAAGCAACTATATCAACACTTAGCAAGTAATTATATCAAGTTATTTTAATTCAAAATAGGAGAGAAAGGGGAATCCCCAGCATGTAAAACATGCATGACTCACTCATTACACTGCACAACAAAATTGCAACTTTTGGCTGATGATTGACTTTCATTACATGATGTTTACTAATTTGACGTCGCTGATTCTGAATCTGCCGTCCATTTTTTCGTAGCAGCTCTTGTTTACGTGTTATAGCTTTCACTCAAAAATTGCTAAATTTCAGTCTTAATTCGCCGACAGTTCAAAAAATACTATGTTTTCTTTGTATAATTTAATATGGTAGCATTAAGAAGTGTTTGTGTGAATTATCTAAATCAATTTTGTTTCATTTGCGGAGAGGATATGTTTTAATAATCCGTTTAAATGTGACAAAGTTCGTAAAATTGGCTTAAAAAAATTAGTTTGGGGACCCAGTGGAAATGAAAGATAAGCCTTGAATTCCGCAAAAGGCGTGGAAAAGATGCGTTGAGTTTTTACGTTTATAAACAAATAAGAATATGTGTAGATTTAGGGACGAAACCGCTATGATCTGAAAGGAACCCTTGAACCATCGCGACGACTGTTATTTTTATTTTTGAACAAAAATGGTATTAACCAAAAAATTTTGAACTAAATAGTAATTCCTTGCATACGTTTGGCATGTACACGTATTTTCAAGCCTAAGAAGTCACCTGAACCTCATGTTGATACTTCACATGAGGATTTTGAGGCGAAAACTGTCAGTGTGGTAGAGACTTTGAATGTGACCCGAAATTTTCAAAACCATGTAGCCAAGATGGTTTAAACGATCGTTTTAGAGATTTAGGATCTTCAAGTCTTCTGAAAAGACATGGAATGAGTTATTTTGGCATTTTAATTTTTTTTTTGGAAAATCCGAAAAAATCTTGCTATTCTTACACATCGAACAACGTATGAGTCACTTACAAACATGTTTTTTTTGTTGGATGTAATATAAACATCGAATTACACTCTCTTCGCAATCACCTGAACAATTTTATCACAACTCTTAAGGATCTAAGTGAAGAACATGGCGAGCAAATCCACCAGGGCCTTCGTACGATAGAGGGACGCTATCAGGGCCACTGGAATGCACACATGATGGCTGACTGCTGTTGAATCATTCAGAAGAGCTGTCTGCCTTCACCATCAGCAAGGAAGTCAAATAAAAGAAAGTTTTTTCAACTTAACAACTTCATAAAATAGGATCATCTCTAAAAAAGAGTGTTTTTTTACAAAAAGACCCAAGTGTCATATTTTTTTAACCAGAGCTGATACAGATATTTCAATCACAGATTTGAAATCGTCATTAAAAATTGGACTAATATCATGTAACATAACCCAATCATCAGAAATGCTGTTGTGCAGTGTTATCTATCAATTTATGTCTATCTTAACTTAGTACTTCGTACTTACAAATTGATAATCAAAGAAAAATATGATGGATTGGATTGGGTTAAAATTATAATTTAAGTAAGGCCCTAATACATAAATTATTAATCATAATATACATTATTATCAATGAACTCTCATACTTACCCATAAACTCATAAAACTTATTTATTTATGCATGTAGGCTTATAAAACATCATTGCTGGATAATTTATTAATCGTTCTACCTCTAAAATTAATGTTTGTATCTTTTTCAGATATAAGTATAACTCGACGATCCACATTGTCGTGAACGACACAACCGAACAGTTCTTAGACTTCTATGAGGTGAGTAATGTTTCTAATGAACTATTCTACAAATTGGCTTAACGGTATAATGTAGTAATTGTTGACATTAGTAGAATAACAAAAAGCCAAATTTCAGAAGTAATTTAACAAATTGGTAGACAGTACAGGTTAAGAATTACTTCCCAATACGACACTACTTATTCACATACATTGCCTATGTGAGTAGTGTCAATGTAAAACAAGTAAAAATGGTAGTTCCTATTAAACTTCCAAAAAGTTCATATACAGGGTGTATATTTTGCTTGTACGAGTATGTATGGATCAATAAAAAAAGGATTGATTCTAAGGCTCAAATGCAACAATTTTTTACTTTCCCCATGAGAAGGAAGTTCAAATCTTCAAAAAAAGTTTTAGTCTAATAGGTTGCCGATTCGTTGTCCCACGCTCGTTTCTCCTCCCCGTTCCGCTTCTCTCCGCTACTATTACGATTCTCCGCTCCGCTACCGATCCGCTTTTCCGCTTAGCTACCATTCCGCTTCTCCGCTTAGCTACCATTCCGCTTTCCGATTCTTAACAATCATAGTATCACAATCAGTAGTTCAACTCTCTCTGATAACAGCCAGCCTGTAGGCCTAAGATGCGCGCCGCGATAAGCGGTTATCACACCATTTTATCGATTTTGCCCATCATACATTTTGACGTCGATAAAAGTTATCACGGCGCGCATCTTAGGCCTACTGATATTATCAATAGTGTTGGCAGGACGACACGCGTGCACGTGTCCCGCAACGAAAGATTACTAATCCTTTGTTTGTCACTTGTCGTCCGCTATGCACTGCAAGGAAGTCGAACCTTCACTTGGAACTCCTATGTTCTTCTGATTCATTTCGTTGCGGGCTCAATGACAGTTTCCGGACGGATACGACCTGCAAGCCTTCAAGAAGAGAGCGTGTTTTCACCTTAAAGGCCGGCAACGCACCTGTAACGCCCCTGGGTTTGCAGGTGTCTATGGGCGACGGTAATCACTTACCATCAGGTGATTCGTCTGCTCGTTTGCCTCCTGTCACATAAAAAAATAAAAAAAGTTTAACTTTCCCCCGGGACAAACTTGACCTTCACTGGTTGGGTTATTGGCGGTCAAACTGTAGATCCTGGCTACACAGGAGTTGCAGCGGTGGCAACAGTCCCGAAGGCAATTTAGCTATAACACTTGCAGAAGTTGACTTCCGCAAGCTGTCACCGATGTGTATATCTTGCGGAGTTTGGCTTGCCACAGCTATTTACACAATAGCAAACGACTTGCGGCATGGGCAGGCCCCTCACTAGGTGGACCGACGATCTGGTGAACGTCGCTGGAAGAACCTGAATGCGGGCAGCGCAGGACCGGCGTTGTGGAAATCTTTGGGGGAGGCCTTTGCCCTTAGTCTTTGTCTAACTCCCTGCACCCCGCACTTCCCTCGACCAAAGAGTGGTGGGGCGAGTCTTCGTGAATGAAACGATCTATATCTTGAAAATTATAAATAACTTTTTTTTTATACAAAACAAGGCAGGTATTTGACCACAATCGCACCTGATGTTAAGTGGGATGCAGTCTAGGATGGTACATATCTGCCCTGTAAGTGCCTATTCACTCTCGCCTTAAAAAGGCTCGGATTATAGTTTTCGGGAAAGAAACTTGAAAAAATCGAACTGCCTAAGGCTATCTATATCTATATCTTGATAACGTGCCATTGTTGGCAGGACTCCGACACGTGGCATGGATATCCGACGCGCGTGCACGTCTCCAGCAATGATACCATCAGCGGCGAGTACCCGCTCTTTATCACCGCCACGCAGCAGAAAGGTACAAAAACTAAGAAAGGCTGAAAACATTGAATTTTCTGATAGATCCAATTAATTCTGTAACCTATTACTGATACCGTTTGAAAGAGCTCGTGAAGCACTTTTAGGACCAGTAAGGGGGCGTCCATTAATTACGTGAGACGTTTAGGGGGGGGGGGGTCAAGAAACCCCTCTCTAAATCTCACGTGGGGGAGAGGGGGGGGTCTCGACAAATATCACGTAATATTTTTTTAGCAAGAAACTGTAAAATTAAAATAGAAATTTTACAAGTTTAACTTATTTCCATTGTAATTACGCATTTTGAAAAATCTCACGTGAGATTAGAGGGAGGGGGTTGAGAAAAATATCATGAAATCTCACCAAGGGGGAAGCGGGGGTTGAAAAATAGCCCAAATTGTCTCACGTAATTAATGGACGCCCCCTAACCAGTTGTTTGATATCTACTAAATAAAAATAAGTCGGGGTTTCCTCCCTGACGCTATAACTCCAGAACGCACGAACCGATTTCCACGGTTTTGCATTCGTTGGAAAGGTCTCGGGCTCCGTGAGGTTTATAGCAAAGAAAATTCGGGAAAAGGGGGTAAAACAGGATCCACGCGTACGAAGTCGCGGGCGGCCGCTAGTCTTAAATAGTTTAGAAATAATCGAGTGAGATCACTTATCGTTTCCACCCTGTATATGTTCCCTGTGGTGACGTCATTATTGTTTTCAGGAGTATCATCATGGGAACTGCCTTTGGTAGTTGCCACGAAGACGGCTCGGCTGCAATTCAACGACGTCTCACGCACTCTGTGCCCGCACGACGCGGGGCCCAGTAAGTTCGCTTATACTAGGTCCAGCAAATAGTTCACCACATTCGAAAATTTTACCAATACTATGTTAAATTCATACACATACTCACTCACAAATTGGGTATTAAATACAAATAGACTGAAACCAACTTATTCCCCAATACCATAATTTGTCAAATCAAGCCATCAATCATAGGTACACAACACACTGATACTTTAGGAGGCTCTCGGCTCATGGCGTTCTATCTCGCGGCCAACGTTCGAATGCCTCATAGGAATATATTTTTGTTATGCCGTACGACTCCCCGCGTTTCTCAGGTGTAATTTGATAGCGAAATCAGCGTTAATCCTTTCGTTGCTAACAGACGGTAATCCGTTTCGTTTTCAAAAAATTTTTTGGTATCAGACTGTTTCTCTTTACTTCGAAAATTAATTTTAACGAAGATATTAAAACCAACTCCCAAATGCTTTATTAATTTATTTAATTAACAAGAATTAATTAATACGAAATATAATACCAAGATTGATATTCTCACCTTTATGAGGTCGTCGGTCCACCTTGACATCCTGGATGCAGGCCGCTACCAACCGGGCGACGTGGAAATGATTGGGGGCGGCCTATGTTCAGCGGTGGACGTCCTGTGACTGAAATGAAATGCTGATGATGATTTATATTCTCGGAGTCGGTGCCGGCCTGCCAAGTAAAAATAAAATTTAATGGCTTTAAACATTAAACTACGATTTCAGATATAACATCAGTAAACCGGCCGTTCCTCCAGATAACCACTTCGAGTCCTCAAAATGTATCCGCTACCATCAAGGTTCGGCGAGTGAGAGATTTCTACGTCGAGGTTGGGAAGGTAAGGTGATTCTTTGGATTAATTCGTTTCAGCTGAAAGACGCCCACTGCTGGACAAAGGCCTCCCCCAAGGTTTTCCACAAAGAACCTTCACCAGATCGTCGGTCCACCTAGTGGGAGGCCTGCCCATGCTACGTCTTCCGGCTCGTAGTCGCCACTCGAGAACTTTTCTGCCCCAGTGGCCATCAGCTCTACGAGCTATGTGACTGCCACTTGATTTTAGCGATTCTGCGGGCTAATATTAAGCTTTGGATTAATATTAACTTTTCATTATTTTGTAGACAAAAGTAAATGTTTATCTAAAAGAAAATTATGTATTCTATTTATTCAACAAAATATTAATGAATTCAAAAAGAAAAGTGATATTCACCAAATTAACACTAGAAATAAAAAAAATTGGCTATACCCGCTTTTAGACTTAATAAAGTGTCTGCCACTTTTATGGGACAAGGTATCCATTTTTATAACAAAGTCCCTGATAAATATAAAGAGCTACCGTATAATAAATTTAAAGGTATAGTTAAAGATCACATGCTTAAAAAAGCCTATTATACAACTCGAGATTTTCTTAAGGCTTGGTATTTCTGCTAAAGTAGGTATTTCGCGCTGTCAAAATCTGCGCGCGCAATTCTTCGCCGAAGACAGCGCGCCAAAGAGCTCCCGCCACAATTTCCAGCTACACAGTATAGAAAAATACGCAGTTGGTTAGGTTAGGTTGACTTCCTTCCCTTCAAGCGTCACACTCACAACACTTTCTAATACAAATCATATCCAAGTGATACAAATTAAAACACCTTTCAGACTTTTTGGGAATATATTCTAAAATCGAATAAATATAAAATATAACTGCAGAACTAAGCACGGTTCAAAGTGGCCGTGGCGTCGCCCAATCTTCTAGAAGTTCTGCGCCGGCTTAAAGAATTTCAAGATTACGTCACCCGACCTATCCATAGGCCCTTGGGAGCTTGAGCGATTGGAAAAACATTTTATGATAAGTTATTCTTAGGAGCGATTATTTAGAGCTTGGATAATAAATTATAGTTGTTGCAATTCACGAAGCTTTGCATGTGGTTAATAACATTAATCAGTAAACGCATGAATTTTGTTCAGTCTCTTTGTTTATTAATAAATAAAAATATCATAGTAAAATTGCAGAAACATATTTGTTTGTATTGGTCTGGGTGTTTTCTATCTATAATATGTATGACGTATGTACGGGGTTCTGTATCGAAAATTACTATGAGCATCACACGCGGTTACCTGCATACCTCTGTGCACTCATGGGAGTTCAAGCAGAGGTCCCTAGAGTTTGACTTTGAGCTTTGTTTATAGTCATTACGAAGCAGACTGATGGGAAACTGCACTGTCTTGAATTCGAAAGGGAAATTTGACGGTGTTAGGGGAATTCTAGGAATAAATACAGTCTCCTCGTTGAGATTGAGACATTTCAATTTGAGATTTCACTTGACATTGAACACAATCTGACATGGAGTTTTCAAACACTTGTAAAAATAAAAAGTAATTAAATCAAAGGCACTAAGTAGTATTGATATCAACTTCGAAGAAAATGACTGCCAAAATTACTTTCTACCCGTTCCACACGTCTTTCATGAATTATATTAAGGAATTGTTAAACTAAATTTCAAGTAGATTGAACCAAGGAATCACTTTGTCCCATACAAACTTTGCCCCCTTTTTTCACCCCCTTCATTTCATGACCCCATTACGGAAAATATTTTCTTATGAGATGCCTACGTCATACAAAGAACACACCTTCCATCATTTAGGTCTCTACGATATCCGTCAGTCATTTAGGACAAAGCATTTTTATTAGTTGTCCCATACTCTATCGTTCCAGGTATGTCATTGACAGGAGGGCGCTACTATCTTAATGGGTTATTCATTAGTCCCAACTTTATGCCACTTGACATTTCAGAATTTGACTTTAGATACCTAAGCGATTTGACATTCGGAGTCTTTTAATGAAATCAAGTTCTGAAATAACTTGAGGTGTTGTACCCGATCAAGCTTTTCAATGCAGGACAGTTAAATAGTTTTATTATGAAATTCTTCTCTAAGTCTTAATTTGTCAGAGTAGGTAAAGGCTCCATGAGAGCAAAATTTAGCTTTATAATAGTTTTTAATTTTTTTTTTGAAATATTTGACGCCTTGTAATCTCTCGTTAATATAGGTACACACAAATAAAGAATGTTAGACTTCGACTTTAATAATTATGCTCTTACATAATTATAAATAAACTAGCTTTTCGCCCGCCGCTTCGCCCGCGTGTAATTTTTCGGTTTTAATATCTACCTTTTACACTCAGATATAATGTGGCTTTCTATTGGTGAAAGATTTTTAAAATCGGTTCTGCAGATCCGGAGATTACTCCTTACAATTTAACAAATACACAAACACACAAACTTTACCTCTTTATAAATTAGATTAAGATAGGTAATTTGAAACCCTATTTTGTTTTGTTCTTTTTTTTATTTGAAATATTTCACAATCCAAACTAATATTTACTATTTAGCATTTACTTACAGTAAATAATAGTTTAGATTGTGAAATATCCTATCCTACTAATATTATAAAGGCGAAAGTTTGTATGTTTGGATGTTCTTGATGTCTGGATGTCTGGATGTTTGTTACTCTTGCACGCAAAAACTACTGAACGGATTTTGTTGAAACTTTAGAGTATTATTGTTTATAACCCAGATTAACATATAGGCTAACTTATGACGATATGTGACAAATAAATTTCAATAAATAAATAAGACGTGTCTAAAAAGCGCCATTAAATATTCATTCGGGGAAAGCCGTGAAACGCCATCTATCAACATGATATCTAACGGGGGTAAAACGAGGTCCACGCGAACGAAGTCGCGGGCGGCCGCTAGTTTATAATAGGTAGCTTTCCCTCCGCAACCTTATTGGTATTCCATGTATGTGTCTTTTAACTGATTTCTGTTAAACATTTCATGTAAAATTTGTCCAGTTATAACTCCATTTACATCTGCATCTGTAAACAAGGGTTCATGTTCTCCAGTCCAGATGCCGAGTAAACAGAATCTTCTTTCAGTGACGTGCAGCTGCCCCCATATTTGACCCACTGACCTAATTTTTTATTATTTTTTGTATCAGTGTGCTCTTCTAAAGAGTGTAAGACGATTGTATGTAGGTACTATTAAAATGTAATTTTAACTCATTGGTTTTGTCTCATATTTGACTAATGTACTATGTATCATGAGTAGAGTCTTCGTTTAAAAGGATGCAAACGATTTAAATTTCAATAGGTAGACAAAATTGATAATTCTTAATTATGTCGTTACATTCCCTCTAATATGGTCGAGTGAAGCGATGGCTGGTTCACTCGTCATGTCTGTGAACAGGCGCTGCTTTCGGGGACTGGTCAATCCAAGTTATTCAAATTTATGTATGCGAGTCATTTCTACTAGTATCTTAATATGTAAGTCTAGATATTAGCACGTCACTACCTTGTTTAATATACTACGCAATCTTGTATACCCATTCTTATAAGATACACCATACAAGAATGCATGGTAAATTCAGTGAACTGCTCCTGAATCGAATGTACCTACTACTACTATTTATATTTATTTATATTAACCGGCAGACAGTGGTGACTGAGTTTGTTGCGGCGCTTCTTCTCAGCACTTGCCAAATGTTAGTCTCGAAGCGCTGGTAGGGTAAAAAGATTATGAGACATGTAGAGGCTCCTTAAGAGCAAAATGACGATTTGTAAGAACTATTTATTAGTCTAAACAAATAAAGAAATTTTGACTTTGACTTTGACTTTGACTATGAATTTTATAAATGGCTAACTCGCATGAAATACTTTTGTAAACCGTATAAATATTGATTTTGTTTCTTACGCTACTTTTCAGCTCTGATACACATTGTTGTCCCAAACTAGTGTTAGATTTAAATTGTATTGTAACAGACAAGAGCTAGTATGTAAAATGAGTTTTATGGCTAATACACACAAGGTCTAATATTGCTCTACAGGACGTGGAGTTGCTAGTCAAACCAAGCACACCCAAATACTACTACTTCTCATTTGACTCGTCGCCACAGAATGTCTCGGTTGGGGGCAGGAAGGAGATGCTGCCGAGGTAGGTATAGTTTAGTTTTCAAATTCCTCGAATGTAACATTTTGTTTTCTATAGGTTCAACAAACATCAACACATCTTACTAATATTTTAAATGCGAAAGTTTGGATATCTGGATGTTTGTAACTCTTTCTTCATGCAAAAACTACTGAACGTATTTTTATGAAACTACAGTATTATTGTTTATAACCCAGAATAACATAATAGCCTATAATTTATGACGTTCTGTGACAAACTAAATTTCACGCGGGTGAAGCCGCGGGCAAAAGCTAGTATTTCAATATAACATTTGGGTTACCCTGGAATAAAAAAAAATTAAATCTATTTTAATGTACCATTTGGTTTTCTTGGTATCAACAAGTTCAAAAATCGATTTTAATGTAACATTCTGGTATTACACTACTAGATACAATATTGATTAACGTTATGGTTACATTTTGTTTCTCTAAATTCATAAACATCAACATAGATTTCAATGTAACGTTTCGTTTCCCAAGATTGTTAATGTAACGCGTTGTTTTCAACAGGTTCAACTACACAATTCCGAAGAGCGTGATACTTATCATAGAGTCGGATGACGAGATCTGCGCGACAATCTCTATACAGAACAACTCGGTATGTCTTTTGTACCCTTTATAATGCTACCGTATTTTGAACATAAAGGGTAGGCACATACCATTGATTTTTCGTCGGCCGATAGTTTAGTCGGGCAGTTGATCAGTATGGGCATGTATGGGAGTGCGCACACTACGCCGATTCGATTGGGCCGATTCTTCATACAAATTAAAATCGTTCACAACTATCGGCCAACTAAAAATCAACGGTGTGCACCTACTCTTAGTTTAAAGTCGAATCACCATCATATCATCATTTCAGCCACAGGACGTCCACTGCTGAACATAGGCCACATGATTTTCGTAATAACCGGTTGACAGCGGCCTGCATTCAGCGTCTTTTATGATTAAGATCGTCGGTGCATCTTGTGGGTGGACGTCCTACAGTCCTAAGGCATATCAAGCTGCATTTTATGTTGTTATGTAATTTTTAGCGTTAAGAGTTGCATCTCAAAGTAAATTGAAAATTATAAATAACTTGAAAAAATCGAACTGTAAGGCTGGAATCAAACCCATGACATTGTCGAAACAAACGCTGGCCGTAACAGCGTGTTACACTTGAAAATTTCGACGGGTTCATCCAGTGTCTCATCACGGGTTCATCAAGCGGAAGGACGTGGATTCGATTCCCGCCTTAGGCAGTTCGATTTTTTCAAGTTATTTATAAATAAAATGTTTTCGATTCCTTTTAGTGCCCGGTGTTTGACAACGAGCGAGACGTGCTATACCAAGGGTACCACCTCACAATGACCACTAAAGGAGGGATCACACTTACCGTGAGTTCACCTTCACAACCATAAAAATTAAAAACCCAAACCCTCGCTACTGTTCGTTGTTCAAGTGTTGATAGACATTACACTATCGTTATGTGCATGTACACGTACACACACAAGTAAAGCTCAGTCGCCTTCGTGAGTTGCAAGAACTATAACTATCTTTGGAACTTAATTAATTTTAAATTACCTGTACATTATAATTTTTGGTTGCATTGTAATTGAAAAAAGTAGTTTAATTGAGTTGACAAAATAGTGACATCACTGGCTAGTATTGCCATACAAAATCTTTGGGAGAGTATCGTTTTAACAGTCTGTTTTAAAAAGTACGCCATTTATTAATTTCAAACTTTCGCGTTGCATAATTGAATTAATTTTAACTGGTTTTAACGCGATACGCGGATAGGTAATATTGAAATATTTCCTGTATTTTCCTGACGTTTCGACCGGGTCGAATTAAACTAATTCGGGTACGCCAATGAGGGCTATCGTTTTAGCGCTCACCAGTTAGCACCATTGTAGAATAAGCTCCTGTCACTTGCTAGTAGCGAAGACAGTGGCACCAACTGGTGAGCGCTAAAGTGGTAGGAGGACTATCGCATTTGCACTCATCAAGATGGCGCCACTGTAGAGTAAGGTCCTGTCACTTGCTAGTAGCGAAGACAGTGGCACCAACTGGTGAGCGCTAAAGTGGTAGGAGGACTATCGCATTTGCACTCATCAAGATGGCGCCACTGTAGAGTAAGGTCCTGTCAATCGCCAGGGGTGCCAACTGTTAAGTAAAAAAACGATAGCCCTCATTGATTGGTGGTGGCAAATACCCTATTTTGTCTCACCTTGTTCCAGCAATCGATGTTCCCGCAAGGCTTCTACATCGTGTTCATAGTGCGCGAAAACGACGAGGCGTGCACGGGAGACGCCGTCGCTCAGAACTATCTCGAGAACAGGACCAAGAACTTTAGGTAAATATCGCTCGGTGGACCGACGATCTGGTGAAGAACGCGGGAAGCGCCTGGATGCAGGCAGTGCAGGACTGGTCTTTTTGGAAATCTGTGAGAGGCCTTTTGGTTAAAGCTAACGAATGAGGTGTTTGCAATGAGTGAATGAGTTAACAGTTGGTACTAATATACCTTACCCTACAGTGGCGCCATCCTGGTGAGTGCAAATGCGATAGTCCTTCTACCTCTTCAGCCTAGTAAAGCCCGGTCGCCGAGCACGTAGAATTTCGTCCAATGACCCCAAGCTACCCATCCTTATCGCTCGCGCGTAATTATATTGCTGTCGCGTTCACACTTACTGCGGGCGCCCGTCGCACAGTCGCGACAGCAATATAATTAAACCCGAGCGATAAGGATGGGTAGCTTGGGGTCACTGGACGAAATTCTACGTGGTCGGTGACCGGACTATTAGTGTCACTGTTTTCTAGCAAGTTACATTGACCTTCTCTACAGTGGTGCCAACTGGTGAGCGTAAAAATGATAGAACTCATTACAATGATAGTTGCTATGGTTACTTAAGTTGGTATGTCGTGATTTCTGTCAGTTGTTGCCACCCCAGATAAAGAGAGGAGAGTGTATTAATATAAGCAGCAAAAATAAACAATTAAAATACGAATGTGTCTAAGTAAGATAAGATAAGATAAGAAAAACTTTATTTGACACAAAAAGAAAAAATAAAAAATAGAACAAAGGGACTTAAAACTATACACGCATATTTTTGTGTCAAAAAGGCGCGGTGTTAAGTGAAAAATATTTTAATTTTTATCCCTCGTTGCAGATTCCGCGTGATAGCGACCATATCGTACAAGGAGTACGTGATCGGCGCCGCCGCCACGTTCGCTCTGACGCTACTGGTGGCGGCGCTAGTGGCGCTGCTGCCGTTGACGTGCAACTGCCGCGCTACTGGTCAGTAAAGAATATAATAGGAATCTATACTAATATTATAAATGCGCTGCTTCTTCTCAGCACTGGCCCATTTATTGTCCTGAAGCAGTGGTAGGGTTAATATTGGGACGTGTAAAAGTGCTTTTTAAAAGCCTATTTGCAAAAATAAATGAATTTTATGATATTTTTATGAATTTTAATGCGAAAGTAACTCTGTCTGTCTCGCTTTCACGCCTAAACCACTGAACCGATTTTGATAAAATCTGGCATAGAGATAGTTTGAGTCCCGGGAAAGGATAAAGGATAAGGTAAACTGGTCGAGAATGCTTTAGTGCATTAAGTTCGCCTTATGTACAAATTTATTTTGGCATTAAAGTTAAAATAAATAAATAAAGGACATAGGATAGTTTTTATCTCGGTTTTTGAAACAGGAACGCGCGCGATAAAGATTTTCTGTGACAGACAAAATTCCACGCGAGCGAAGCCGCGGGCGTAAAGCTAGTTACGTGATAAGGTATAAAACCTGTGTAATTAAAATAAATAAATAATAGGAATTGTTTATTTGGCATTTAAAATGGTACAAAAAACAGCGTGCCAAAATTATTTATTCAGGCAGAAATAAAAAGGTACATACAATGCAAACCAGCTCCAAAAGAAAAAATCGTAATCATCATATATTCCAATTACCAAATTCACAACAGATTGTAAAATTTTAATGGCACATTTAGTTTTTCTTAGATTAAATTAATTTTGTCACTGTTTACTTTTTTTATGTAAATTTATATTTTTCACAACAAAATAATGGTTTGCCTAACTTTATGTGTGAAATTTAATGAAACTTAATTGGTTTATGTGTTGTCTTACTGCACCTAAGTTAAATTATATTGTAACTATATGTTTTTCAAAAATAAATTAAAAATTGCAACATTGATATCAATGTAACATTCTGTTTTCTCTAAATTTAACTACAGTATCAATAATTTCAATGTAACGCATTATTTTCGCGCGTATCACGTATCGGATTTACGATACATTACGCACGTTTTTTAATAAAAAAATATGTACGAGTGTAACGAAAATATTTTCTATTTTTAGTGCATTTCTGTTGGAGTCTTTTGTTAATTTAGTGCCAAATTTGACACGTGACGAATTTAAGGCCGTCTAGCATTTTCTACCATTTAACATTCGGAGTGAACATAAAAAACTTTTCTGTTCAATTAATCGTAATTCAATTAACTTTATTTTTTTCCAGAAGAAGTGGTAGTACTAAACGACCCCGGACCGTCGACGTCTCGTGACCCGCCCGTGGCCGCGCCGGCGCCGATACAAGACGATGACCAGGACGACGGTATCTATCGTACGCACCCGCCCTATACTAACGTGTGATGTAGCTTAATAATGTACCAACAAATACACGTCACTAGGTCGCTTCAAATCCGGCTCGAAGGACCATGTAAACCTTCCCATAAAGTGTTTAAACGATTGCTGTTGCTGTGTGGAGCTTCCGAAAAGCGACTCAATCGTGGTAGTGCTAAAGCCCGGTCCGTGAGCACGTAGAATTTTGTCCAATGGCCCCTAGCTACCCATCCTTATCGCTCGCGCGTCATTATATTGCTGTCGCGACTGTGCGACGCGCGCCCGCAGTGAGTGTGCGAGCGCGACAGCGACATAATTACGCGCGAGCTATAAGGATGGGTAAGTAGGGGTCATTGGACAAAATTCTACGTGCTCACGGATCAGACTATTGACGACCCTAGTCCATCCGCGTCTCGTGATCGCCGCCGGTACAAGACGATGATGGACGACGGTATCTATCGTACGCACCCGTCCGATACTAACGTGTGATGTAGTATAGCGGCACGTCACTGTAGATGCAAAGCTTTGAATCCGGCTCGAAGGACCATGTTAAACCTCCCATAGCACTTCTAGTACCCGCGAATCGAGACACGTTCGTATTCACATACGATGTTTGCTAAGTGAAGCAGCAAATCGAACGCACAGCGTTGAATAGAGCTCTGTGATTGGTTCGTGTGTCACCCTGTGCGTCCACGCGCACTGTAAGACCTCATAGTAATCTTTGTGAATACGGGCGACAATGTTACAGAAATACAAAGTTTGACACGTGCTTTTTTCAGTGACGAAAGTTGACAAATTGTGAAACTGCATGACTCATACTGGTCATAGTTCGATTCCCACAGAATTCAAATATGCATGTACCTAATAGTGTTTTGCATGAATAATATGTATTAAAGCAACAAGCATTTCAGTTGTTTGGAGTCCGTAGGTTAATACAAGTTTTGCTTATAAATTTTAACTAAATGGCGCAGTGTAACGTCTGCTGACGATCCGGTTTCTGTCCGGTTCGGCGTCGAACCGATTCGTCGCCGGATCAGGTGGAAATAGGCTCGTCGGCGGCACATTTCCGGCGCTAAGCCGGCGCCAAACTGGACTGGCTTGTTAACACGCCCTTACACTATGTTGGCGCTATAGTTTCAGACTCCATCACGGACTCGATCCCGGAACTCCCAGTATGGGCGGCGTTGAGACAACCGCTAACACTCGCCGGGCTTTCACGCTCTACGCCGAGCGCTCACTCCGCTCGGTCCAACAGGTAAGACTTATTAAGATTGGCGCCCTTTGTCACTTGGCGCCCATTGCCATGTTGCCACTTGGCGACCTTTGCCATGTTGCCACTTGGCGCCCTTTGCCATGATGCCACTTGGCGCCCATTGCCTCTTGGCGCCTTTAACCAGTTGGCGCCCCTTGCCACTTGGCGCCTTTTGATACGATTCCAATTGCCACCTTTTATCAACTGGCGCCCTCACTAATTGACACGTTAACTCTGCTAGGTTTAACAGGTAGATAGATATTTATTTGTCTTAACACAAAACTAATTTTGCAACTTGTCCCATTTTGTGCCCTTTGCTAATTGGCACCCTTTACCATTTCGAGCTATTTGACGTCGTTTGTGATTTGGCGCCTTAGCCACTTTGCGTCATTTGGCGCCCTTTCCCACTTTGCGCCATTTGGCGCCCTTTGTCAATCTGTGCACTTTACAATTTAGCGCCGTTTATCATATGGCTTTGGCGGCCTTTTCGTTAATAGCAATTGCCTCACTTTACTACTTGACGCCTTGGCGCCCTTTGTAAGTTGGTGCCCTTTGTCATAAGGCGCCAATTGCTATTCGAACGAAAAAATGTTTGTTTCCATTTATCCACAGGTATTTCTGGAGCTCTCTGACGGTGGCTGTGGTATATGCATTGCCGGTTGTGCAACTGCTCTTCACGTACCAACATGTGAGTATCTGGGGGCACGGCAGTGCCCCCACCAAGTCGAGCAAAAAAGCGGCACGGCCGTACCATCCTTTTCTCGAAGCAATTCAGGCCATTTTCGACCGCCTGTAACTTCGTTGTGGATAAAACTAGAAGGCTGAATTTTCATTAGCTAAACCAAGTCTCGCAACTCAGTTGTTCTACGGTAAAAAGTTGTGAGATCCATGTAATACCAAGTCCAGGCCAGGAAATCTTTAACGTTTTACATAAATATATTGACCTGGCCATCGCATGAAAACACGTGTAAATTAAATTATTTAGTGCGATGGCCAAGTCAATATATTTATGTAAAACGTTAAAGATTTCCTGGCCTGGACTTGGTATTACATGGATCTCACAACTTTTTACCGTAGAACAACTGAGTTGCGAGACTTGGTTTTTTTGACAAGTATTGTTTTTGATGGGATACAATTATTGTAAGGGTATTGATTGGATAACACACAAGGCATATAACTTGTCAACACTAACTGACTGTCAAGAGCTCGCCGCGCCATCTTGAACTTAGTTTATTCCTCAAAAGGGCCGCCATCTTGTTTTTTGAAAAAAAAAAAACATAAATAATTATGCACTTTTTCGGGTTGTCACTCCTCCTCAAAACACCTGAAAAACAGCCCTGTGAGCTTAGTATGAGTTTAAATCAAACGTCGTCACGAGTGACTGCGTAAGAAAGTGACATTAAATGTATGACATATTGTACAGCGCCCCTAGCGGAAACTTTCAAGAACTAAAATTTTTATAATTTTTTTTAAGTGCTCACTAGTGACGACGTTTGATGTAAACTCGCACTAAGCTCTCTGATCAGTATGAGTGAGTCGGAATCGTTCTTTAGTTGGATGTGTCACACTACACTTCAAGAGTAGAGTTCAAGCAGACAATCTATACTAATATATACTAATATTATAAATGCAAAAGTAACTTTGTCTGTCTGTCTTGCTTTCACGTCTAAACCGCTGAACCGTATTTAATGAAATTTGGCATAGAGATAGATTGAGTCCCGGGAAATGACATAGAATAGTTTTTATCCCGGTTTTTGGACGCGCGCGATAAAGTTTTTCTGTGACAGACAAAATTCCACGCGAGCGAAGCCGCGGGCGGAAAGCTAGTTTTCTATATTTAAAAAAAAAATGTTTTTCAACTGGAAAACATTGGGGGAGGCCTATGTTCAGCAGTGGACGTCCTGTGGCTGAAATGATGGTGGTGATAGCTATAGTTTGAGACTCAGCGAAATTAAGTTTTTTTGGAATCCCAGTTTTTTGATTGTGTTATTTAACCCCTCACCTTCCATTTCTCCACAGATGGTATTCCAAACGGGCGACCAAGACCTGTGCTACTACAACTTTCTGTGCGCGCACCCCGTGGGCTCGCTGTCGGACTTCAACCACGTCTACTCCAACGTGGGTTATGTTGTGCTCGGGCTGATATTCATGGCGCAGGTGCACAGGCGGCGCGGGCTGCCACAGGTGAGATACATGGGTTAACAAGGGACAAAAGTTGGTACAAAAAACGACAAAAATGTCAGAAATGTCACAAAAAAGACGAGTCTAATATTAAAAGGTGTTGAAGAGCATCGTCGGACCATCGTATGTGTCATAGCATTGCAAGTGTCACAGCATCGCAAGTGTCATAGCATCGCAAGTGTCAGAGCATCGCAAGTGTCACAGCATCGCAAGTGTCACAGCATCGCAAGTGTCAGAGCATCGTAAGTGTCACAGCATCGCAAGTGTCACAACATCGCAAGTGTCACAGCGTCGCAAGTGTGACAGCGTCGCAAGTGTGACAGCGTCGCAAGTGTCACAGCATCGTAAGTGTCACAGCATCGCAACTGTCACAGCATCGCAAGTGTCACAGNTGTCACAGCATCGTAAGTGTCACAGCATCGCAAGTGTCAGAGCATCGAAAATGTCACAGCATCGCAAGTGTCACAGCGTCGCAAGTGTCACAGCGTCGCAAGTGTCACAGCATCGCAAGTGTCACAGCATCGCAAGTGTCACAGCGTCGCAAGTGTCAGAGCATCGCAAGTGTCACAGCATCGCAAGTGTCAGAGCATCGCAAGTGTCACAGCATCGCAAGTGTCACAGCGTCGCAAGTGTCACAACGTCGCAAATGTCACAGTGTCGCAAGTGTCACAGCATCGCAAGTGTCACAGCACCCCAAGTATCACAGCATCGCAAGTGTCAGAACATCGCAACTGACATAGTATCTTACTTAAGTGTCAGTCAGTGTGCCTCTACTACAAGTTGCTGTGCGCACCCCGTGGGCTCGCTGTCGGACTTCAACCACGTGTCCTCCAACGTGGGTTATGTTGTGCTCGGGCTGGTATTCATGGCGCAGGTGCACAGGCGGCGCGGGCTGCCACAGGTGAGGTACATGGGTTAAGAGGGGACAAAAGTTGGTGCAAAAGGTACTAAGGGCGGCTGGTGAGTTACATGGGTTAAGAACAAACAAACATTTTATGACACGTCAAAAGTCGGTATGGAATGTTAAAAAAAACTTATTTAGAAGGGTTAAAAGGTGACAAAAGTTGGTATAAAAGGTACTAAGGTGAGGAAAAGCAACCTAGAAGTGTCAAAACTGTCTAAAAATGACTAGTGTCATCTTAAAAGGTCTCAAACAGCACTATAAGTATCATAACTGTCACTAAAAAGATAAGTGTCGTAACTGTCACTAAAAGATAAGTGTCGTAACTGTCACTAAAAAAATTAGTGTCATAACTGTCACTAAAAAGATAAGTGTCATAACTGTCACTAAAAAGATAAGCGTCATATTGAAAGGAGTCAGAAACATCTTAGAAATATCGGGATCGCTGTCCGACTTCAACCACGTGTACTCCAACGTGGGTTATGTTGTGCTCGGGCTGGTATTCATGGCGCAGGTGCACAGGCGGCGCGGGCTGCCACAGGTGAGATACATGGGTTAAGAGGGGACAAAAACTAACATTTTATTATGACACGTCAAAAGTCGGTATGGAAGGTTAAAAACAAAACTTATTTAGAAGGGTTAAAAGATGACAAAAGTTGGTATAAGAGGTACTACGGTGACAAAAAGTAGCATAGGAGTGTCAAAACTGTCTAAAAATGACTAGTGTCATCTTAAAAGGTCTCAAACAGCACTATAAGTATCATAACTGTCACTAAAAAGATAAGTGTCATAACTGTCACTAAAAGATAAGTGTCATAACTGTCACTAAAAAGATAAGTGTCATAACTGTCACTAAAAAGATAAGTGTCGTAACTGTCACTAAAATGATAAGTGTCATAACTGTCACTAAAAAGATAAGTGTCATAACTGTCACTAAAAAGATAAGTGTCATAACTGTCACTAAAAAGATAAGTGTCATAACTGTCACTAAAAAGATAAGTGTCATAACTGTCACTAAAAAGATAAGTGTCATAACTGTCACTAAAAAGATAAGTGTCATAACTGTCACTAAAAAGATAAGTGTCATAACTGTCACTAAAAAGATAAGTGTCATAACTGTCACTAAAAAGATAAGTGTCATAACTGTCACTAAAAAGATAAGTGTCATAACTGTCACTAAAAAGATAAGTGTCATAACTGTCACTAAAAAGATAAGTGTCATAACTGTCACTAAAAAGATAAGTGTCATAACTGTCACTAAAAAGATAAGTGTCATAACTGTCACTAAAAAGATAAGTGTCATAACTGTCACTAAAAAGATAAGTGTCATAACTGTCACTAAAAAGATAAGTGTCATAACTGTCACTAAAAAGATAAGTGTCATAACTGTCACTAAAAAGATAAGTGTCATAACTGTCACTAAAAAGATAAGTGTCATAACTGTCACTAAAAAGATAAGTGTCATAACTGTCACTAAAAAGATAAGTGTCATAACTGTCACTAAAAAGATAAGTGTCATAACTGTCACTAAAAAGATAAGTGTCATAACTGTCACTAAAAAGATAAGTGTCATATAGAAAAGAGTCAGAAACATCTTAGAAGTGTCAGAAATGTCATAGAAAGGCGAAAGTGTGTCGAAGAGCATCACAAGTGTCAGTCAGTCAGTGTGCCTATACTACAACTTTCTGTGCGCACCCCGTGGGCTCGCTGTCGGACTTCAACCACGTGTACTCCAACGTGGGTTATGTTGTGCTCGGGCTGGTATTCATGGCGCAGGTGCACAGGCGGCGCGGGCTGCCACAGGTGAGTTTAAAGGGTTAAGATGACAAAAAACATCTTCAAACATGTCATAAGTTGGCATGTCAAAAATATTTAAGAAGTGCCAGAACTATGTTATAAGTGGCGAAAATTGTATGTTATAAGTTGTCAAAGAGTATCCGGAAAGTGTCAAAGGTAAAGTCCGGTCGCCGAGCACGTAGAATTTCGTCATTCAGTCAGTCAATGACCCCTGCTTGGCGACCGGGCTTTAGTCAAAACTCTGTTATAAGTAGTAAAAGTATCATAATCAAAGGCGTCAGAAACCATATTTGAAGTATCATAAGTGTATTACATGTAGTAAAAGTGCCATGCAATACGTCAGAAACCATATTGGAAGTGTCAGAACTGTTAAATACAACATACAAGTAGTAAATGGTGTCGAAAGCATCTTAGAAGTGTCAGAATTTAGAAACCATATTGGAAGTGTCAGAACTGTTACAACATACAAGTAGTAAATGGTGTCAAAAGCATTTTAGTGCTGTCAGAATTGTGTTACAAGTAGTTCAAGGATGTCAGAAACCATATTAAAAGTGTCAGGACTGGTATAACAAGTGGTTCGACGTTGTCAGTACCACATTAAAAGCGACAGAACAGTGTTACAAGTACTGAAGTGTCATATTCAAAGGTATCAAAAACATTATCACAGTGAAATATCATTAAATGTATTATTTCCCAGCACCTGGGCATCCCGCAGCACCCCGGCCTGCTGTACTCGATGGCTCTAGCGCTGGCGATGGAGGGACTGCTGTCTGCTTGCTACCACCTCTGCCCCAACAAGATGAACTTCCAGTTTGGTGAGTATAGGACACACCCCTATCTTAAAGGAGACTGCCACAGAGTCAGAGTGCTCCTCATGAGGCAGACTGCTCGCCAACCCCTGAGCCAAACTGCTCCCCGACCCCTGAGCCTAACTGCTCCTCGGCCCTTGAGCCAATCTACTCCCCGACCCACGGCTAGAATGCTCTCCTTGCGCTAGACTGCTCCCCCTGCGATAGACTGCCCCTCTTTTGAGCCAGACTGCTCCCCAATCCCCGAGCCAGAATGCCCCCCATCTGAGCCGGACTTACCCCTGTAAGTAGTTAGACTGCTTCCTCCCAGGCCTGACTAGCTCGCCCCTTGCTACAGACTGCCTCTCTCCCTTCTGAGCTAGACTGCCTGACTGCTCCCCCTAGGCTACAATGCTCCTCGTCAAAGCCAGACTGCTTCCCCTAGGCCATAAAGCTCCTTTAAACCAGACTGCTTCCCCTGGGTCAGAATGCCCCTCCTCTGAGCCAGTTTGCTCTCCTCCTGGGTTGGTCTACTCCCTGAGACACGACCTGGGCCGGACAGTAGTCCAGGGAGAGCCCTGGGCATCCCGCAGCACCCCGGCCTGCTGTACTCGATGGCTCTAGCGCTGGCGATGGAGGGACTACTGTCTGCTTGCTACCACCTCTGCCCTAATAAGATGAACTTCCAGTTCGGTGAGTATAGGACACGCCCCCTTCTAAGATAGACTGCTCCCCCTTTGGGCCAGATTGCCCCCTGATGAGATTAGTCAAACTTCCCCCTCCTGAACTAGACAACTTCTTCTCCCCCTACTGAACCCCTGCCTTTGAGATAGTCAGCCCCTTCCCAGACCAGTCTGCTCCTCCCTGAGTCAGACTGCGCCCTCCTGAGCCAGACTGCTCCTCGGCCCCTGAGCCAGACTACTCCCCGAACCATGGCTAGAATGCTCTCCCTGCACTAGACTGCTCCCCCTGCGATAGACTGCCCCTCCTTTGAGCCAAGACTGTTTTCCTAGCTCTAAGCCAGACTGCTTCCCTCTTGGGCCGGACTATTCCCTGGGATATCACCACAGCACCCCGGCCTGCTGTACTCGATGGCTCTAGCGCTGGCGATGGAAGGACTGCTGTCTGCTTGCTACCACCTCTGCCCCAACAAGATGAACTTCCAATTCGGTGAGTATAGGACACGCCCCTATCTTAGAACAGACTGCCACAGGGCCAGAGTGCTCCTCATGAGGCAGACTGCTCGCCGACCCCTGAGCCAAACTGTTCCCCGACCGTTAAGCCAGACTGCTCCCCGACCCCTGAGCCAGACTGCTCCTCGGCCCCTAAGCCAATCTACTCCCCGACCCACGGCTATAATGCTCTTCTTGCGCTAGACTGCTCCCCCTGCGATAGACTGCCCCTATTTTGAGCCAGACTGCTCCCCAATCCCCGAGCCAGAATGCCCCCCATCTGAGCCGGACTTACCCCTGTAAGTAGTTAGACTGCTTCCTCCCAGGCCTGACTAGCTCGCCCCTTGCTACAGACTGCCTCTCCCCCTTCTGAGCTAGACTGCCTGACTGCTCCCCCTAGGCTAAAATGCTCCTCCTCTAAACCAGACTACTTCCCCTAGGCCATAAAGCTCCTTTAAACCAGACTGCTTCCCCTGGGTCAGAATGCCCCTCCTCTGAGCCAGTTTGTTCTCCTCCTGGGCTGGTCTACTCCCTGGGACACGATCTGGGCCGGACAGTAGTCCAGGGAGAGCCCTGGGCATCCCGCAGCATCCCGGCCTGCTGTACTCGATGGCTTTAGCGCTGGCGATGGAAGGACTGCTGTCTGCTTGCTACCACCTCTGCCCTAACAAGATGAATTTCCAGTTCGGTGAGTATAGGACATGCCCCTCTATATTAGGGCAGACTGCCTTAGGGCAGACCTTTGAGCCAGCTTCCCATGAGCCAGACTGCTCCCCGACGCCTGAGCCAAACTGCTCCCTGACCCTTAAGCCAGATTGCTCTGTCTTCTGAGCCAGACTGTTCCTCAAACCTAAGCCAGACTGCTCGCCGACTCCTGCCTAGAATGCTCTCCCTGCGCTAGACTACACCCCCTCGTCTGGACTGCTCCTCCAGCGATAGACTGCTCCTCCTTTGAGCCAAGACTGCTTTCCTAGCTCTAAGAGCCAGACTGCTCCCCCTCTTAGCCAGACTTCCCCCTCCTGAGCTAGACTGATTCTCCTCCCTCAACTGAGCCGGACTAAACCCCTGCCTCTAAGATAGTCAGCCCCTCCCCAGACCAGTCCATTCTTTCCTGACAGACTGCCCCTCCCAAATCTGAGACTGCTCTAAATTTCCCCTTCCTCCCCCCAGGGCCATAAAGCCCCTCCCTTGAGCGAACTGCTCCCCCTCCGCTAGATTGTCCTACCTGAGCCAGACCGCCCCTTCCCCTTCTAGCCCAGATCCGTAAACGAACTAAAGTCGCTGACATAGCCCGACGGATTAGCAAGCTGAAGTGGCAATGGGCAGGGCACATAGTACGCAGAACTGACGGCCGATGGGGCAGCAAGGTTTTGGAGTGGAGGCCGCGTACCGGAAAACGAAGCGTGGGACGTCCACCCACAAGGTGGACCGACGACCTGATAAAGGAAGCGGGAAGGCGCTGGATGCAGGCCGCTACCAACCGTGCGATGTGGAAGTCATTGGGGGAGGCCTATGTTCAGCAGTGGACGTCCTGTGGCTGAAATGATGAAGCTGGTCAGCCGGGAGGGGGCTGTTGATATGTTTTTTTTTTTACTAAAAATAAAAAAGGCTTTATTAATGGTGCATATTGTGTTCCCGCAGACTCTTCGTTCATGTACGTGATAGCGGTGCTCTGCATGGTGAAGATCTACCAGTCGCGGCATCCTGACGTCAACGCGCGCGCTCATGCAACCTTTATGCTGCTCGCACTTGTCATGGCGCTCGGTGAGTGTTCATTATATTCCCACCTCTCGTTCCCACCGCTGCAACTCCGTGTAGCCAGGATCTACAGCTTGACAGCCAATAAAAACAGACAGGGTCAAGTTTGTCCCGGGGGAAAGTTGAACTGTAATCAAATCAACGAGCTATGTGCTCACTTGAGTTTGGCAATTCACTACGGATTCCTTTGTATTTTTATAGGCTTTGCCCACTTTATCATTGTGAATTATAGTTCCGATATTAGCGTTTCTTTCAAACAGTCCACAATGTATTTACCCTTTAACTTGTATAGTGAAAAATATTTTTGATCCTTATGTTTTGGACACTAAAATTCAAAATATTTTGGCATGAATCCGTACCACTACCAGGTAAATGTTTAACCGATACTGTTGTCTGCAGGACTCTTCGGCATCATGTACCCCAGCGTGTATTTCTGGACTTTCTTCACCATTCTACATTTGACCACTTGCCTCGTGCTCACGCTCAAAATATACTACGTGGGGCAGTTTAAACTCGGTAAGTTAAGTTGTATCCCGACTTCTAAAGCCCGGTCTGTGAGCACAATTTTGTCCAATGACCCCAAGCTACCCATCCTTATCGCTCGCGCGTAATTATGTTACTGTCGCGCTCGCACACTCACTGCGGGCGCCCGTCGCACAGTCGCGACAGCAACATAATTACGCGCGAGCGATAAGGATGGGTAGCTTGGGGTCATTGGACAAAATTCTACGTGCTTACAGACCAGACTATAGTAAGGTTATTCAATTTTATTTATTTTTTGTACACGGGTCTGCAAACTGTATAGCCAGGATCTACAACTTGACCACCAATGAAAACCCAACCAGTGAAGGTTATTTTTTTGTATGTTTTATTTGTTTAAATAACCAGTAGTTGCCCATTACTGCCTATTTCTGACCAAAGTTGCTAACTTTGGTTTAGTTTGTGAATTCGAGCCAGTAGGCGGAAATATTGTGGCGCTAAAACATAACATATTATCACCCTAAATCAAGGGAGATTTTTTCAAAATGGCAACACAGTATTTTTTAACCAGTTATGCAGTTTAAATAAATTAAAAATAATTTTAATTGATTTAAATTATTTAAAAAAATATGAGACTTGTAAAAAAGCTCCTTAAGGCAGTTTTTTTTTTAGAATTGTGATTTTTGCATACAACATTTTCGATCTTATTACTCTAGAATTAGGGTTGTTTCCCCGCAGCACAAACGAAGCTTTTTCGACTTTTTTCCTCTAGAGCTTCACGCGTTTTCCGTCGATAAAAATAAAGGATTTTCGACCTTATTCCTCTAGAATTACGCGTATTCCCGCGCGGCTGGGGACTGCTGCGCGAGCACGGTAGATACGCTCTGAAGCCGAACTACACCGCGCGGGCTGTCTTGCTGGCACTGGCCAATGTCGCCAACTGGGCTCTGGCTGTTTATGGGTGAGTTTACACCGTTCTTATGGTAGTAGGGGAGACCGAGGAGAGTTGTAGCAGCCAACGTCACGTGCGCAGCTTTTATACAGTGGTTTCTACTACATGTTTGAGCCATACTTAAAATTAGATTTCAAAAGTAAACGCTCTAAAGTGTCACGTGACTATGATCTACCTCACAGTTTTCACGCTCGTGTTCTGTCAAAATTGACACAGTTACTTGATTATGACAGATACTTTTACTTAATTATCGGTCAGTGACGTCATCGCTCTTGCACTCATGTGATAATAAATAAGTGTATTAAATAACGCAATTAAAAATAATTTCATTTAGAACGAATAATTAAATTCTTAAAACATTATTTTTACACCTGTCTTTACTGTGTAAATGATAGTTACCCCTTAGAAAATGCACTATTTTAAGGACCCCCTTAAAAAAGCAGCATGAAACTTTTGGTTGTTAAATGATCCATAGATAAGGCTGCGGACCCCCATTTATACAGGGTGTTAGGTAAATGGGTATATGAGCCGACACTAGCCCATGTTAACATGGTCATATAATATTTTAAAATCCGTAATATTTTAATTTTCATACAAATCGGATTTTATAAAATTTATTTTGTATGAAAATTAAAAAGAATAAAATGTTGATATCAAATTTCTAACTTCACCATACCATTGCCCATGTTAGCATGGGCTAGTGTCGGCTCATATACCCATTTACCTAACACCCTGTATGCTAACACTGATGTAAAGCATAACTTTCATGAATTTGTGTCAATATCCATTTTGATTGTTAAATATTAAGTAATGAAGTTCATAAAACATTATTTTAGGTTTTTTTAAAACTGTCTTTACTGTGCAACACATGACTTTACATGCGTCAACATTCTTATAAATCTTTCCCAGTCTCTACGAGCACAACAAAGACTTCGCGCGTCACGTACTAGCCATCTTAATGGGCAACACGTTCCTTTACACGATATTCTACGTGTGCATGAAGCTGGTCCACCGCGAGAAGCTGTATGCCCACACGTGGGCGTACCTGGTAGCTACTTTCGCTTGCTGGGCTCTGGCGGTCGTGTTCTTCTTGGATTCGAGGACTAAGTGGTCGGTAAGTGTCTGGGACTTTGATAAATTTAATTAGTTTTTTTTTAATAGTTAGAATTTTATAGAGCTTACTCGAAGGAGCAAGAAAGAAGTAAGATAAAACGGTAGTGGCTGAATTAGGGAACGCTGATCTTTCGTGAATTTTATGTTCAGTTTACGAATGGTGATTATGAATGGACCTAGGACTTAGACCTAACAGTTAAATTTTTGTTTTTCTTATCTGTGTTTTTTTAGCTACTATACACAGGCAGTCTGAAAAATTTAGTTTCAACTGCTTCAAGCTACAACTAATAATAAAAATGAACTTAACGACTACATGACTCATGAGCAGTTATTATTATGTATGAATTTAAATAGAATAATATTTATGCTAGGCTTAAAGGAAAATAAAGCTTGCAAGCTGCCCGTATTTATAGCCTTCCATATTTTTTAAATTGTGGTCAGACCATGTTCCTCTACCGATTCGTTTCTCCCTACAGCAAACACCAGCCATGTCTCGTCGCCACAACGCAGTGTGCTCCGCGTTACAGTTCTACGATTCCCACGACGTGTGGCACTTCGCATCCGCCGCGGCTATGTTCTTATACTTTAACATGCTGTTGACGGTCGACGACGCCTTGCGGGACACCCCGAGGACCGAGATTCCAGTGTTTTAACTTCTAAGCAACCTCAAAATCGGAGATCTCATACTCAATATTGCTTTTGAGTTTGTTTTGAGTCTGCAAAAATTTTTTAACACAAAATAAGATCCCTTTCAGCAGATGCAAGACAAAGTATCGGTGTTTTAAACAACCTCATAATCTGAGATCTCATGCTCAATATTGCTTTTGAGTCTGCAAAAGTATTAGAATACAATATTTTGCTCAGTGGATGTAACTTGAGCATCGTTTAAAGGCTCATTTAGGTCTGCAAAAAAAAGAAGATGTTAAAAGGGGTTGAAACTTAAAACTATTTGACAAAATGTATGGTGTCTGACTATCAATTATTGGGAAATATTTTTTTAACTTGCACATTTTTTTTTTGTAGATGTATGTATTGACTAACGCCCATTTCTGACAAAGCGCTATGGACGTTCAAAGTATGAAAAACTTAATCAAACTATTTTTTAAACCTAAGATTATATTCCTCTATTTTATACTATCAACTAAGCTAGTTTTTTTGTGCTGGCAACATTAATCTTGTATGAATTTTGTATTGTGTGTGTAGACTTCTCACTAGATTTAACGTATTTGTATTGTAATGTGTTTAATATTGTAGATAGGTACTCATTGTAACAGAGTTATTTTAAGTAATTCCTACATAATGGCTGTTTATTTTTAGTTCGCTTTTAATGATAACAAACAATATCAACTAATGTGATAATAAATGTGTAGAATTTTAAACAAACTGTATCGTCTTCGTGTATTTGTTTTTTTTTTCAGTTACAAATGTTTGATTCTTTCGTTCATTAATTAATAGATTTGACTTATCAATGGCTCAGATTGGCACCATCTGATTCTGTGAAACCTTACTTTGTGAAACCGGTTTCTCAAAAACTGGTTTTACAAAAACCGGTTTCTCAACAATAAAAATAGGACGTAACTGTGTAAGCCGTGCCTTGTGTTTTGATTGGATTTTAGAAAAAGGTACGCTATAAAAGAAGATTGACATGTCTTGGTGCTTGCGTAAAGTTTTGGTGCCAAAATGTTTACCCGTCAAACCCAACGCAGGTTATGACTGGGTTTAGTGCGAGTTAAAGCAAAAGTTGTAAAATTAAAGTATTAATTTGGTTAATCTATTGACACCTTTCATGTTTTCCGTTAAGCGTATTTTTGAAATGTAAGCATTGGTGCCTTGAAAACGTAGTTTTGGTCTTCAGTGGTAAGATTATTTATTTTATAGGTTTGCTCAGAAGTTTATTTGAATTTAAAAGTTTATTTCAAATGCATCGACCAATGTTTGTACGTTGAATTGAAAGGACTATGTCCACAACAACGTGTGTTAAACGTAACGATGTGTGGGTAGTGGGCAGAGTCCTTAAAGATTACCAATATTAACCCAACTTCAAATTGGTCATTTGGTCAATGGCATGCTTGATGATAAAACGTGTGCGTGACACGGTACGAATTATTCAGTTGCCGCTGCAACTCAATTCATATGTAAGTCCGACTCGCGAAATTAGGGTTCCGTAGCCTCACTCCTCATCCCCTACAATTTTTTATATTCTCTTACTCTTGCTAATATTATCTTCACTTTTATGACAACGACTTTTCCCACTAAACAATAACAATTACAGCTATTTCTTACGTTACGTACTTCCGTACGTAGTTATAGTACGGACGATCCCAGGTCATAGTAAATATATCTTACAAAGTTGTAAGGACAAAATATCAGTATGATTTTCTGTCAAAATTGTCTATGCCTTGAAACTTTTCCACTTTTCATTCACCGTGTTTACAAGGCCAGGGAAATACCCATATTGCGTGACTAGCTGAATACGATGAACGATCGAACGGTCAAAACCAAGTTGGCTAGTTAGTATTGGTAATCAAAATCGCGATTATTTAGTATTTAAGTTGCAGAGTATTTTATTTAAAAGTTATTATTTTAATATGTTAAAAAGTTTATTTAAGCTTGTTGTGTAACTATTTTGTAAGACAAATGTAATTGAATAATTATAATGCTACATTAACTTTTAGACTTAAAGACAGTCGTGTATTAAGTTAGATTCCTGTATTAGACCTAGACGTAATGTAAGATAAGAGTGTATCATTTTTACCAAAAACATAGTACAATAAAATCATTTATAGTAAAATGTGTTTCATTCTACACCCTATCAGTGAATACTTCAGTAGTTCAGACCTTATAAAGTGAATCAGAGAGAGAAATATTCCACTTGGGTTTGAGTTGTGAAAAAAATCTTATTTATTTTTGCAAAGTGGCTTTTTAAAAGCACTCTTTACACGTCTCAGTAGGTATTAACCCTATCACTGCTTCGGGACAATAAATGGGCCAGCAGTGCTGAGAAGAAACAGTGCAAGAAACTCAGTCACTATTGTGAAATGGATAGTCATTAGTCGAATGCAGGAAATTATTTTCAAGTACGCAAACAACGCAGAAGCTTCGCGAACCAATATTGACCTACGGCTATGCGTCTACTGTTGATCTACCTGAGCTCCACCCACTTTATTGTAGACCAAAACAACGTCCTAGATAACCGACCCATTATAGCTGTGTGCATTGTGACCTAGCATCGGGGCAGTCGATGCCCCAGTGGCCTAGTTGAAGGCAGGGACTGCGCATGTGCGGTACACCTCTCAATGGATTAAACTATACACTGCACGGGCACACCTCCCCAGGGCGATGCAACCGTCTTGCAACGTTTGTAGGAGTTTTCAACCATTCAGTACCTCCTTATCGTGATAACAGTTCGATAGTAATGAAAATAGATTAGTTATCTAATATTAATGTGATAGCATCGATATTCTGCTTTAGATTTTTTGTTGTAAAATTTACATTAATAAAATACATAGTGATACTGAAAAAAATTCATTTTTGGTTTTTAAAAGATATAGATATTTTTAAAAATATTTTAAAACTGTTCAGGTTTACGAAAAATATTTTATTATCACTCTAGAAATAATGGGGAGTAAAAATTTTGTGGTGGCAACACTCCCTGCTTTTGTTGTCTCAAAAGAAATATGGCCGACTCACATAACGTCAAAACTTTAGAGACGACAGCTTACTCAGAAAACGTGCGATAATTCGTAGAAAATTTAACGACAAGTGATTTTTTAGTGCCAGTGACGTGTATTAGTGGTTGTGCTAAAGTGGCGTTGATCATTCTACGACACAAGTTTGATGGTGACCGCAAGAGCGATCCCGATTTTCATAACAGTGGATAAATGCACGGTACGTATTTCCCATGGATTTTACGAGGTTCTCTCACGCTAAAAACCCTTGCAAACTCATCGAATCTTCTACTAATCACGCTGACGCAGCAATTGCTAGCAGATTTCGATAAAATAAACACTCGGCCTTGCAGGAGATAGCTCTGTTTTTGAGGCAAAACCTTGTACAAACCTTGTTGTTTTCCTGCGGTCGAAGGATATGTGCATTATTTAGTCATCCCAAACGTATTCTTGGCCATATAAAGCTCGATATCGTGATATAACGTCGAAATTCACCTCGCTAGTGATGCTAGTATGTCACCTTCCATAAATAGAATACCTGATGTCTTCATTTCTGCCCGAATTTGCGATTACCTCGTTAAAATCGGCCGTTGCTGAGTATATAATTGAACAACAAAGGTGTAGGAAATGGATAACATTTGTGTGATGTGCTAAATTATAATCATGACATCACTACTTGATCTAAAGTCCATTATAGTATTTATTTACTAATTTCTCAATGAATGATTTCTGTAGTACAAGTAAACGTGAGTAGAAGTTGGCTCTGGGTTGTCATCTCGATCAGTGTAATTCAAAACATTGGTAACTCGATTTATAAACAAACCAATTATTATGATATCGAGTTTTCACTAAAAATAATATTTCTGCTTTACTGTAACATTGTCCTAAGATAAGTTTTTCATCAAGTTAATCTGAAAAAAGCTATAAAATTGACCTTTAGGTACCATTATTGACAAATCAACTACATTTGAATTGCTCGGAATCTTTTAATGACTCAGTTATCATTCATTTAATTCAATCTTGTGTAATTTGTTGATGTCTTAACATAATCTTCATGTAAAGAAAACATTGTTTATTTTTATCCTATCTACTGAAACCTTACTATATGTCCTCTAGGTTCTAAACCGTATTACAAAACGAAATATTAAGACAATATTTGTATCTACTTACTTTTGTAAAGCTATGACTCTAATACACAATGGGTTTTAATCTCGCATTCAAGGTCAACTGTTATTGTGAATATCTTTGAAAAATAATATATTAGAATATTTCAAATTATTTATTTCTATTATTGACTATTGTTAATAAACAAAGAATGTTGATAAACAGGAAGTGTGAGGGTGTAAATAACAATGACTGAGGTGTGTAAATACCTAGATGTGTCAGTAAAACTCCATGAGAAAAAGATATGGAAAAATAAATAAAAAGTATGATAAAAAGTGTCTCCACTTTCTTTCTTAGTGCACTGACTGAATATTAAATTAAAATATTTGTGAATAACACCCTATTCACAAACGATGCTTGCTTAAGTGAAGCAGCAAATGTTGAATAGAGCTCTGTGATTGGTTTGTGTGACCCTGTGTCAATATTAATTAGTGTGATAATTATTATTTTTTTGTTTTGTTTACTATATTCTAGTAACCTACGTATTCTATTAATGATGATTCACCTGCATGTTAAGGGAAACCCTTCCTTATGAGTCATGTCAGTCCCCCATGACAGCTCATCGTCCCCAGTTCTTACCGAGTGTACGTAAAATAATGAGATCCACACACCTACAAACTGACATCCCTTCAAGATGTTTTTGAAGTTTAATTTTTAAAGAGCGGTTTTACATGTTCCTGATCTAAAAAGCATAAAGATGTGAACAAAATTCTTGATTGAACAAAATATAAATATTTAACGTACCGGAAAGTGCAACGGACTAGTTCATAAAGGTAGCAGGAAGGCGCTGGATGCAGGCCGCCACCAACTGGCCATTGTGGAAATCATTGGTGGAGGCCTATGTTCAGAGAGCAACGTAGGACGTCCACCCACAAGGTGGACTGACGACCTCATAAAGGTTGCAGGAAGGCGCTGGATGCAAGCCGCCACCAACTGGCCATTGTGGAAATCATTGGAGGAGGCCTATGTTCAGAGAGCAACGTAGGACGTCCACCCACAAGGTGGACTGACGACCTCATAAAGGTAGCAAGAAGGCACTGGATACAGGCCGCCACCAACCGGCCATTGTGGAAATCATTGGGGAAGGCCTACGTTCAGCAGTGGACGTCCTGTGGCTGAAATGATGATGATGATCGAAATAGATGCCGTGGGAAGAAACTAGTGTTTACTAAGGCCCAGAACACACGGTGAAACACAATTGCAACGAAACTGCAACTTCTAGTTACTGTTGAGTTGCATCTAAGTTTCTGCCATAGATTCCGTTGAGAGACCACACATGACGCGACCATTTCAAACCAGTTTCAAACTGGTTGGTCAACAGTTTCGTTGCAGTCGCGTTGCGCCGTCTGTTCTGGGCCTAAAACATCATTTCCCACGTAGAGGATTCACTCACATGACTTGTAGTGCTTAAATTAATTTGTATTGGCCATTGCCACTGTTGTTTACGCAGACTTCAGTATTTTTCTATCTATTTTTACCGCTTTTTTCTCAATAGATCGAACTAACCAACACTAAAGGCATCAACTTCATTCATGCAAAATTTTTGGCACCGGCATATCAAATCCGATGGCTGACTCATTGCCACTCGATTATAGACTTTAAAATAGTCGAGATTAAGTTTGAAATGTTCAGGCGATTGCCGCTATTAATAGAAGGTTAGTTTACAAATACTTTTCGTTTAGTTAAGGCCGCTAATCCACAATAATATTATTTATTTGCGAAATAAAAAGTCGCCTTGGATATTTTTCCTTTATCTTTTGCACATCAATTATTTTCATGTATCTGACATCTGTCTGTAGCCTATGATTGGACGCAGTACCGGATTAAGATTACCTGAAGCCCTAAGTAATCGACACCTGCCCAAAATAATTAACGTATTTATTACAAACTAGCTTTCCGCCCGCGGCTTCGCCCGCGTGGAATTTTATCTGTGACAGAAAAACTATATCGCGCGCGTCCCTGTTTCAAAAACCGGGTTAAAAACTGTCCTGTCCTTTCCTGGGACTCAAACTATCTCTATGCCAAATTTCATCAAAAGCGGTTCAGTGGTTTAGACGTGAAAGCGACACAGACAGACAGAGTTACTATTTATATTTATTAGTATAGATTAAAATGAGACTTATGGGTCCTAAATTGGCGCGTAAATACTAAATAGTTTTTGTTTAGCAATTTTTTTGGGGGCAATTGCTTAATTTAATTGCTAAATTAGCCTAAAGGCTAATCTAGTACTGATTCTTCTTCAGAATGCAAGGTCAGTAAAATCGGCCAAGAGCGAACTTTAAAGTGAACGGTTCATTCATTAGGTACTAAGTATTGTACAAGATCACCTATTGGACGTCCACCCACAAGGTGGACCGACGACGTCATAAAGGTATCAGGAAGGCGCTGGACGCAGGCCGCTACCAATCGATCAACATGGAAATCATTGGGGGAGGCCTATGTTCAGCAGTGGACGTTCTATGGCTGAAATGATGATGATGATAACCTATTGAATATGGAACGTTAAAATATCGTTCGTTTCAGCCAAATGACGTCCACTGCTGGACAAAGGCCTCCCCCAAGGTTTTCCACAATGAACGGTCCTGCGCTGCCCGCATCCAGGCTCTTCCCGCGACCTTTACCAGATCGTCGGTCCACCTAGTAGGAGGCCTGCCCACGCTACGTTTTCCAGCCCGTGGTCGCCACTCGAGCACTTTCCTGCCCCAACGGCCATCGTCTCTACGAGCTCTGTGCCCCGCCCACTGCCACTTGATTTTAGCAATTCTGCGAGCTATGTCGGTTACTTTGGNGCCGATACTGAGCAGCATCTTCAGAGGACTGCAGAACCAAGTTCCGTCTCTCTTCCATGAGTTGATTGGTGAGGTCAGAGATCTTTTTGGTTCCTTTTGAACGACGGGTTTTAAAGAACTTAGACCCAGTCGTTTGGACAATTTCCACGAACCTGTCATTGTATTTGTCCACATTTTCGCAGTCTCCTAGGCATTCGAAACGATTTTGCAACTCGAGCTGAAAGCTTTCGGGGTTTTGGAGTTGGATGGGCGCTGGGCGGAGCGTAGACTTCATCAGTCGACATCTCTCGAGCTTGGGTCTGATATTCAATGTGCCTCTTACCATTCGGTGATCGCTTCCTGTTTTGACCGAATTGATCACAGAGACATCATTGAATATATGCTTCTTCGTCGACAAGATGAAGTCTATCTCATTTTTTGTAGCGCCATTGGGATGCAGCCATGTCCACTTTCGCTGTTTTGGCTTTCTGAAGAAGGAGTTCATCATAAAGAGGCCCTCCCTCTCCATAAAGCCAGCCAGCAGTTGGCCACGTGCGTTCCTCTCTCCGTACCCAAATTGCCCCACTTTCGGCTCATTATCGCTTCGTTTACCTAGCTTCGCGTTGAAGTCCCCCATCACAACGGTAAAATGGGACCGGGAGCCATGTATGGCTCTGGAAATATCCTCATACATGGTCTCCACTTCGTCGTCGGGGTGTTCCGTGGTCGGTGCGTATACCTGTATGACCTTCAGCGAATACCGTTTGGTGATTCTGAGTATCAGGTACACTACCCTCGCCGAAACACTCTCGATCTGGACTGGTGCTGTGTGGGGACGGCCGTAAAAGAATACTTTTCCCCACCGCCAACAGGAGGCGTGTCGTAAGAGGCGACAAACTCCTGTAGCACCGGACGGGCAGCAGCGTCTGCGTGTGAAACCAAGCAAAAAAACTGCGATCGCCAACCCGCCTGCCAAGCGAGGCGATTAGGGCAAAACCCTCCAAATGGTGGCTAAAACAAAAAAACGGCCCCTAGTCCCCGGCGGCCCCACTATCCCGGACCACGGTAGCGGTCACGGTAACGGTGGGGCAAGGGGTGCGAAGAATCCCCGGGGGATGCCAGGCTACCAACACCGACGACCTCTGGCCCTGGCAACCTATAACGCTCGCACACTGCGTACGGACGTGAAGCTAATGGAACTCGAGGAAGAGTTGAGCAGGTTACGGTGGGATATCGTAGGATTATGTGAAGTCCGAAGAGAGGGGGAGGACACCTTAATTCTTAAATC